TGCAGGATGGAGACAGGCGTCACCCGCCGTGCCCTCAGAGAGCTGTGGCTCCGGGGGGGATCCCAACGTGCATCTTCCTCTGTCCACCCAGATCCCCGGCAAGGCTGCTTTGCCTGGGTTTGCTGCTGTCATGCCCACCATGAGGGCACGGTGCTGCTTCAAGGCGTACTGGCATTCCCTCATCAGACACGAGCCCAAAAACAACCCTCACTGCTGGGGAAGCTGCCCGTGCTCACACAGCAAGGGCAGGGGTCCGTATGCTCCTGCCCACAGCACCCACCCGCTCCCCTGTCACCCCCCACGGCGGGGCTGGGAAAGGGGTCCCTGCAGAAGAGGGTGTCACTCACGGTGGGTGGCGGAGGTGGGCGAGAGGCTCCAGGGCACTGCATGGGGCTGTGCTCTCAGGGCGGCCGGCACTGCTCTGCCCGTCACGCGTCACTGCCTGGACTTTTTCCTGTGCTGGGACGCTCTCCCCTCCCCCGGACCTTCCCGTTTGGGGAATTCATTGATTTCCCTCATCCCAGCCAGCCCTGGGGCTGAGCCACCGCCAGGCCCACCACGTCAGGGCTACCACACCAGGACACGGCAGGCACAAGACGCGTGGGCTCCAGCGGTCAGGGATGCCCAGCACCGTGCTGCCAAGGCAGCCAGGTACAGCCAGGAGCCCAAAAAGCACCACAGACACCAGTGCACAACCACAGGGCAGGGTCCAGCTGAGGAGCTGATCTGGGCAGGGGGAGGCCGCAAGGCACAGTGGCAGGGCACCGTCTTGGCAGACCCCATCCCCGTTTTTTGTCCTCACAGGGACCATTGCAAGGACCACCTAAGCCCCTCATGGAATCTTGGGCAAGGGTTTCTGTTGCCCCTCAGTTCCTGACCTGGCCAGGCCCCCCCCGCGGGCAGTGGGTGAGGGTGGGAGCCTGCTCCACAACAAAGGAGCTAATGTAAACGGGACCCTTATCCCGCGCCGGGCCAGGCTTCCTGCTCCTGACTTCCCGCCGAGATAAGGGAGGCCACGCTGGCGCCAGTGCTGCTGCCGAGGACAGGGCACGCAGAGCTTCCCCCGGGCTGGGGCCAGGCACCAGCACAGGCAGCAGTGGGGCAGGGTGGGCTCACAGACCCATGGCCCCAGCCATGACCTCTGCTGCAGCTCCCAGCCAGGCTGGGCCCATTGGAGATATTTTGCTCCAGCTGCTTCTCACAGACTGGAACAGGAAATGGCCACAAGTGGGGGAGCAGGCAGGAGATGCAGGCAGAACCCCAGCCCCCCCTCTTGCCCCTTGGCCCCAAGGGATGTGGGGACCCTCAGTCCTGGACAAGGCAAGGGGTGTGCTGGAGTGCCTTAGTGGAACCCAGGGCTAGGATCAAGAGGTTTGGGGGAGACAACACACACACAGACATTCCCAGAGCTCTGCCCAAACAGATGCAGCCAGTCAGGCACTGCACAGGTTTATTGGGGTCTCTGATCAGGGGGAGCACAGCTGGAGCAGAGTCTCAGCGCCAGAGGTCCATCAGCTCCATCAGCACAGGGCAACAGGGACAGTCCTAGGGAGGGGAGAGAGGCACAGGGGGTAACAACCCACTGCCCAGTACCAAGGCCACAGCCTCTCAACCCCCAGAGCTGCCACAGCCAGGCCCTTTTCACTCCAGGAGCACCATGCTTGGTTTCCACCACCCCCAGGCCCCTGTCACGTTCCAAGCACCACGGCAAGTCAAGCTGCAGGCAGGTCACTCACCCACAGCACCGGGGCAGGCAGGGGCTGACGGGGTCCTGTGACACTGGGGGGCCCTTCCCTAGTCCAGCAGCTCACGGATGCACCAGCTGCAGAGAAGGAGGTAGATGCATTTCCACAGAAGCCGCAGCAAGCAGGAGCCCAGGCGCTGCCCGAGGGAGGTGGCAGTGGGTGCTGGCAGTGCCAGTGCCTGTACCCGTGCCACTGGCTGGGGAGCACCCTGCAGACAGGTTGCCATGGTCCACAAGAGGTGCATGGCCCATGAGGAATCAGCAGGATCTGACACGGTGGGAGAGGCAGCAGTGCTGACGTGTGGGGCCCTGGCAAGCACTGGAACCTGCTACATTCTCTGCATTTCCAAAAACTCCTACAATAGTGGGTGCAGGGAGGGGGGGGCACAACCTGGGGACCCTTTTGTTCCTCCCACTCCTGCCCCGTGGAGCCCTCAGGGCTCAACAAGACCACGTGCCAGTGCAGTGCAGACTGCAGCAGGTTTATTTAGTGCTGACAGGCAGCAGCTTTATTCAGTGTCACTCCCAGCAGCATTCCAGTGGAGGCTCCCGGGGCCTTCAGCGGCGGGAGGTGCGCTCCTCTTCCTCATTCTCCAGCTCATAGGCAGGCCTGTAGCTCTCCCTGCCCTGAGCATCGGTGCAGCGTAGGGCTGGGTTCTTCTGGGTGTTGGTCATGCTCCCCAGGGACGTGTAGCTGTGGAGGGAAGAAGCAGCTGCAGGACTGCACCCAGGGCCACCGGCTGTGCGTGTGAGAAGGGCAGCACGGGGCACTCACCCCTTGTCATAGAGGATGCAGTAGGGGACAAAGAGCTTGCGCAGGAATTCCCAGATGTCCCGGTAGGTCCAGTCCTGCAGGCAGAATTGGGCAGGGATTGAGGCAGAGGCAAAAGGCTGCTTGCCCCCTTGCCTCCCAGGGAAGCACACCAGACCTTCCTGGAGAGCACCTGGGAGAGCCAGATGGTCACCAGAGCACCACTGCCCCTCCCAGCACCTCCCCAAACACAGGGCAACCCCCCAGCAGCCTCACTGGGGGCACCACAGCTGCACAGAGGGGCAGCAAACACTCTGGGAGAGTGAGAATTGTGAGAGAAGCTGTCCAGGATTGGGGGTGGATCACTGCTGGTTCCCAGCCCCATCAGGCCCTGTGGCAACAGTTCCAGCCCCAAAGCAAGTGGAGGCCACCTACCAGCAAGGGGTTGACCCGCAGGTAGGGGGGCCAGTCGGGGTCTGTCACACACATGGGGGTCAGGGTGCGTGAGTAAGGGTCCGTGCGGCGCGTTCCCATCAGGACAGCCTCCAGCTGTGGCTGCTGCTGCTTCAGCTGGGCCAGAGCCTCCCGGATGGAGCCCTCCACCGTGCAGAGCTGGACCCCGTACCTGCACGGGCAGGGTGGGCAGCGAGCAGCACTGCACGGCCTCTGGGCAGCAGCAGCCCCCGCCCCGCTCTGCCTCCTACCTCTGGACTGTGGCCTGAATGAACTGCTCCATTTCAGGGAACGGGGACACCATGCGGATGTAGAGCACCTGCAGCCTCTCCTGCCTCGCTGGGGAGCGCCTGCAGAGAGACCCAGTGCAGCTGGACTCTGACCAGCTGCAGGCAAGGCAGGTCCAGATCCGACCAGCCAGAGCCCAGGAATCCGCTCATTGCCCCAGGGTGGAGCAAACGAGAGCCCCAGAGCCCTGGCCAGGGTCTGCAGGACCCCCCAGCCTGGAGCCCCACGCGTGGGTACCTCTGCACAGCAGCATGGACGAGGTGCAGCAGGGCTGTGCAGTCCTTGCCCCCGTTGAAGCCCACGCAGAGCTGGGCCAGGCTGTACTGGTCCAAAGCCTCCTCGATCGTCCGCAGGGCTGCTGCTACCTTCTGCCCCAGGGCCGAGCCTGCCAGGACAGGACAGTTGGTGCCTGCCCAGCTCATGTTCCCTTAGCCTAGCATTTCACCCTCTGGACACACAGCAGGGGCATTGCTGGTACCACAGCCAAGAGCTTGTTCAAGCCAGAGATCTGGGCCACAATGTGACAGGGATCGTGAGGGCACTGGGGAACTGTGGCACTGCACACTGTGCTCTCAGACCTGCCACCACCAGCCCTAACTGAGCTTACAGGTCCCACTCCCACCTGCGTGGGATGAAGCCCACTGCAGCTGCAGCACGCCTCAAGCCTCCCAGCACACCACAACAAGGTAAGCTCTGCTCCCAGGCTGGCATTCCCACTGCCCCAGGAGAAGCATGGAAGCACGGAGCCGTGCTGCAGCACCTCCTCCCAGTACCTGACTCAGCCAGGCCATAAACCTCCACAGCTGCTGGAGAGACACAGTCTGTCACCAACGGCACGGCAACACCCGCCGGCAGCTCCCTCATCAAGAAGCAATACGCTTCCTCCAGGTCCTGCTCTGACTCTGAGTCCAGGGTCAGCTTCACACGGTAGTAGTTGCTGGTCCAGTCTGGGTAGGAACCCAAGCTGACACGACCACGGAAAGCAGCATCAGCCCTGTCCAGCACCGGCGTGATGAGCATCTCATCGGCCGCCACGTAGACGGCGCGGGAGTGGAAGTGGGTCTGCTTGCTGCGAAAGAGGTGAGCGAGGCCATCCAGGGCGCGCTCCATCAGCGCCGGGATGCCGGGGAAGATGTAGACGTTGCGCACGCTGACCAGCGGGTACTTGAAGGCGCTGCCGCTGTGCCCGTCCGTGCCGTAGTTGAGGCGGGAGGACTCGGGGACGCGAGCCAGCTTCATCTCAGGGCACTGCTCCTCCTTCTTGCCGAAGAACTCGTGCACCAGGGCCGCCAGCTGGGGGTGGAGGACCACCCTCTCCCCAAAGGCCTTGGCCACGGCCTCGAAGGTCACATCGTCGTGCGTGGGGCCGATGCCCCCGGATGTCAGCACGTAGGTGAAGCGGGCAGCAAAGGCGGCCACCTCGCCGGCGATGGCCTCCACGTCGTCGGGGACCACGGAGATCCGGGCCACGCTCACGCCCAGAGCCCGCAGCCGCCGGCACATGAAGAAGGAGTTCGTGTCCTGCGTGTAGCCCTGAGGGGAGAGGAGAGGCCCATGACAGCGCGACTCCCGGCATGTACCCCGTGTCCCCCGCCCAGTCCCGCCCCCGGCGCACCTTGAGGATCTCGTCGCCGATGATGATGATGCCGGCGGTGCTGGCGGATCTCTGGGCCGCCGCCGCCGGGCCCGCGGCGGCCATGAGGCGACAGGCGGCAGCGCGCACCGGCCCCGCAGCGCGCAGCACCCCCCACATGGAGCCGCCCGGGCACCTCCGCGTACCGCGGCGCCGCCCCGCGCGCTCACAGGCCGGCCCGCACGCCAGTCACACCGCTCCGCCAGCTCCCATTGGCCGAGAGGCGGGACCCGCGGGGACGGAACCATCGCGGAGCGGAGTGGAGGGGGTGTTGGTGCAGCTCCGCCTCCATGGCCGTGCCCGGCGGGCCGGGGCACCGGTTCCGAGACCCCGGGGAGCCTCCTCGGGAACCCCCGCGGTACCGGGACCCACCCTCCACCGCAGCCACTGCAGCCAGACAGCTCCCAAACATCACTTTATTGAAGCTTCGGAGGCATCGCCACGGGAAGGGCCCGCGAGAACCGGGGCCGAGCCGACAAAACGCCGCCCAGGCAGCGCCGAGGGTCAGGGGGTGAAGCCCCCGAGAAATGCCGAGGAGAGGAGGAAGGTGTTTTCTCAGCGTGGAACGACTGAGAGCTTCGGCGGAGCAGGGGCCACTCACTTTTCCGGCTTCTTGGGCAGCGGCCGTCGGAAGAGCAGGATGTGGGGCTCTGCGGGGCGAGAGAGGGGGTCAGGCCGGGCCGCCGCGGCGCCGCCCGCAACCCCGCGGGGCTCACCTGGCTCGTGGATCATGTAGTGCACCCAGCCCTGGCTCTGCTGCACGCCCAGGTTCCGCCACTCCGACTCCGACAGCAGGTGGGTCTTGGGCACCAGCTTGGCGATGTCCTTGGGCAGCATCACGTGCCTGCAGCCCCGCGCCTCCCAGTCAGCAGCGGGGCACCCAAAAAAACCCTTATCCCCCTCAAAAACCCCGATTTTTTCCCAAAAACCCCTCTTTTTTCCCCAAAAACCCCTCTTTTTTCCCCAAAAACCCCTCATCCCCCCGGAGAGCTGTTAACGGCACGGACGCAGAGCGCTCGCCGGGACAATCCGCCTCTCGCTTCACCGGGGGGCCGCGGCTCGCCCTGACGCCCGCCAGCCGTTCACACGCTCCGCACCGCCGCGGCGCTGCCCGCCCTTACCCCGCTGAACCCACACCGGGAGCCCTCACGGAGCGGGCGTTACCCCCGCCCCTTCCCGCTGCCTACCGGTACTCAAACTCCTCGTCGTCGTACTTGTCCGAGTAGTAGATCTGTTTGTGCGCCATGACAGCCCCGCCGTGCCCTCCCTCAACGGCCGTTAGCCCCCCCGCCCCCGCGCGGCGCTTTCAAACGCCGCCGCCTCGCTCTCCCATTGGTCGGCGCCGCGGGGAGGGCGGGGCGGGGAGGCCGCCTATTGGTCGGCGCAGCGGGAGGGGCGCGGCGCGGCGGAGAGCGGCGCGGGGCCCGCGCGCGACCGATGGTGCCCGGTGAGCGCGCGCCGGCCGGGGCGGTGAGGGAGCGCGCGGATAGAGGAGGGGGGGAACCCGCGCCGGGCCCGCGGCTCACGGGCCAGGCCCCCGCGGTGTCACCGGACTGTAGGCCGCACCGCTCGCTCGCTCGCCGCCGCCGCCGCCGCCTTCCGCGGGAACGAGTTGTGGGCGTATCTGCCGCTGTGAGGGCCGAGCCGCCCGTCCCGGCTGGCTGCCGGTGTGAGGGAGCCCGGCCGCGCGGCGGGCCCCGGTGCCGTGCCGGGGGTTGGAGGAGCCGGTGCCGTGCCGGGATCCGGGCTGTGTGTGCGGTACACGGGAAGGACAGCGGCTGCAGAGGTGCTGCGGGGTCTGGGGGCAATCCCGACCCCCGGCAGGGACGGGGTTTGGAGGGTTCAGAGCCTCTGCGGTGCCGGGCTCTGCCCTCCTGCCCTCCGTGCTCCGGGGGAAGGCAGCAGCGAGCGCCTGGAGCCTCCCCAGCTGCTGTGGACAGCGGTAGCTGCTCCTTGGAGATCCATGTGTGCTCTCCAGCGGTGCATTGTGTCCATCTGTTCTTGCTTCTCCCCTTGAATCTCTTAGGTGGGATCACCCACGCAGGTTATAAACCACGGACACCCAGGAGAGGTGACCTGGGCCCTGCTTGCCACCTTGGCACTGCACAAGTCTGTGGGCAAAGGGCGCTTCTCTGCCGTGCTCAGGGCTGCCCTGGTGCCATCCTGTACCAGAGGGGCTGAAGGTGCCATCTCTCAGCCAAGGAGGGCTCGAGGATCCACCCGCTGCCCTTTGCTGGGGCAGTGCCTTGGCTGGGCCACCTCCAGAGCTGTGCAAAGCAGTGTTCCATCCTCGGGAGGGACACAGGTGGGCTCTGGTAAGGCTGAGCACCCTGGCTCTGGGTCCAGGTGCTCCTTCCCTGCCACCAGCCTCGGTGCCCAGTGTCCAAAGGCCCTGGTCACCACCTCAATCTCCACTGCCTTGGCCAAGCTCAGCCCTCCTTATCTCGCTGCCTTCCGAGCTGCTGGCGGCAGCTGGCACAGGCAGATAAAGGTACAATTGCTGCCAGGCAGTAAATCATGCCTGCTGCCCTGCACTGCTCCACCAGCCTGGCCTTGACTGCTTCGGCTGGGCAGTCAAGGGAAGAGTGCTTTGCTTGCCTTGTTTTCCCCTCGCAGAGCTTCCTGCCTCACCAGCTCACCCCCTTTGTGGACTCTTTCCATGATTCCTGTCTTCACTGGTCCCCTGGGAGGAAGGGACACAGCCCTGGGGGCTCTGTGTGTAATTTTGCATCAGCTGAAGGGCAGGAGGAGGGGGCAGCTCTGCCCCCCTGGCTGCCTTTGCTCTCCCTCCTTGCGTGTGGCTTTCCAGTACTGTTTTTTTGGGCTGGGCAGAGGTTGGCTCCAGGGTCACAGAGTGACTTTAGGCCCCTAAATCCATTTGCCAGGGCCCAAGCAGTGCCAGGCTCTGGCGTAGCTGTCCCAGTGCATCCCATCTCTGCCTTCTCTCCAACGGGAAGAAAGTGGCTTCCAGGTTTCTCTGCGTCACACAGCACCCACAGCCCCATCCACCCACCTGTGGACAGCACGGAGGAGCAGGCTCTGCCTCCTGGCACCCACCTGAGCGGGCTGGGGCAGGGCTGGCTAACTCCCTGTTTGTGAACCGCAGGTCGGAGTGCCAGACGAGAGGGGCTGTGTGTCTCTGCTCCCCGCCCGGGGCCCGCCCTGCCCTCTGCCGGCGATGGAGTATGTGGTAAGGACCTCGGTGGAGGGCTAAGTGGCTTCGGTGGTGGATCCTGCCTGCCTCCTCTGCCTTCTGGGAGGTCTCCAGCCTCTTCCCCCACGTCTCCACTGGTGTCTCCTAATCCCCTCTTCAGAATCAAGGAGAGGAATGCATAAATGTTCGATGCTGCTTTGATGCGTGGGGGGAAAATCAGCTGTTGGCTGGATTTGAGTGTTCTCCTTGGCTTCCCCCCTGCCTCAGAGGTTCAGCATTGGCTGCACTTGGACACGGGGTGGGTCTCCTGCCCAGGGTGAGGTTCATATGTGTGGCCACCTGCACCTTGCTGCCATTTCTTGCCAAGCCACTGATGTGTTCCAGGCCTCTGACTCAGCTCCCAGTTTTTTCCAGGGAGGATGTTGGTAGTGGAGCCCTGAGCATCCCCACTCTGCTTCTCCTCCTTGCCCCGGGTGGTGTGTGAGTCCCAGTCTCAGGTGCAGTCCACGTCCCTCTGTTTCTCGTTGTTTTTCTGTGGTGGCAGGGCACATGGAGCAGCTGGGCCAGCACATGTCCCCAGAGCTCCTTGGGGGCAGTGCTCTGCCCGTCCTCTGCTGCAGGGGCAGGAGCTCCTGGCATCTGCCTGGCAAGGGGAAGGGCTGCAGCCTGTGGGAGGGGGCTTGGGGCTGCCTGTTCAGGCAGGGTTCTGCGCCTTTGCACATCTCCAGGTTTGCCTTCTGCACTCAGAGCCCACTCAAGGGGAGCCCTGGTGCCCTGGGGTGGACTCTGGGGCTGGGGGGGCTGTGATGGCAGCACCTCTGCTCCCCAAGGGCTGGGAGCTGCAAGGCATCTTTGTAACAGGCTGTTGAGTGGTGTGGGCAGACTGGCCTGGAAGCTTCTGAGAAAATCAGGAATTACTCTAGCTTATCAAAGCAGAGATGTGTCTGAGCAGGAGCTTCAGCTGGGAGGCTCATCAGCCCTTTGCTGCCTGGAGGTGGTGGCTGCTCCAAGCCCTGGGGTGGTGGAAAGGGGCCAAGGAGACACTCCTGCCCCCTTGCAATTCCCTCCTGCTCTCACCCTGGGGAAGCATCAGGGTTCACAGAGCTGCCAGGCAAGCCCAGCCCCACATCAACCATCACGGGCAAACCCCACTGCTCCGTGGGCACTTGATGCTGCCCAGCCAGGCTCCCCTGGCAAGGCTGCACTGGCCCCTCACCGGGCCAGCAACTTCCTGGCTCCGGGCTTCCTGCTTTTCTTTAGAGGAGTGGTGCTGCGGCCACAGGAAGGTCACAGCACTGAGCAGCCGGGGGCCCCTGGAGGGGACAGGCGCTTTGTGGAGCAGCCAGCACAGGCTCTCTGTGCCTGTGGGACCACCGTGGCTGAGCTGGGGGGGCTGCCCTTCACAGAGCTGCCGTGCATGGCCAAGGAGATGCTTCAGCGCCCACTCGCATGTGCCACAGCCCCTGGCATCACCCAGGTGGCAATTTCCAGCCTTGTTGTGGCTTTCCTTTCCCCGTCCCCATGGCAGTGTGCCAGGCTTTGTGAAGTGGGGCTGGCAGCTGCCAGTGCCAAGCAGTGCTGGATGAAGGCTCCAAGCAGGGAGAGCCTTTTCCTTGGCGTGGATTTACCCAGGGTTGGTTTGGTGGACAGAGCACCTGGTGGTTTGGAAGGATCTGGCTTGTGGTGCGTCAGGGTCTGTGTTCTGTCTGAACTCCTTGCCTCGTCCTAGAGGGGATGGGGGAGAGCTCTTGTCCCTCAGTGGGGCCGGGGCTGTGGAGGGCAGCACAGCCGGGCTGGCCCAAGTTCCTGCTGCGTGCAAGTGCCTCGAGGGTAGGGCAGCAGGGGAGACCTGCCCCTGAGCCCCCTGATCCACAGGTGGGAGTTTCACCCACCTCCCCGAGGCTGAAGGGGCCAACCTTGCCCCCGGCACACGTTCTTGCCGCCCGCTCCCGCTAGCTCCGCCTGTGACCTTGATTTTTCTGCTCCAGATAAGCGCTGCGTCCCCTCCCCTCGCCGGGAGCCCCTCCTGCGCTGCGCCCCGGCCCCAGCGCAGCCCAGAGCCTGCCCCGCCGCCTGTGAGTCAGCACAGCTCTTCCCATCAGCCGCAGCCCCTTCATCTCTGCTCCCGGGAGGAGCAGCTGGGATGCGGGAAGCGGCAGCGATTAGCTGCAGCCTCTCCCACATCCCCACCGCGGCCGGGGGTTTGCGCTGAGCCCTGCCTTGCCCAGCGGCGCAGCCTACCTGTATCCTGCTCCTGGCCGTCCTCCTCTTCCTCCCGCCGGCCCTCCAGGCGAGATCTGTGCTCTCAAAGGACTGCATGTGCCCGTGTTCCAGGAAGCTGCGAGCGCCGGTGTCGTCTCAGCATCGCTGCTCCCTCCCGAGCCAACAGCAGCCGCTCGCCGCCCGCACGTGGCTTGTGTGGCGCTGGCTGCCACAGAAGGACCTTGTTCCCTCCTGGACAGTGCTCGGAGCAGGGCTGGGATGGGCTTGGATGCGCTCTGTGTCTGCCTCATCTCCGGGCTTTAAATATTCATGCTTTTGATTTTCTCTTAGCGGGCAGTGGCACGGGGGCCGGAGTGAGCTGTGGGGCGCAGGGTGGCCGTGCTGAGCCCAGCAGCAGGGCAGGGGGAGCCGGAGCTGCTCCTGGATGAAGACAATGGGTTTTGTGGCTGGCCTGGTGTTGACGTGGCAAGGGGCTTGAGGACCTGCGGGCTGGGGCCAGAGCACTGTGAGCTCCCCTCGCTGTGCCGGCGGCTCGCCAGGGTGTCGCCGCAGCCCCGTTTCCTGCCCGCTGTAGCGTGCTGCTCTCAGTCTGAACGGATCTGCGCGTCCTTGCTGCCACTGATCGGCCGTGCCGGGCATCCCCTGGACCCGCTGCCCGCCGTGCCAGGCCCAGCTCTCCCTGCCAGCCATGCGGGGCTGGCGTGGACCTTGCACAGAGTTCGGCCGAGGCTTCTGCTTGGGGGCAGCTTCCCGGCGGCTGCAGGCACTCGGATTCTCTGTGGGGCCCCTGTGAGGCCCAGCTGGCTGCATCCACCCTTCTGCCACTCAGCTGTGGCCCTTCTCACCTGCCTCCAGCATGGATCTCCTGCAAAAGAGCAAATACAGCCACCTGCGGAACGAGTCTGTCTCCTCTCCAGAGGAGGCTGTGGCGGGCCTGGGAGTCCTGCCCTCCCCTGTGGAGTCCCTTGCAAGCATGCAGTCTCTGCCTCGTTCCCTGTCCTCCTCCCTCAGCCACGCTGCGCCTCTCGGGGAGCTCTCACCTGAGTTGGAGGAGAGCCCTACCACCCTCTGCTCCTTCTTCCCCAAAATGGCCAACCTGAAGCTCTCCAATCCCGCCAACTTGCTCAGCTTGCGGGGCTCTGCAGCCAGCAGCAGCCCGGGGGAGCCTGCTCCCCCTGGGGTGCCAGCACTAGTGCCAGGGGGTGGTGCCAGCCCCGGCTCAGCGAGGCCTGTCACTGTCTGTTCCCAGGATATGAACAAGCTGAGCTGTGGGAAGAAGACGCGGGTGGAAGGTGGCCAGCTGGGGGGTGATGAGTGGACCCGCCACGGCAGCTTTGTCAACAAGCCCACCCGTGGCTGGCTGCACCCAGATGACAAGGTCATGGGCTCTGGGGTCTCCTACCACGTCCGGGTGAGTGCTGGGGACTGGGGAGGGGTCACTGTGGGGATTTGGGGACCTCCTGGGTGGTGGGATGCACCAAGCTCTTTGGGGAGGGCTGGGGTAATGGGCAGTGGGATTCCCAGGGAGGTTACTGCTGCAGAGCTGGGGTGCTTGAGGCCCCAGCCCCTTCCCTGGCTGCATGGGGGACAAACTCCATGGCTGGCCAAGCTCACCTTGCTCTCTTGCACAGTACATGGGCTGTGTGGAAGTGCTGCAGTCCATGAGGGCTCTGGATTTCAACACCAGGACACAGGTGACCAGGTGAGCTCTGCCTGTCCCCAGGGGCTGCTCCTTTTGGGGAGGGGTGAGGAAGTTGTCTGAGCCCTAGGCAAGCCCCTGGTAACACGTGGGGCTTTCAGTGGGGGTCAGGGGCTGCTGCAGCCCATCAAACACTAATTCCAGTGCACTTTGCCCACCCAAAGAGCCCCAGCTGGCACTGCCTGAGAGCTTCCACTTTGTCACCCTGTCTCTCCCTGTGTCCCCACTGCCCCGAGTGCTGTGGCTGGGGGGGTCCTGGGGCAAGGCAGGCACTGTGGGGGCTGACATTTCACTGCACTCCCTGCAGGGAGGCCATTGGGCTGGTGTGTGAGGCTGTGCCTGGTGCCAAGGGAGCCGTGAGGAGAAGGAAGGTGAGGCCTGGCTGGGAAGCTGCTGGGGGAGCATTTGTGGCTGGTTTGAGCACAGGGCCAAGGAGCAGATCCCAGCCCAGCTGGCAGTGCTGTGCTGGTCATGCCAGGGCTCTGATCTCCCAGCTGAGGCTTGGGCCAGGGCCACTGGTGAGGACAAGGTGCCCATCTCTGCTGTGGAAGCAGTGGGATGTGCTCTGTCCTCCTGCTGCTGGGCTGTCTGCTCTGGGGAGCCCCTTCTCTATGCTACCCTTTGCCCCTAGCCCTGCAGCCGCTCCCTGAACTCCATCCTGGGCAAGAGCAACCTGAAGTTTGCAGGCATGCCCATCACCCTGACCATCTCCACCAGCAGCCTCAACCTCATGGCCTCAGACTGCAAGCAGGTGAGAATGGGGAGGGGTTGGGTTGGCTTTGGACAAGCAGGAATCCTCGTGTACCTCACCCCAGATCTTGCTGGGGCAGGGGATGCCCCCAGCCTCACCAGGGAATGTCTGGATGGGCTGTGAGAGGAGTGCTCACCTCCCCACAGTCCCTGGGGCTGAAGAGGTGGGAGGAATATCCCGTGTGCTTTGTGGGATCTCTCTGGAGATGGTGACACCCGAGTCCCCTTGCCTGGGGCCAGATCTCCTGGTTTTGACCCCACTCCCAGTGATGTCCCAGTCTTTTTCCTGGCGGCTCATAACCAGGGCTCTGGAGGATTTTGAGCCCCCGTGGCAGGTCAGCCCTGGGAGGAGCGGGATGTGCCACCCCTGGGTGGGTGACAGGGAATTCCTGGCTGTGTCCAACACGCTCTCCTCCTTGCAGATCATTGCCAACCACCACATGCAGTCCATTTCCTTCGCATCGGGGGGAGACCCGGTGAGTACCCAGCAGGACCGCCCTATGTGGGGGCCTCTCCTGCCCTCTGCCCAGCTCTAGAGCCCCGTGCTCCCCAGCAGGCCTGTCTCACTGCTATCTCACCCACAGGACACAGCTGAATACGTTGCCTACGTTGCCAAAGACCCCGTCAATCAGAGAGGTGAGGCTGCTGCAAGGCTCCCCCACTTGGGAGGTGTTCAGGATCAGCTCAGCCTAGAGGGGGGAGCTGGGTGACCCCTAAGAAAGCTCTGGGGTGTACAGGGCAGGCTCAGGGGTGGACAGCCTTGGTGCTGGAGTTCCACAATCTGTTTTCCACCCAGCCTGCCACATCCTGGAGTGTCCTGAAGGCTTGGCACAGGATGTGATCAGCACCATCGGGCAGGCCTTCGAGCTGCGCTTCAAGCAGTACCTGAAGAACCCCCCAAAGCTGGTGACCCCCCACGACAGGTGAGAGCAGGGCTGTGTGACAAGGAGGAAGGTGGTTTTGGAGAGGGGATGCAACCGTGGCTTCTCTGTGCTGTGCTCTCCCAGGATGGCAGGGTTTGATGGCTCTGCCTGGGACGAAGAAGAGGAGGAACCAGCCCCGGATCACCAGTACTACAACGACTTCCCTGGCAAGGAGCCTCCCATTGGGGGGGTCGTGGACATGCGGCTGCAGGATGGGGCTGCTCAGACCCCAAATCACTTGGGTGCCACGCTGGTGAGGCTCTGGGCATGTCCTCTTGGGGAGGCATTATCTTACAAGGGACCCTGAATGGGCCATGGGTTCTGCTGAGGGTCCCCAGTGTCTCTGGGGTGTGGGGAGCAGGAAGGGGGACGTCCCCAGTGTCTCTGGGGTGTGGGGAGCAGGAAGGGGGACGTCCCCAGTGTCTCTGGGGTGTGGGGAGCAGGAAGAGGGATGTGCCCGGTGTCTCTGGGGTGTGGGGAGCAGGAAGGGGGATGAGCAGGAAAGGAGCTGGGGGCTCATCCCTGCCTCTCCCTGCAGCCTGTTGGCCAGTCCTCCGGCGGGGAGTATGACCCCCAGAAGCAGCATGCTCCTGCCCAAGGTAATGTGACAGGTCTCTCCATCCTCTGCCATGGACCCCCGGCGCTGTGGTGGGGGTCCAAGGTGGGCTGAAGCCCTGCTGACCACAGTGCTCCTGGCAGCAGGGAGAGAGAAGTACCCAGCTGCAGCGGGCACGTCTGGCCGCACGGACCTCTTTGATGACCCATCCTATGTCAATGTGCAAAATGTGGACAAGACACGCCAAGCTCCAGCCTCTGGCACCCCCGCCACGGCCAATGGCAGCACCCAGAGGGACCTCTTCGACATGAGTGAGTGCATGGTGGCTGCAGCCAGGGCTGTGGGCTTGCTCACTGATGCAGTTTGCTGTGGAGGGGGTCTCTGGAGGAGCCCCCTAAGCTGTGAGTTTGTTGGTTGCAGCAGGCAGGCAAGGAGACTCCACACGGCTAATTAGGTGAGGTGTTTATTTATATATATTTATTATTAGTAGTATTATTTATAAACCCTCAGGTGAGGGTTTATTGGGGGTCCCACCCCCAGGAGCAGCATGGTTTCTGAGGGGGAGAGAAGGACCAAGAGAGGGTCTGGTTTCCCTCACACAGCTTAAGAGAGAGATTCAAAGTGGTCACAGAATAAGACTTGGGCCAGTGGGGTTACAGCTACACGACACTTCAGGAGAGGACCTGAACAAACTTTGGAGGGGTGAGACAGAGCATTTAAATAAAATACACCACCACAGGTCACGGTTCTCCCTGTTCCTGTCTTCTTGCAGAGCCCTTTGAAGATGCCCTGCGTGTGCCCCCCTCGGTGCCCCTGGCGCTGCCCCCCGCCCAGGTGGTGGCCTCCATGGAGGAGCAGCTGAGAAGGGAGCCCTGGTACCACGGCAAGATGAGCCGCAAGGAGGCTGAGAAGCTGCTGAAGGTGAACGGGGACTTCCTGGTGCGGGAGAGCACCACCACCCCCGGCCAGTACGTGCTGACTGGCCTGCAGGGTGGGCAGCCCAAGCATCTGCTGCTCGTGGATCCCGAGGGAGTGGTGAGTCCACGCAGGGGGTGGAGTTTGGGACAGCAGGGCCGGTCCTGGGGGTTACAGGAGCCGTCAGAGCACTGGGGTTCTGCTCTGCTGCTCAGGGCACAGCTCTGGGATGGCTTTGGGGATGGCAGGGCCTGGCAGAGCATGGGTTTGGGATTGCTGCCTCAGGTCTGTGCCCAGCCCGTGCCATGGAGGGTGGTAGCTCTGGCCTCACGTGGGCACTGGCAGCCTCCTGAGCGCCCCTTTTTTGACCCCCTGCCCAGGTGAGGACAAAAGATCATCGCTTTGAGAGCGTCAGCCACCTCATCAGCTACCACATGGACAATCACCTGCCCATCATCTCGGCCGGCAGCGAGATGTGCCTGCAGCAGCCCGTGGAGAGGAGGCTGTGAGCGCCCGGGGACCCCGGGGCACAGCACCCCTGGGCACGGCCCTCCAGCCCTGCTCCTGCCCCAGGGAGCCCTCGGACTCTTCCAGCTGCTCCAGCCAGGACTGAGCACGGACTTGGCCTTCCTCCCTTCACCACACGGAGCTGGTGGCCGCGGGGGGCTCAGGCTGTGAGTGCCTGCAGGGTGAACTGTTCTTGCAAAGCCCACGCCCCTCCAGCTCCAGCCTTTGCAGAGCAGCTCAGCTCCTACCAAAGCCCGGCCCTGCTGTTGTGCCCACCAGCACGGGCTCAGGACTGGCAGGCTGAGCCCCCCGAGCCAGAGGCAGCCTGGCCTTATCTCTGGGGGGGCCCATGGGGGGCTCAGCTCCCCCCAGCACCGGGCCCTCGACTGTACCGGATCACTTTACGTGTTAACTCTGTGCCTTGACCCCGCAGGTCCCACACTCTTTATGCAAGGGCAGGGGCTGCTCGCAGAGCTCCCGGCACCCCGTGCCCCCTCCGTGACGTGCTTGTGCTCCGGGACACGCGTGTGCCACCACGTCCCCGTCCTCCCTGCCCGCCCGGCTGGGCCAGGGCAGCTCTGGCAGCCCGGGGGTCTGGCGGGAGGACCCCCCTGCATGCACAGCGTAACTGCCCCACGCCAAAGCGCAGCCCCCCACCGCCCCAGGCCCCTGCCCCGCTATACCAAAGGAACTGGCGGTTGTATTAAAGTTGGTATTTCTCTAGGCCTGGCTGGTGTGAGCTGGGAGGGGTCGCTGTGGGAGGGCGCCCCCATTTTTCCCTCCCCTTCCTCCCCCGGGACTCGTACGTGGTTCGTCCCGTCTGCCCCTCCCATGGGTGCCGCATTTGGTTCGGTCCGACTGGCGGGGCGGGATCCCTGCGGTGATTGACGCGGCCGGCGCGCGCCGTGATTGGCCGCGCGCGGGTTCCGGTTCCGGGCGGGCCATGGCGGCGGCGCGCGCGCGGTGAGGGCTATGGCGGCCCCGCACGCAGAGGCGTGTGGGTGGGCGCGTGGGGGGTCGCCCCGGCCCCCGCTGACGCGGCCTCGCTTCTCTCCTCAGGGCTGCAGATGAAGAGCCCCGAGAAGAAGCGGCGCAAATCCAACACGCAGGTAGGGCCGGGCTCGGGGCGGCGCGGGGGCCGCGGGCCGGCCGCGGCCAGGCTGACCGGCACCTTCTCCCCGCAGGGCCCTGCCTACTCGCACCTCTCGGAGTTCGCCCCGCCGCCCACCCCCATGGTGGACCACCTGGTGGCCTCCAACCCCTTCGAGGATGATTTCGGGGCCCCCAAGGTGGGAGCGGCGCCCGCCCCGTTCCTGGGCAGCCCCGTGCCGTTCGGAGGTTTCCGCATGCAGGGCGGGATGTCGCCGCAGGTGCCCCCCGGTTACGGCGGGGGTCCGCAGCCCCTGAGGAGGCAGCCGCCCCCGTTCGCCCCCGGGCAGATGGGCCCTGCTTTTAGCATGCCCCCCCAGAATCCAAACTACGTGCAGCCGGGGGGCTTGGCCTTCGCCGGGCAGCCCTTCAGCCAGCCCCTCGGACAGAACTTCAGCCCCCCCATGGGGCAGCTCATGCAGGGGCCCGTGGCGGGCTTCGGGCCCATGATGTCCCCCACCATGGGGCAGCCCCCGCGGGGGGACATGGCACCGGGGCCAGCCCTCAACCCCGCCGGCGGCCCGGCGGTGCCTCAGCGCTTCAACCAGCCCGGCAACCTCTTTGGACAGTCGCCCATGCAGCGCCCCGGGCAGAGCATGCCCCCGCTGCCCCCCACGGCCAGCCCCTTCCCCGGGGCGGACCCCGGCTTCCCGGCGGGCGGCGAGGAGGGCGGCAAGACCCCTGCGCCCAGCAGCTTCTCGCAGGAGCAGCACTCGGGCTCCCCCGCCGCCGTTAACGGGGCGCAGCCCGGCTTTGCCCCCGGCGGCGCCGGCACCCCCGAGAGCAACAGCCTGCCCCTGCCGGCCCCGGGCAAGGCCGGCGGCGCCGCGGGCCACCAGCCGCCGCCGGGGCTCGTGTACCCCTGCGGGGCCTGCCGCAACGAGGTCAACGACGACCAGGACGCCATCCTGTGCGAGGCCTCGTGCCAGAAGTGGTTCCACCGCGAGTGCACGGGCATGACCGAGAACGCCTACGGGCTGCTCACCACCGAGGCCTCCGCCGTCTGGGCCTGCGATTTCTGCCTCAAGACCAAGGAGATCCAGTCGGTCTACATCCGGGAGGGCATGGGACAGCTGGTGACCGCCAACGACGGCTGAGGCGCCGCCCGGCCGCCCTGTACAGCTCCTCCCCGCTGATTTAGGACCAAACGCCCGTTTTTTGTAGCTGTCGCCCCTCCTGTGCCAGCCAGAGTGCCGCTGCCATGGCTGTGGGTGCTCACCGGGCACTGCCTGGCACCAGGGGACCAGGCACGGTGCTGGCCGTGCCGGTGTCACCCTGTTGGCCCCGGTGCACCGGCTCGGTGAGGGCTGGTGCTGCACAGCGCTGCCCCCCGTTGGGCCGTCACCCTCGCAGGGGCCGCCTCCTGGGCTCTGCAGCGCTCCTGGTGTCCCGCACCCGCGGGGCAGCCCCGCTACCCGCTGCTCGGGATGGCCCCGGTACCCGCTCCCCACCCCAGCTCCGTCCGTTTTAGCCGATCGTTCATGGAAAATTTTTTTGTACCGTCGTTATAAAAACTCTTAAACGCGCGTGTCGGTGTCTGTGCGGCGGTGTCGGTGTCCGTCCGGGGCTGTCGCTGTCCGTCCGGTACCGGAGGGGGGTGGGGGAGGGGTGTCCGGTACCGGGGGGCGGTGCCCGCTGTCCCCGCCCCTTCCTCGCGACGCCGCGCCGCGGGCTGCGATTGGCGGCCGGCGGGCGCAGGTACCGCCACCGGCACGAGCGCTGCCCTGCGGCCGCACCGCCGGCGGAACGGGGCTGGGGCCGCGGGAGGCGGAGGGGAGCGGGTTGGCACCGGCGGGGCCGCCACCCCCGGGCCGGTTCTGCGTCCCGGGCGGGGGGGGAGAGAGGGGCGGGGACTGCTCGGGACCCCCGCACGGTGCTGGCGCTTTGCTGTGGGGCGGTGGGATCCCGAGCGGGGCCCCTGGTTTGCCCACGGCAGGCCTTGCGTGTCCCGTCCACCTGCTGGGTCACATCACCGGCTAAAAATACCCGGCGGCGGCAGCTGGTGTCCGGGGGTGCAGCCGGGGCACCGGGACGGCTTCGCTGAAAGCTCCGGGACTGTGGCTGTCCCGGCGCTGGGAGCTGGGTCGTGTCCCGCTGTCCGTGTGTCCGCCCGTCTGTCCCCTCGCAGGTTGTCCCTATGGCGGAGAAATTGGATCCCCGAGATGACGAGAGCAGCTGGGTGCTGGCGGGCAGTGAGGTGAGGGCTCACAACGCCCAGAGCAGACCCTCGCTGCTTGAGATCTCCAGGGCAACGTGCCAGAGCTGGCACCCCATGCCTTGGGGGCCTTAGGGCAGCCCCCCCCGAGGTGGAGACCCCCGGGCACACCCCGCAGTGCCCACCTGGGGCTGCAGGCACATGGAGGTCCCTGTGTACCCCCTTCCCCTAGGGTCTGCCCATTGACACGGTGGGTCCAGAGCAGGACTCAGCCTCCCACGGGTCTGACGATGAGGAGCCAGAGGAGGAGGATGAAGGCACCCAGGACACAGTCACAGGCAGGCAGCCACCAGGGGTGTGGGGCAAGCCTGGTGTCACCTTCCTGTGGCACTGTGTCATCACCATGCTCTGTCTCTCCTCAGCAGTGACTGCCAATGGTGCCACTTCCTTCCCCAGGCAGACCGTGTGCCCTGAGGGCAGCGGGCAGGGGGTGAGTCACACCGGGGGGCTGGGGCTGAGCTGGAACTGGTGGGCTGCTCTCCACACAGGGATACCCCATGTGCCTGTGTCTGCAGGACCCAGAGAAATGCGAGGACTCCAAGGCAGGGGCAGAGCCTGCCCTGGATGGCTCTGCAGAGCCCAGCGTGCTGGAGGGCGATGAGCAGGAGGAGCTGAGTGCTGAGGCTGAGCCACAACCCTGCCCTGACACCCCCCAAGCAGGTCAGGCCTCGCAGGGGGCTGGCCTGGGGGAATCTGCTGGCAGTGTTTAGGTGTAGACCCTCCCTGGAGGTCCCCCCCGTCTCCCCCTAGGGCCAACACCGGAGGACGTGTCCTGCTCCAGCAGTGACAATAACACGGAAGGGCTGCGGTGGCGGCCGGGCCACAAGCCCCGCCCTGAGCCCCCCACTGTCACACCCGCCCCACGCCGGGGGACAGCGGACACTGGCGATGATGGGCTCAGCATGAGCACGTACCTGCTGGGTGCCTTGGCCTTGGTGGTTGTGGGGCTGCTGGTCGTCACGGGTGAGTGGGGTCCCAGTGGCCAAGGCCCCAGGGACAGGGTCCAGGCACCCCCCTCACTGTCCCCTCCTCTCCCCAGGCGGTGTCTACGACGTGGCAGATGGTGAGTAGAGGTGACTAGCCCACCTGGGCAGGGGGACATCTCGCAGCAGCCTGGACATTCAGACCCGTGTCCTTCTCTGCAGGCCCTGTGGAGAGTGTGGGGAGCTGGGAGCAGGAGTCACTGCTGTCCACAGACAGCAATGTAAGGAGGGGTCTCAGGCAGGGCTGAGGGTGTCCTCAACGCCCCCAGGGCTCCCAACCTTCCTGTCCTCCAGGACTCCCAGCAGAAGCCCCCTCTGCCAGACGATGGGGGCCCGCAGAGCATGGAGTCCATGAGCCAGCTCCTGGACAAGCTGGCCAAAGAGAACCAGGAGATCCGGCTCATGCAGGCAGAGCTACAGGTCGGTGCCCCGTACCACACCTCTGTGCTGCATCCCGGTGCTGCTCTCCCTCTGCCGCCCCTCTCACAGCCCCCCACCCCTGCCCCAGGCCCACAAGGAAGATCTGCAGGCGCTGCTGCACAAGAGCGAGGGCGCGGCGGCGGCGGCCGGGGCGCAGCAGCAGAGCCTGGCCGCGGAGAACGCGCGGCTGCGCGCGGCGCTGGAGCGGGAGGTGACGGCGCTGCGGGAGGCCCAGGCTGAGCTGCGGCGCCTGCAGGCCACGGGGACCCCCGGCAGCCCCCGGGAGCCGCGGGCAGAGCAGGCACGTGCCACGGGGGTGCCCGGGCACGGCAAGGCCGCGGCGCGGCGGCGCGGCAGCCTGGATTCGCTGCGGCAGGAGCTGGCGGACACCCTGGACCGTGCGCGCGGCTCTGGGGATCTCAAGGGGCTCGTGGAGGAGCTGAGCGCCCTGGAGCAGCACCTGGCCCAGGTGCTGGAGGCAGACGGGTCAGGGTCCTTCTCCACGCCCTGGAAGAAGCCATCCAAGGTGGAGAAGGAGAGCAGGTGGCACAAGCAGCACGGCGCCAGGGGGTCCCCCCACGAGCAGGAGAGGAGAGAGCACGGCAAACCCCACAAGAAGGATCCCCGAGCCCCCCGTGAACACAAGCCAGGCAAAACCTGGGGCAAGCCAGGCTCAGCCTCCCACAGCCACCCCCGGCACGACTCCCGTGAGCTGCCCTGGCTCAAGCGGTACCGGGCACCACAGGGCTGCTCTGGGGTGACCGACTGCGCCCACAAGGAGGGCCAGGAAGTGCTTGGGGTTGCACTGGAGCCGGTGCAGAAGGTGCAGTTCCTGCAACTGCTGGAGAGCTTCATGGGGCAGCTGGGCTTGGGGAGACAGTTTGGGAAGCTGGCGCCGCAGCTCGATGGGGCCTTTAGGGCTGACGGTGTCTTTGCCCACGACCGGCTGCGGTTTGTGGATTTTGTGGATGACGTGGAGGATCTGCTGGAGGACGTGGCGTGGCAGGAGCGGGGCGACAAGGAGGCGGCTGATGGCTTTGAGGAGTACATGCTGCGGCACTACAGCGGGTGAGCCGGGCTGGGTGGTGCCAGGAATCCCCAGGGATTCCCCCCTCCTGCAGCACATCGCATTTTCCCTTCTCTTGCAGCAGCACCTCCGGGAACGTGTGGAGCCAGAGAGCCCCAAGGCAGCATGGCACGCGTGGGTAGAGCCAGGGGGGCAGTAGTGTGCCAGCACCCCCACGGAAGGGCTCCCCACGCGCTGTTTATGGGGTCTGGGGGTGACCAGCACACCCTGTAGGGCCAAGTAGGGCCACATCCCTAACCAGATGCACTGTGTGACGCTGCACTGCCACCACAATAAAGTCACCGCTGGGCAGAGCTGTGTAGATGTGGGGAAAATGGGGCTGGGGAAGGGAGGGTGCTGAGGGAAGAGGGCTGGAGAAACGGGGGTTCAGAGGAGGAATAGGGCGTGCAAGGGCAGAGCAGAGGGCACTGAAGTGCTGCGGGCAAAGGTGCAGTGAGAGGGAAGGAGGGAGTGCAGGGAGGAGGAAGGGCTGCTGGGGGAGAGGGCGTGCGGATGAAAAGGGAGGGCAGAGAGGAATGTGGTGTGTTGGAGGGAAGGGGGGTGCTGGGGGAGAAGAAAGGGGATTGGTGCTGGGGAAAATGGGGATTTAGAGGAGGAACAGTGAAGAGGAAAGGAAAGGAAAGGAAAGGAAAGGAAAGGAAAGGAAAGGAAAGGAAAGGAAAGGAAAGGAAAGGAAAGGAAAGGAAAGAAAGGAAAGGAAAGGGTGAGGGGCAGTTGAAAAAGCGGGGTGCATAGGGATGTTGAGGAGGAAGGCTGCTCGGAGAGAAAAGGACACTGGGGGAACTGGATGCCGGGAGAAAGCGGGGTGCAGAAGAGGAGTAGGGATTGTTGGGGGTAGAATGCTGGGGAAATGCAGATGCTGGGGAACGCCAGAGGAGAATGGAGGGTGTGAGGAGGCCGTGGGGGCGCTGGGGGAAGGAGAGGGCGAGGGGCACGGGGGGTCTGTTGGGGTCGGCCATTACTTGTCTGTGCCCCAGCACGGGAAAGGGGGCGGGGGGGGGTGCGGGGTACCGGGACCGGCCGCGCTGCGGGCCCGGCAGGGGGCGCTGTGAGACGGGCGGGCCGCCGGGGGCGGGGCCAGGAGGGCGTGGTCGGTGGGTGTGGCCGCGTGGGCGGGGCCAGGGGCGGGGCCAAGCGCCGATGGCGGCGCCGCGCGCGGTGCTGCTGCTGAGCGGGAAGAGGAAATCGGGGAAGGATTTCGTGGCCGAGGAGCTGCGGAGCCGGTACCGGGCGGGGCTGGGCGCGGGGATGGTACCGGGACTCGGCCGGGTGGAGCCGGTGCCAGCGCCCGTCCCGTTCGCTCCTCTCCCGCAGGCTGGGCCCTGATGTCTGCACCATTCTGCGCCTCTCCGGGCCCCTCAAGGAGCAGTACGCCAAGGTACCGAGCCGTGCCACGCCGCGCCGAGCTGTGCCAGGACACTGCTGTGCTGTGCTGGCCCAGCTCGTGCCGTGCCGTGCCGTGCCATCCCACGCTCGCACCGTACCACACAGTGCCACACCATCCCGAGCTGTGCCAGGCAGTGCCGTGTTCTACCACGTGCTGCGCCGTCCCACGCTCGCACCGCGCCGAGCCGTGCCGTGCCACGCTGAGTCGTGCCAGGGCATGTGCCTTGCTGTTCTCTGCCTTGCCATGCTCGCGCCGTCCTGCACCGTGCCAAGCTGCGCTGAGCTGCACCACACCGAGCCGTGCCAGGGTGTGCTGTGCCAAGCTGTGCCATCCCACGGCTGTGCTGTGCTGAGCTGCACCACACCGAGCCGTGCCAGGACGCGCTGTGCCAAGCCGTGCTATCCCACGGCCGTGCTGTGCTGTGCTGAGCTGCACCACACTGAGCCGTGCCAGGACACACTGTGCCAAGCCGTGCCATCCCACAGCCGTGCTGTGCTGTGCTGAGCTGCACCACACCGAGCCGTGCCAGGGTGTGCTGTGCCGAGCTGTGCCATCCCACGGCCGTGCTGTGCTGTGCTGTGCTGAGCTGCACCACACTGAGCCGTGCCAGGACACACTGTGCCAAGCCGTGCCATCCCACAGCCGTGCTGTGCTGTGCTGAGCCATCCCGTTCCGCCGTGCTGCGCCAGGCTGTGCCACGCCGTGCCCGTTGGCCCAGGCCGTGCCCGCTGACCCCCCCCTTCCCCACAGGAGCACGGGCTGGACTTCCAGAGGCTCCTGGACGCCAGCGCCTACAAGGAGAGGTTCCGCCAGGACATGATCCGCTGGGGCGAGGAGAAGCGCCGCGCCGACCCCGGCTTCTTCTGCCGGGCAGCGGTGCAGGGGGCACTGCAGCCGGTGTGGGTGAGTCCTGGCGGTGCCCAGGGGCGCTGGGGGCACGGGCCGGGCGCTGACGGAGCCCCCGTGCAGGTGGTGAGCGACACGCGGCGCCCGTCAGACGTGGAGTGGTTCCGCGCCGCCTACGGGGACGCGGTGCAGACCGTCAGGGTGGTGGCTACTGAGGAGACGAGGAAGAGGAGGAACTGGGTCTTTGTCGCCGGTGAGGAAGTGAGGGGCAGCTTCCCCAAGGGTGACACCAAGCCGCTGGGCACGGGTCTGCTGCCCGCACTGCCCTTCCTTGGCAGTGGGGGCAAGGGGCTTTGGATCCAGGCCCCCAGCCCAGGGGGGTGAAGCCATGGTGGGGGCACAGACAGACACGTGCTGACCATCCCTGGGGCCCCCCTGGGCTCTGTGCTGCCAGGGGTGGACGATGCTGAATCCGAGTGTGGCCTGGACCAGGGAGTGGCCTTTGACTGGGTGATCACCAACGACGGCGACGAGGTGGCCCTGGGCGAGCAGCTGGAGGTGCTGGTGCAGTCCGTCCACAGGAGCCTATAGCTCCATGTCTCTCCGCTGGGGCTGGGGGATTGCAGCGTCCCCCTTCCCCCCAGCCCCTCAGCATCTCCCCCTCCACCTCCTGCTGGTGGTTCCTGTTCTGGAATAAAGCTCTGACACTGAGAACCACGCTGGGCCTGCGTCTCATTTCTGGGCAAGGACACACAGGTGACCCTGCCCCTGCGCCACCAGGGGTTTCCCAGCTTGCAGGAGGCAGAAGTGCAGTTCTCTCCAAGCAGGGGTTCACCAGCTGGGTGTTTCATGGTGTCTTTTAATAAGGTTTCTAGCAGCCAATTCTCTCCAGATTATCTGCTTCCCAAACTCATGCACTCACATCTGCTCCTCTCCTGCAACAGCTGGGCACGACAGGGTGGGGGTGGGTGTGCAGGGGGTTCTGAGGGGGGATTAGGGCCCTAAATGCCTCTGTATGTATATATCCCATACTCTGGCTCTACCATTACCCTGACCCCGACCTTGGGGACACCGTGAGACCCACACCCCGTGCCCCCCGTCCGTGGGGTGACCCACCCCGGGAGGGGAACACCTGCTCCGGCTGCTGCTCGTAATCCCCGGCCTCTAAACGGATTAAAGGCGATCACATCAAAGGAGGGGGGATGCCCTTGGGGGCACCCCGGTGCCTTAAACACGAGGGGTCGTTCGGGGCTCGTCCAGCCCGTGCTGCGGGCAGCGGCGCCCGGTGCAGCCCCGGTGCACTACAAGTCCCGAACGACCCCGCAGAGATGCAGGAGCCGGGGGTGTGCTGGGGGGGGAGATCCGAGCGGGGAGCGGGCGGGGATGATGTCAGCCTGCGGGGAGCCCCGGCGTGGCCAATGGCGCTGCGGGGCCGGGCCAGCGGCAGCGGCGGGGGCGGTGGCGGCGGCGATAGCGGCGAGAGCACGGAGCCCATTCATGATCCAGCGAACGGGGCCGGTGGCGAGCAGAGCGGAGCCGGTGCCCTGTAAAGCGGCGCCGGTACCGCCGGCATGGAGACATCGGGGCATCTCCACGATTCGGGCGTGGGGGACTTGGAGGAGGATGGTCGGTGTCCCTGCCCGTTACCGGGGGATGAACGGTCACCGCCGCCGCCCTCCGCGCTGCCGCCGCTCCAGCACAGCCTGTTGCACTCCTCGCCCGGGTCGCTACGGGCCCCTCCTCCTCCTCCCGCCGCCCCCGCCGCCCTCCACCCTTCCTCCCGCCACGGCAGCCAGCTCAACCTCGGCGACCACCCAGCGGGCTCTGGCGTGGCGAGCAGCAAGCACCGGCAGCCCAGCCCTCTGGTTCACCGGCGGGACAGCAACCCCTTCACCGAGATCGCCATGAGCTCCTGCAAGTACAGCGGCGGCGTGATGAAGCCCCTCAGCCGGCTCAGCGCATCCCGGCGGAACCTCATCGAGGCCGAGCCGGAGGCGCAGCCCCTGCAGCTCTTCGGTGCCGGCGAGCCCCCCGAAATCGTGGTCTCACGCGAGGACAACCACGCGCCCACCGCCCACCGTCCCGCCCGGCCGGCCGCCCGGCCGGCCCCCACCACCTTTGCCAAGGGGCCCAAGCGCAAGGCACAGAACATCGGCTACCGGCTCGGGCACCGCCGGGCGCTCTTCGAGAAGAGGAAGCGCCTCAGCGACTACGCGCTCATCTTCGGCATGTTCGGCATCGTCGTCATGGTCATTGAGACCGAGCTCTCCTGGGGGCTCTACTCCAAGGTACCAGCGGGGCCGGGGGGTGTGTGCGGGGCTGCTGCTGGGGCCAGCACGGAGCTCTTTGCCCCATCTACCCCGCGGGATAAACATGGAGCTCCTCCGGAGCGGAGCAGGGTGAGGCAGGCTGGCTGCTGGCTGACAGGATGCTCCCAGGGCTTCAGTGGATGCCGCAGCCACAGGTGCTGGGCAGGGTGAGCGCCCGGCTGGAGGTGCAGGGGCTCTGTGCTGGTGGCTGCCCCGTCCAGTCCTGCCCCCTGCGCTTGCAGCAGCGGGCACCGACCCACGGAGCTCTGTGGTGCCTGTTGCTGGCATGGCAGTGCGCTCTTCAAAAGCACTGTGCCCCCGGCCGTGCAGCGAAGCACCCCCCTCCCTCCTCCTCCTCCTCCTCCTCCACACCCCTTCCTGCCTTTTTTTTTTTTTTTTTTTTTTTTTTTTTTTTTTGCAGGACAGTGTCTTTTATTTATAATTCTCCCCCCCACGTCCCTTCCAGCTCCTGCTCCCGGGCTGCGCTGGTTGGCAGCGATATGAATAACTCTTTGTATAGACATCTGTCATGTTATTTATACTTATCCAGAGAGGGGAAGGCATCGGCACCCCCACCAGCACCCATGGGCGTCAGCGCTGGGGGGGCCGGGGTGCAGCCAGCGGGGGTCCCCGTGCAGGGGAAGGGGCTGCTCCCCGTTTCCTGCCTTCATCCGGCACGGGGGGCAGCGGGAGCACGGCAGGTGGAGGAGGGGGTCCCATGGTTTGGGGGGGACCCTGCTGCCTGCCCCCCGAGGTGCCCGGCTGGGGGGCTCCTGAGCCCCCATGGCTGCCAGGTCACGGAGGGGGCTGCGGGCAGCACTTCCCCTGCTCTGTCTGAAGCAGGGGCATGCCTGCCAAGCTGGCATCCTCGCCGAGAAAGAAAGATGCTTCAATGCCGGAGCCTTTTTCTGGCCGTTCCCACTCCCCTCTGGCAGCAGCAAAGCCAAACCACCACCCCCCACCTGCAGCTGGTACCTGTTGAGCTCCGTGTGCCCGCACGCCTGGCGCCGGGGGAGCGCCCACCCTTGCCAAGCTGCCAGCTGAACGCTGCCGTGCTGGCTGGCCCCAGCACGCCGAGCTGCTGTGTCAGCTGGGGGAGACCCCGTGAGTCAGCGCCGCTGCCATGCAGCAGCTGTGGCACGCTGCTGCGCCCCTGCCCCGGCCACACAAACTGTTGTGGTGGCAGCCACAGGCTGCGGGGCAGCCCCTGGCTGCGGCCTCCGGAGGATTTTGGCCAGATTTGCAGCAGCTGTGGGTAAATCCCCCCGCAGCAGCCCCAGAATTCACGGGCAGGGCCGTGACGGGGTGGGGAGATGGGGATGTCAGCGCAGCTCCACTGCCCCGTGGCCCAGCCATGCCACCGTGTGCCCCCAGGCGGAGTGTGCCAGGGCTGAGCTGGGCAGCCAGGACACCCTGGCCAGGCTTTGCCTGTCAGCTGGCTGTGGGCAGCACAGGGCCTCTCCTGCTGCTTCCCACCACCAGGGCAAAGCATCCTGCCATCCACATGGCAGAGCAGGACGTGTGCCAGGGTGCCAAGGTCCTTCCCCACTTCAGCCCAGACCCCGCGTTGTTTGCTGTGAGCGTGGGGCCCAGGAATGGCTCTGCCTGGCAGGTCTCTCCATGGCACACGCCGTGTGACACTTGCCAGGTGGAGCAGCGGGTGCCACATGCAGGGTTGGTGCCCCTGAGAAGGGTCTGGCCAGAGCCACCTTGGCACAACGCTGCCCCCGAGCTTGCCTGTTAATAGTAGTGTTTAGTCACAGCACTTTTCTTAGCACCAGCCATTATATCCACACAATTGCACAGCCAGAGCCAAGTCGTTAACAATGCGGTGCCGCCTCCACAGCAAATAGTCCCTTCTCTGCCTGCAAACACCCTGTGGGGATGAGGAGCACGGCGAGGGGGAGCCAGGCCAGGCCAAAGCCAGCCCGGCACGCTGGGGAGCCGAGGATGGCACGCCAGGAGTGTGCTGGGCCTTCCAGGCCACGAGTGTGCCAGGCCTGGGGGTGGCACGGGGGTGTGGGATGGGTGGTGAGGGGGGTTGGTTTGGGAATTACACCTTGGTGAGGGGCTGCCAGTGGCCAGGCATCAGTGGGGCACGCACACGAGTTCACCAGCGTGCAAAGGGAACAGTGAATCCTGCTTGTCACAGCAGGGACCCGCCAGTTCAGCCACCGGGCAATCAGGGGCTGGTTTAATTTACATAAGAGTAATTAGCTGGAGGGTCTGGTTAGATCTTCTGTGTGGGTACCATCACACTGGGCTCAGGCTAGATGGGGATGGGGCGCTGGCGTTGAACATCTCAGAGGGGAGGTTGGGAACTGCTCTCAGCAGAATAGAACTAAAAAAGAGTTTTTAATTGTTTTTGCTGGTGGTGCCAGTGGTGCTGATGGTTCTGATGGTGCCCTTACTACTGTGCCAAGCTGCTTAGGGGGGAGCTGAAGCAGCAAAAGTGCCACTGAGGATGGGGATAGCAGGTGTGGGGGGCAGCATTTCCTTTGGGGTGTGGAGCCCGGTGCCAGCAGACTCCCACAGCTGCCTTAGTGCCCCTTAACGCCTCCCCTGCTTTCACCCTGCAGGACTCCATGTTCTCCCTGGCCCTGAAATGCCTTATAAGCCTCTCCACCGTCATCCTGCTGGGCCTCATCATCGCCTACCACACCCGGGAGGTGCAGGTAGGTCCTGGCATCACCAGTGCCAAGGCAGGGGCTGCTGGGGTGGGCTGTGGGCTTTGCCAACCACCCGAGTGGGACACGGCAGCTGGGCTCACATCCTGCTCCATCCCAAAGCCTCCTTCCTCTTTGTCGGGGTCTTGAGGTGCAGGGAGGGTTCTTGGGGGGCAGTTCTTGGTCTCTCTGAGCCCCAGGTGCCTGGCAGATATGCTGGTGGCTTGGGGAGACTAGAGCCAGGAAGGGCTCAAGCCAGCCAAAGTGCCAAAGAAAGCCACGAAATCCTTCCCTAATCAGGGCTGCACACACTCTTCCTCCCTGGGAAGTTAAAGGACTCCCAGTTTGTTCCAGGAAGGCTGTGCTTCCCTGTGCTTCGGCACAATGCCAGCCTGTGCAGGGCCTGGGAGGAATGAATCACCAGCCAGGAGAAGGAGCATCCTGGGAGGGGATGGCCCTGAGTGCACCAAAATCCCACCTTGTCCCCCCTGGGGCTGGGGATAGAGGGGCTTTGCCACGTAGGGGCTGGCAGCAGCATCCCCCTCCCTGCAGCTCAGCCTGCCCCCGTGGGGACCGAGCCTGGGGGTGAGATTCTCAGTGCAAATATTTGAGAGCTCTGCTTCTTGCTGGAATAATATTTACCCCGTCGGGATGACGGTGGTTGGGGTCAGCCGGGTGAGCCGTGCCCTCGGCGCTCAGTGCTTCCTCTGCTTGTTGTTCCTGGCAGTGGGTCGTGCAAACACAGCATCCACCCAGGCAGCACACTGGTCATGCCACCTCTCCTGCCTTGACCAGAGCCAAAGTGGCACTGCTGTCCCTCTGCACGGGGGGACTGAGCCTCGCCGTGGTCCCAGCTGCTCTGCAGGCCAGTTACGCTGTCAGGACAGGGAATCAGATGAGTTTGACTTGATCTGCTCCAAACAAAGTTGTGCTGGCTGCTCGGTTGCTCTGTGTGTTATAAAGAAAGTGCTGATAATCCAACACAAATTGAGTGGGGCTGCCAGAGCTGTAAATCCTCAACTCCTTGTACCTCTTGGCCAAGGTGGGAGACTGTGCTCAGCTGGCCATGGCACTTGTGAGACCTCCCAGCCTCTGGGAAAAAATTACTTCAGCCTCTTCCCTCGGGATTCCCTCTTCCTCCTGCCCAGAAAAGCTGTGGCTGCCTCATCACTGGAAGTGTTCAAGGCCAGGCTGAATGGAGTTTGGAGCAACCTGGGATAGTGGAAAGTGTCCCTGCCCATGAAAATGGGTGGAATGAGATGAGCTTTAAGGTCCTGTTCAATCCAAGCCAGTCTGTGATTCCATCATCCTGCTAATTGTGTTAATTAGTCCTTTGAAGGTTTTCCTGTGCCTCAGTTTCTCTGGGGCTGAGGCATCGCTCAGCACCCCAATGATGTCCCTGGAGCAGAACGTGCCATCCTCTGCCAGCAGCCCATTATCATCACAGCACATGAAGGAGAGCAGTGCTGGCAGTGCTGCCAGCTCCTGCCAAGGTGCTCTGGAGGGGCAGAGATCCCTCATCCCTGTGCTTGGAGTGCCTGGAGCTGTTCAGGCTGTTGGTGAGACTTTAATCCTCATGAGGTGTCTTGGTGGCTCTCCTTGGGCTTTGTTTGCCTGGAGATGTGGTGGTCAATGCTCCTGTTCCTTCCCCTGCTGGAGCCAGCGGTGCTGGATGTGCTGGGAAATGCCCCCTTGGGTACCACTGAACCACACTAGGTTTCCATGGAAACCCACTTTGATGCTTTACAGGTACAGAACAGAGAGGGGCTGGCTCAGGGGAATCCTGCCCAAATCTTGCTCCTTCCCTTCCCTGGCCTATGGCAACTCCCCATCATACAGTCAAAAGGCTCCTGCCTTTTTCCGCTTGCTAATTTGTTTATTTTAACACCCTTTTCCAGGAAGGAATAGGCTGTCAGCTTGCTAAATGCCTGAGGATCTCCCTTGACAGCTTGGAGCATTTTTGTAAACAATTTCTCAAACAAAGCAGCTAAAAGGAGCAGAGTTTTCCCTACAGAAAGGGAGGTGGCTGGGACAGCCACTCCGTGAGTCAGCCCCGGTGGCTCCTGCCATCCCCAGGGACAGCCCCAATGCCACGCCGTGCCAGCGAGGCGCCTGGCACAGGTGTACTGGGCCTCTGGCAGGGCAGGAGGGCTGTTCCCGGGCTCAGGGCCAGCTGGGGCCGTGCTCCCCACCCACCTCTCACCCGCTGCCCGGGCTCTGTGAGCCAGCCAGCATCGCTTTGTGCCTGCAGGATTGAGGGCACAGCAGCCACATCCCCCTTGGATCCCTTCCTGGTGCTTCCTTTGCCAAGCGCTGCTTGCAGAGAGGCCCTGAGCGTGTCCCTCCTGCTGGGGTGATTCTGGTGTCCCTGTCACACCAGGGAGGAGCCTCGGGGCTGCCCCTGCCGAGTCACCTGGTGGGTGACTCCCAGGGCTCTGGTGGCGTCCCAGAGAGGCCAACTGAGCTGCCATCTCCCCAGCTCCTGCAGAGACCCCAACTCCATCACCGATGATGGGAGAGGAGCTGCTGTACCCAGGATGAACCGTCAGTTGCCATGACAACTGAATCCCATCTCCGCCAGCAGCTGGATGCTCTGACTGTGGTGTTCACTGCCCAGATATTGCCCTGGCACTCGGGGTGTGATGACTGTCAGTGAAATCAGTGCCACACCAGGAGCAGGGGCACTGGGGTGACTCATGCTGGTGCTCCGTGGCACCACAGCCTCCCCATTTCTGTGGCCTGGATGAGGGGGACATTCCTGGAGGCGGGTTCCTGCCAGCCAGATTTTGAGTGAGCTGTCCCCACGCTGTACCTGGGTGTGTGCTCAAGGCCAGGCACCTTGAAGCTCTTGGCGTCCCCTGCAACGAGGCCATCCCTGGCAGGGCAGCAGAGAGCTTGGTGGTGACTCACTGCCATGTTTTCCTCCTGCGTCCATCCCTGAGCCACACCCAGCTCCTCTTAGCCCTGACCCCCGGTGCCATAGAGGGAGGGTGAGGGATGCCAGCGGGCAGGCCGTGGGGCTGCTGGTAACTCGTGGTTTTGCATCCTGGCAGCTCTTTGTGATCGACAATGGAGCTGACGACTGGCGGATAGCGATGACGTACGAGCGCATCCTCTACATCAGCCTGGAGATGCTGGTCTGTGCCATACACCCCATCCCCGGGGAGTACAAATTTTTCTGGACAGCTCGCCTGGCTTTCTCCTACACACCATCTCGGGCAGAGGCTGATGTGGACATCATCCTGTCCATCCCCATGTTCCTGCGCCTCTACCTGATCGCTCGGGTGATGCTGCTGCACAGCAAGCTCTTCACCGACGCCTCCTCGCGCAGCATCGGGGCGCTCAACAAGATCAACTTCAACACCCGCTTCGTCATGAAGACCCTCATGACCATCTGCCCTGGGACGGTGCTGCTGGTGTTCAGCATTTCCCTCTGGATCATCGCTGCGTGGACAGTCCGCGTGTGTGAGAGGTGAGGGGGGTTTGGGATGAGCAGGGGTTTGGGGTGAGCAGGGGTTAGGGGTTTGTGGCAGCTCAGGATGCTCAAGGCTTGGGAATGCCTGGAGGTTTGGGATGCTCGGCTGTTGAGGATGCACAGAGGTTCGGGATGCAGGGGGGTTTGGGATGCTCAGGAGTTCAGGAGACACGCATGACGAGCAGCAGTTTGGGATGTGTGGAGGTTTGGGATGCTCAGGAGTTCAGGAGACACGCATGACGAGCAGCACTTTGGGATGTGTGGAGGTTTGGAATGTTCCACGGTTCAGGATGTGCAGCGGTTCAGGATGTGCAGCAGTTCAGGAATGCAGGATGATGATGTGCAGTGGCTCTGGAAGCTCATCAGTTTGTGGTTTGGGATTGATGGCAGTTTGGAATTCTCAATGGAGATGCGATGTCCCAACAGCCTGGAGAGGAGGGCTGCAGGGCTCTGGGGCCTCAGTGGTTCCCTGCCACAGATGATAAATGGCACAGGCAGGAAGCAGAGCAGGGCCAGCCCTGTCCTCACAGCTCAGTGCCTAAGCCAGGCAGGGTCCTGGTGCAATGTGTGATGCCAGCAGCCCCAGGAGCATGGTGGGGGACAAGGAGAGTGGTGGGAGCTGGGGGCTGTGAATGAGGAGGGCCCAGAGGTGCTGATGGGCCTGGCTCAGGCTCCAGCATCGCTGCAGCTGACTGCCATGACAACACCGTGGTGACATACCCACAGCTCGATGGCACCGTGCCAGCAGCAGCGTGCTCAGCACCGGGGTTGCTGTGGCGACCAGCCTGGTGGGTATCACTGCACCTCCATCTCTCAGGGACCTGCCACCACTCTTTGTCTAGTGAGGGAACAGGGGGGCTGTGCTGGTGGCATCCCAGGGCTGTGCCAGAGGGTTTTCTCCACGGCCACGGCGCAGGCTGCCAGCAGCACCCAAGGAAGGGAGGGCAGGTCCTCCACAAGCTGCTCTGCTGTGGCAGCTTTGTGTCATCCTTGGGACTGAGGTGTGAGGGATCACAACAAGTGGCACCCCAGGGTTACCTGGGAGACCCAGATTGCTTCTTTCAAAGTGAGAGGAGGCCACCCTCCCTTCCTCAGGGTGGGTCCCGTTGCTCTGGTCACGCTGCCAAGGGGCACTAGGGCAGCTCTAAGTGCTGTGGCAGTGGCGTGGGACGGCACACTGAAATTTTATGAGCTTTTACTGGCTGCATTTGCCTTCCTGCCTCCCTTAATGATGCTGTCCTTATGAGCTGGATGCTCAGGCACTGCCTAATTGTGTTTGAGGAATTGTGGCTTATGCCTCCTAAGCAGGGAGCAGGAGAACAGGCACCCAGGACACACACAGGGTAATCCAACACCTGGCAGGGCTTAGGCTGGAAGATGCAAGGAAGAACTATCAGGAACAAAAAAACCCAGAAATTATGCAGACGAGGCACTGCAGTTGCCATCACCTCCCTCGATGTACGGAGAGGCAGAAGAGAACCCAGGTGGGCTGGAGATGCGTCAGTCCTGGGGGATGCAGGGCTGGGGGAATGCAGAACCCCTGGGACACGCTCCATGTGCGAGGGATGCCACATCCCTCGTGGATGCACCAACCCTGGGGGGGGTCACACAGCCCCCACAAGGGCTACCCAGGACGTGTCCCCCTGTCCACACCTCCCAGTGGCACTGCAAAACAATTTATTGCCGTTTGCAGGACCATTCCCACCCAGCACCCGCTGGACCCGGCCGGTTTAGAGGCGGCGATGCCTCTCCAAGACTTCTGGGGCTGTGGTGCCACGTCTGCTCCGTGGTGTCTGTGGGGGCAGCAGCAGCAGCATCCTCCCGTGCGCTCCGCGGGGCCGCGCCGCTCCGCAGGCAGCGAGTCGCTTAGCAACCTCGCCCCGCTCCCCCGGCCACGGCTCCGCCGCCCGCGGAGCCTCCGCCAGCGCTGCCGCTCCGGCCCGGCGTGTGCCCGCACCCTGTGCCCGCGGCGTGTGCCCGTGTGCCCGCAGCCTGTGCCCGTGTGCCCGCAGGTGTGCCCGCAGCCTGTGCCCGCAGCCTGTGCCGCAGGTGTGCCCGCGGCGTGTGCCCGGGGCGTGTGCCCTCAGATGTGCCCGCACCCTGTGCCCGCACCCTGTGCCCGTGTGCCCACAGGTGTGCCCACAGGTGTGCCCGCAGCGTGTGCCCTCAGCCTGTGCCTGTGTGCCCACAGGTGTGCCCACAGGTGTGCCCGCAGTGTGTGCCCTCAGCCTGTGCCCGCAGTCTGTGCCCTCAGGTGTGCCCGCACCCTGTGCCCGTGTGCCCGCAGCGTGTGCCCTCAGCCTGAGCCCGCACCCTGTGCCCACACCCTGTGCCCGTCTGCCCTCACCCTGTGCCCACAGCCTGTGCCCGTCTGCCCTCACCGTGTGCCCTCACCCTGTGCCCACAGCCTGTGCCTGCAGCATGTGCCAGCAGCGTGTGCCCGCAGGTGTGCCCGTGTGCCCGCAGCGTGTGCCCTCAACCTGTGCCCTCACCCTGTGCCCTCACCGTGTGCCCTCCGTGCCCCGAGCAGCGGCGGGGTCGGTTCGGCCGAGGGCAGGGCGGGAGGGGGATGATGCTCACGGCTGTCACAGCAGTGAGGGTGGCTGTGGCCCCAGCGGGAGCAGGCAGACAAGGGGGTGACAGGAAGGGTGCTGGTGTCCCTGAGTGCCTGTCCCTCTGTCTGCCCACACCAGCCAGCCCCTCTGGTTTGTCAATTCTTGCTCAAAGTGGTGCTCGGAAGAGAAAACATCCCTGTGTTCAGTAGGTCTGGAACCCCCCAGTCCAGCACGGTGCTCTTGGGGCTGTTCCCTCAGGACATTCCACCCTGTGGGGTGAGGTGGGCTCAGCTCTCCTCAGGAGAAGACACTGGATGGGATAATTGTGTGTGCCCCACTGCTGGCACTGGAATTTTGGGGAGCACCACTGTGGTTATGGGCTGGCCAGAGTGAGCCTCACCATGGCTGAAGGTGCTTTCTCCTGAACCAGGACCTCATTTGAGTCTCTAGCTGAAGGAAAAACATTTCAAAAGAGGAGAAAACCCAACTGCTCTGCGAGTGATGATCTTGGAGCTGGGATTGCCAAAAGCTCCATCTGTTTTCCCTCTCCAGATCCTGTGAAGAGGCTGGGAGAAGCCTGCCAGGGAGGCAGGAGAAGAACCATCCTGTTCATAGTGGGGTAAAGGCACTGCCTGCCCCTGCCAGCTTAGGGCTGAGTCCCTCTGCAGGCTGGGCCAGGCCCTGCTGGGCTGCCAGGAGTCAGCACTACACCCCTGGGAATTGTACCTGTGTGGCTGGGCTGTGCTTGCCCAGCCCTGGGGAGCTGGAGGCAGCTGGAGCCCCTGGAAGAGCCACAGCCAGTCTGGGAGAGCCAGAGTGGTCACTGACCTCACATCCCCAGCAGGGACCTGGAAAATCTGCAGCATTCCCAAAGCTGCAGCCACTCCACATGTGCTGTGTCTTGAGCTGTTCCCCTGTTCCTGAAAGCCAAGCCTGTGCCAGAGGCTCGACAGGATCCATCCCCAGCAGTTCTGGGGTGCCACAGCCCAGGCTGCAGCAGCAGAGGGATGCAGGGAGGGTGCCAGGGGTGAGCTGCTGTGGTCAGAGCCTTTGCAGAGCCACAGCTCTTTCTGCCACCAGCCAAATATCGCTGCAGCACCGCATGACACCGGGGACACACAACAGGACTGGGACGTGGTGACAGGTCTGACTGAAAGCAGAAGCCCTTTCCGCTGAGTTTCTGCTCTCGTTTTGTCCATGTGGCTTTTCCTGTGCCAGAAATTGTGCAACCACTGCTACTATGGCACATCCTCCTGGGTTGTTAATCCAGGCGGGGCTGGGGGAGCCGCTGTGCCCAGGTACCCCCGTTTCTGATGTCCCTGTCTCCTTGGCAGGTACCACGACCAGCAGGATGTAACCAGCAACTTCCTGGGTGCTATGTGGCTCATCTCCATCACCTTCCTCTCCATCGGCTACGGGGACATGGTCCCACACACCTACTGTGGGAAGGGAGTGTGCCTGCTCACTGGCATCATGGTAAGGGTCATGCCAAGCTGCTTTCCATCCTCTGGGCTCTGCCTGTCTCCATTGTAGGGGAGGGGGGGCACTGGAATTTACCAGGGCCTGTTTCTCAGTGGTTTTGTCAATGTACAAGGCCTAACGACTTCAGCTCTGAGGTCTCATAGCCTGGAAGCTGATAGAGTTGTCTTGGTTGATGAATTTGGGGTGGATTTGGACCCACATCCAGTGAGGGTGGAGGGTCAGTGATGTCCCCAGGGAGCAGAAGGGCACCCGAGCATCCCTTGGCCATGCTGGTCCACACCATCTGGCTTCCATTGCTCATCTGCCATGGGTTCCTTTCCTTCTGGCCAAAAGGTCACCATTTTCCAGAGCCTGGAAGCCCACCATGAGATCTCCTGGCTTGTGGGACTTTCCAGCCAGGGCTGCTGAAGGAGAAGCTGGGGGGCCTATGGTCCCAGCTCCCCACAGATGTACCCTAGGCATCAGCTCTGCCCACCTCAGCTCCAGGCCCTGGGCATGGAGCCATCCCTCCTCCCAGCTAGGGCAGACCCCCCATGAGCACCATCAGCTGGGGAGGCTCCACCAAGAGCTGTTCATCCTTTGCAAGGCTTTGATCTGTCTTGGATGAGGCCAGATGCAGCAAGGCTGGTGTTGGTGAGAGCCAAGCAAGGGAGGAAATCCCTGTGGATGGGGGTGATGCAGGAATTGCCAGCAGAGGAGGAGCTGCTGCCTCAGCTGAGGGGATTCTGGTGCTGCAGGCTCCCAAAACTCTTCCCCAGCCAGTGGTGACTTTGAAGTCTGTCAAAGTGTCCCCCCACCCCCAATACAGCCCCCAACCCATGGAATGGAGACCCCCACACCCTCTGGGGTTGGAGGCTTTGCTGGGCAGCACCAGGGGTAGTCACTCATCCAGGAGGAGAGAGGTGGTGGCAGCTGAGAGTGTGCAGCAGGACCTTTGAGGACGCTGAAGGATTCAGGGTACCAGGTTAATTAATGACTCTTTAAGGAGAGCTTGCCAGGCTGACAGCACTCTGCCAGAGCACAGGGGGGAAGTGACCCAGCTGGCATGAGCAGAGCTCAGGAGCACAGCAGGGAGGCTCTGGAAAGAACACCTCGGCACAGATGTGCATGGAGATGGTGGCTGCCACACACATCTGGCCGATTGCTGGGATAAGGGAGCTCCCAGCCAGTGCAGTTGGGATCTGTGGCAATTTAAAGGGTTCTGATTTCTTCTCTGCTCTCACCCATGCTGCCTGGTGCTTCCTCACTGCTCTCCTGGCCCAGATCTCTCTTGGGGAGTGGAGGGCTCTGGCAGGGGCAGATCTCTGGCCTGCCCCTTGGCACAGGCTCCCCTGCGACCAATGCTGACCTTGTTAATAGCCCTGGCCTCTCCTGTTAGTTACAGAGCCCTTATCAGCCACTCAAGGACACCCAGGCTCTGTAAGATCTTGTTGGGATAATGGGGAGGACACGTAGCTTTAGTTAATTAGCAGATTTCAAGGGTGAGGGTGGGAGTGCTGGTGTTACAAAGCAGTGAGGAGCTGTTTCCCCAACTGATGTCCCTGCACAGGGCGCTGGATGTACAGCACTGGTGGTGGCTGTGGTGGCCAGGAAGCTGGAGCTCACCAAAGCTGAGAAGCATGTCCACAACTTCATGATGGACACGCAGCTGACGAAGCGGGTAAGGTGCCATGGGGGACAGCAGGAGTGGGGGCATTGCTGTGTGCCAGGAGCTGGGCATTTGGGCTACCATGGCAGGAGGGAGGGGTCAGCACCTCTGGTACTGTGGGTACCACAGTGGAAGAAGGTGCCGGCATCTCTGAGTGAAGCTACAACGGGAGAGGAAGGTGTTGGCACCTTTGGGTGTGGGTCCTGCAGGTAGCACTGCTGAGGAAGTTGTCCAAGAGCTGTGGATATAGCACAGGCACAAGAGTTACACTGAGACAAAGAGCAGCAGCTCTCTTCCAGGGATTTAGGAGCATACTCTCTCCTCTTCCAGAGCATTATCTCATTCTTCCTGTCAGGAAGACAACTGGGTTTTAGTGATTCAGATAAAAAACACACTGTGAGGCTCCCCTGAGGAGGGTCCCAGAGCCTGCAGCAGGGTGTGCATGGGGTCGCTGTCATAGCAGGGGCTGGTGTCACATCCCTGGTAGCATGTAGGAGCATGGAGGTCACTGGTCTTGGCAGCCTCACCATGACAAAGCATCAGCCAACAAACAGTGGCATGTCCCATAACGGGCTCTGCATGCTAGAATATGTTTCAGAGGGGACGGTGGCAAAAGGAGCATCAGTGCAGCCCTTGGAAAGGCAACCAGTGGTGGGAAGCAACCAGGGCACCCACTTCACCCCAGAGAGCTGAGCCCCAGACAAAGCCCTGACACCCCAGGAATAGTCAGGACCTTGGTGTGACCAGGCTGGGAGAGCAAAACAGCTGGTGAGCCCTGAGGGATCTGCAGGCTCCATGCCAGCTCCTGCTAGAGTGAGCAGCCGAGCTGCAGTTCAGCTAGAGAGTCTGCAGAAGTCACGTCCCAACACCAGCAGCACAACTGGGACCTGCAGCTCTGGGACCTGCCAAGATTGGCAGAGGGGTGCAGGAATCAAGAAAAAAATTGGGATTTTTTTTTTTTTTTCTTGAGGCTTATGGTACAACTTTGTGTGTAGGCAAAGAGTCAAGTGCTGGAGCATGAGTGCAGAGCAGGACTGGGATGTGGCCAACAGTTCTGCCCTCTCTTACTCCTGCTTGAAGTGTCCAGCACCCCCTGGAACAGTCCAGGAGAGTGTGTGGGTGCAGAGCTGAGTGCTTTGCCCCAGCTGGGGCAGGTCAAGTGCAACCTTGGCTCATGGCAGAGCCAGAGTCTCTGAGATCTCACATGGCTGGTGACCTGCAGCCACTCTTCCCTTGCAGATCAAGAACGCGGCAGCCAACGTCCTGCGGGAAACGTGGCTGATCTACAAACACACCAAGCTGCTGAAGAAGATCGACCATGCTAAAGTCAGAAAGCACCAGAGGAAGTTCCTACAAGCCATCCACCAGTAAGAGGCTGTGCAGTGGGCTGGGGGCAGCTGAGCTCCAGATGAAGCAGGGTCCTGTCCCCGGCAGGGGTGTGGGGGCAGTTTGCCATGGCCCAAGATGCAGGCAGGTCTCCAGATGCAGTTTGAAAGAGGGGAGGGAGTACAGCCATGTGCTCTTTCCTTCTCTCCAGGTTACGGAGCGTGAAGATGGAGCAGAGGAAGCTGAGTGACCAAGCCAACACCCTTGTCGACCTCTCAAAGGCAAGTCCCACAGGAACCCTGTGGCTTGGCCAGACTGAGTGTTTCTCTTCACTCAGAGTAACTAAAGCAGACTTGGCTGACCGCAAAATGCTCCGACTCAGTAAATGTCAGCAAGGAATAGCTGCTGTGGGATGGCTGCCCTTGCAAAGCAGGAGATACACGTTCATGAGCTAGGGGTTCCCTGGAACCCTTTTTGCAAGGGGTACCAGTGCTCAGCAGCACAGGGCCAGCAGAGTTTCCTCGCTTTGATGGCCAGGGATGAGCCAAACTGCAGTCACAGAACCCCTGGAGAACCTGGGGCGGGCTGAGATGGGGTAGAAAGGGGTAAAGGGGTGAGCTCTGCTGGCAGCAGCGGCACCAACCCCTCCAGCCATGGCACTAACCCCGCCACTGTCCCCTGTGTCCCCTCCCCAGATGCAGAACGTGATGTACGACCTCATCACAGAGCTAAACGACCGCAGCGAGGACCTGGAAAAGCAGATCAGCGGCCTGGAATCCAAGCTGGAGCAGCTCAGCGCCAGCTTCAACTCCCTGCCCCTGCTGATGGCCGACATGCTGCGGCAGCAGCAGCAGCGCCTGCTCACCGCCGTGCTGGAGGCCCGGGGCGTCGGCGTGCCCGTGGGCACCCCCCAGACACCTCTCTCTGAGAGCCCCATCGGGGTCAGCTCCACCTCCTTCCCCACCCCTTACACGAGCTCAAGCAGCTGCTAAAACACGGCCCCCGCCGTGGACAGGGGAAGCGTTTCCACACACATCATGAGGTCTCTGTGAACTTTCCTCTGGTCCTTGGACCGCTGCAGGACCCTTCAGCTGGAGCCAGTGGGACCAGCAGCGCCGAGCACCGCTCGGAGCTTTGCCAACGCCTTGGTATGGGGAATTGCATCCCTGTTCAGGTGCCTCTACACGTGGTGAAGGAAGGGGACAGAAGGTGATGCCTTGGGCCAGCCTGGGCCGTGGCGTCCGGTGGCAGACGGAAAACCCACGCTCAATCTCAGGTCTTCACGTTTGAAAACAAAACGAAACAAAACAAAACAAAACACCAAGTCAGAAGCACTGAAGCAACGGAGACACCGGAGGGAGAGTTTTTCTCCCTGGGGCACCCCCCTGGCCCCCCTGCCCCTCTCACGATTGCCAAACCTCGCCAGGCAGATGCCAGTCTGGGGAGGTTTGTTATGCAGGCTCTGGCTGACGCTGCCTATGCTCCATTCCATCTCCTTGCCAGGACCCACAGGACAGCCCCCTCACTCCAAAGCTGGGTGACAATGTCTGACTGTAACCTTCCTGTGGAGTTCCCTGGAGCTGTGAGTGTTTTCTACCCGGAGAAGAGCAATGGACACTTCTTCTTTCTGGTCCTTAGTGTCATATTCTGCCTGGAGACACATGCCAGAGCCAGGAAAGCAGTGCCTACAGCGTGCAGGGCCACGCAGGGCTGCCCCCAGCCAGTGTGTTGGTGGCCAGTGATGGGGCTGGCAGGCCAGCTCGGGCACTGAGGGGCTCTCCAGGTGCTCACATCACTGCCTGCTGGGAGCCTCCCAGCATCTCGCAAAGCCAGTGGGCTCATTGCAGCAGTCTCAGAAGTGCTGGATGAACACCCCATCAGCTCCAACTGTCTCCACTTGTGCTGGGAACACCCATGCTTGAGCCCAGTTGGCAATGTCGAGTCCACCAGGATCAAGCAGGAGCTCACTGGCAAGTGATGTGGTAGCAGGGGCAGGTGCTTCATCTGTTTAAAACAAAGCCCATGGCCTTCGTGCCGCTTCTGCTGGGTTTGGTGGAGGGCAGCAGCACTCTCTGGCACCGTCTTGGCAGAGGCACTGCTGCCCATGCCTGCCAAAGTGCAGCACCTCAGACTCCATTATACTTTTTTGCTGGTGTTCAGCTTCCTGAGGTACCCGTGGCATCACCTGGCTGCTTCTGGAACCAGCCACTTTCTGTTTTGCATTCACCATTTCTCTCTTTTTCTTCCCCAGTGTCATGCTCTGGCTTTCCTGGATCCTTGCATGGAGCCATGCCAGGCTCTGACTTTGGGGTTGGTGTTTGCTGCTTTCCATGAAAACTCAGCAGAGAGTATTTATACATTTTTAAACAGATGAAGTAACTATGTAATCACTCTGCAATATTAATTACACCTCACCCAGCAGTGTCAGTAATTGTAATCAGTCACTGTGCTACTCCAGGTATACTCAGCCTGTAACGCTCTCCTTTGTAACTTTTTCCCTTCCATAAATAATGCTGGATTTTGTGCACACGTAGGGGTAGAGACACAGCACCCTCCTGCACCACCACCCCTACACCCCCAATGCTGAAGAATTCCCTTGCTGCCAGTGGTGTGAGGTGGTTTCACTCCTTGTGCCCTGCAGCTGGAGTTACACAGAAAATAACCTGTAGTTAGTGAGGAGTACTGCCCGGACGCTGGCCCAAGGAGGAGGAGGAGGAGGAGGAAGAAGGCTGTAAGGCAACAGCAGGAGCACTGCAAAATGAGATCCCTGTGCTGCAGAGGTGTTGGTAGCAGGGGACAAGTACAATCATCCCTGTTTCCTTCAGGCAGGCCAGGTGCCCATTGCTGCTGGTCCTTGGCCAGTGGGAGATTCACAGCTGCTGGGAAAGAGCTGCTCTTCCAAGCTCTTGTAATTACCACTGATATCCCACGGATGGCTGGGGATTCACTGCTGCCTTGGAAGCCCCCCATGATCTCCCTGTGTGCCTGTGGGTGCCCCCCTGTCCACCTTGCCCAGCAGAAGCTCCTTGCTGATCTCTCTCAGGAGGTTTTCAGCATAGCAATGGAGAATATGTTAGAAATTCTGAGAAACAGCCTGAAATTCAGCATTTTTCCCTGGCCTGCAGGCAGCTGGTGGAGAAAAATGCTTTCTGGGCTTCAGATAGGAGCAAACTGCCCATGGAATGGTGCTGTGCATGGGATGAGGTGTGAAGACGTGTCCTGGGGCATCAGAGAGCCAGAGGAAGTATTGATTCTTAAGGATCAATATTGCCAGCACAAAATCAGTCTGGGAAATCCAACCAAGTGAGACAAGTGCTGCCAGCTGCAGGCCCCAGGGCTGGAGGTGGTAAGGACCACAGTGAGAGAGCTGGGATTGCAGCTGGAGCAAGAGAGCCTTGCTCTGGGGCAGAGCAGCTGCTGCTGCAGTGGGATTTCGACAAGGCTGGGTCCCTGTGCACCCTAAACCTTCCTCCCTGGCCTCACCTCAGCACAACCTGCAGTGCAACAACCCTTCTGCCTGGGACCTGGCAGCCCAGGGTCTGCACCCTGCATCCCACACACCCCCAGACCCCTATCCCACCCCTGCACCATTCCACACCCCTGAATGCCCACCCTAATCCCCATATCCCACCCCTTCACCCACTCCCCTGCCAGTTCTTCAGCACTGGTACCAGTAACCCTCACCCACTGCTCCCAGTGGACTCCACCGTGGCCAGCACTGCGACCAACCCCCTCCAGCCCTGCTGCCAGGACCCCAGAGCCCACCTGAGGCCACAGTGAGGGCAGGAATGGTGAGGAGCCCCCAGGGCAGGGCAGCCCAGCAGAGCTGCTCCCTGATGGCAGCTCTTGGTCACCAGCAGCCTCGGCTGGCACAGCTCCAGTGAATGCTCCCCAGCCTGTCCTGTCCACACGCCTGAGATGATCACTTTGGGTACCCAAGGGACATCAGGACAGAGAGAAGAGCCGAGATCAGCAACCAAGGTGGAGGAACAGCACAAGAGGAAAATCGCAGCGATGCCGACCTCCTGCAAGCTGGGAAGCCTCTGATCCCACAGTCCAATGGGGCCAATCCCCACTGCCCCTCCAGGACCCACCTGACCCAGCCAGTCCCATTTTTGGCACAGTCTTGGGGGCTTTTTTTTGCTCCACGACTCTCCTTCCTGCTCCGCCTGCAAGGAACTATCCTAGAAATACCAGAAAAATTCCACAATCTCTCTGCAAACTCATGGATGTTTCTGTCCAGACTTAAGGAGCTTTGACCTGGGTTTGCATCTTGCCTCTGTACTGCTCGCTTCTTTTTTATTGATAGGGGAAAGCATAATAGTTTATTTTAACTATGAAATATATTGCTATATTATGATGGTTATGGTAACTTTCAATTATGGTTTTGTACCCAACACGGTTGTTAGCAGGCAGCAACAGCAGGCTGCTGCCAAAAATGTCTGTTTCTGAGTACAGCTACTACTGCCAGTGAGGATGGGGGACAGGGAGAAGTGCAGAACCCGAGCTGTTATCATTTATCCCCCTTGTACTCATTTCCAGTACTTGGAAGCTGACCTCTAGCAGGTCTGGATCTGTGTGTAGCCCAATGGCACCAGAGCTTTGCATGTTCCTACAGAAAGGTCAGGCTCCCCCTTTTTCCCAGGTTCTGGAAAGCCATTTCCCCCAGGTTGTCTTCTCCAGCAGAAGGAGGGACTCTGCTCCAGGCACAAGCTCTGCAAGGGTCAAACTTCCTCTTTTCCTCCAGGATGGAGGCTCTTGAGAAAGCAGTGCTGCAGAGCACATTTTCAGAGAATTATGGAATCATTGAGGTTGGAAAGGTCCTCTAAGAACATCAAGTCTAACTGTTAACCCAGCACCACCACCAAGCCCACCGCTAACCTACGTGCCCAAGTGCCACATACACAAAAAATCTTCTAAAAAATCTTTACAAATCTTCTAAAAAATCTTCACACATCTTCTAAATTCCTCCAGGGATGGGTACAGCACTACTGCCCTGGGCAGCCTGTACCAGAGCCCGACCACACAAGAAATTTTGCCAATATCCAACCTAAACCTCCTTTGGCACAACTTTCAGGCATTTTCTCCTGTCCTTTCACTGGTTACTTGGGAGAAGAGACTGGGACATGTCCAGTTCACATTTCACACCCTGCCCTGGGGAGCTGCAGCTTCTGCTCAACCTCAGGATATGATGGCATAGGAGGCCAAACCCCTGAGCATGAAAGAGAAATGAGATGAGGTTGCAGGGAGTGTTTTGTCTCAGCCTTCCAGCTGGGAACAAGCTGCCCAGAGTTGTGTCTGCCCCATCTCTGGAAGTGCTCAAGGCCAGGTTAGATGGGGCTTGGAGTAACCTGGTCTAGTGGAAGGTGTCCCAGTCCATGGCATGGGAAATGAGATGAGCTTTAAGTCCCTTCCAACCCAAACTACTCTGATTCCATGATTCTGTGATTCTATGGACTCCTGGAGCCTCAGAGAGCATCACTTCCTTACCTCCAACTCCTGAGCTGCTGAACCTGATCCCTACTGGATCATAAGTCTTAAACTGCTCTTTGGCAGCCACACTTTGTCCTGGCCAGTCTTCACAGAGCATGACGTGTCTGGGAGTGAGCAGCACCTACAGAACCAATTCCTGCTGCTTTTGTCCAGAGAAAGTCTAAAAGTCCCTGCACTGGCCCTTCCTGATCAGAGCTGCTGTCACTGCCACTCTGCCACCGTTACCACTGTCAGAGCTGTGCTGGTGTCACCCTTCCAGGCCAGTCCAACCCAGCAGAACCCCAGCAGCAATGAGCTGCCACGAGGTCTGGATGCACCTTGCTGGACCCCAGACCTGAAATCTCCCTGCAGAAACCAGCTCTGATGGAGGAAAGATGCTGGTTCTTCTGCGAGGCCAGGGCTGAGCCTCTGCTGCTGCCAGCTAGGTCTGGGGCTGCCAGGGGATTCCTGGTCCTCTGCACCACTCTCCCTTGGGCTTCTGCTGCCCAGCATCTCCCAGGCAGCCCAGAGCCCTGTGCCTTGGCCACCAGGTATGTTTGGTGGGGGGCGATGGTGGTGATTGCTCAGCAGTTTGGGAAGATTCTGCTGCCAGGATCTGCACTGCTCTGAGCTTCTTCCCACCTAACTCCAAGCTCCCTCCTAAAAGGTATCCAAAGGGTCCAAGGTTGTAGAGAAAAGAATTTTGCAGGAGAGAGAGAAAAAGCTTCTCCATGGTATTATCTCCCTATGGGATGAGCCACCTCAGAGTCCCATGAGGCACCAGGCAGGGCTCCAGAACCACCTGCCCAGTGGGTGCTCTTGGCTGGGGGCCCTGGTGCTCTGTGCACCCAGCTCTGCTCCTTCTTCTGCCCAAAGTGTTCTTCCCCCCGCTGGGGTCTCAGCACTGCCCTTGCACCTTCCAGTGGGAGCTGCTTGCATGTCTCTGTGGTCAGGATCCAGTCCTGGGCTTACCTTCCTCCTTCAGGGCCGGTCTCTCAGCTGGAGGACAGGAGTGGGGGCTGGCCCGTATGCCAACAGCCCATCCCCACAGCATTGCCATAAACCCGAGCTGTACCCAGAAACAGGCATGTTTTAAACTATGGCTTTAACCTGTTCACTGTAAAAAGTGCCTTGGACTTTAATCTGAAGAGGTCACTATCTAGAAGTATTTACCTGTGCGGGTGTGTAAGGATGCAGCTCTCTGTGCAGAGTTACACACACAAATATATGATCTATACGTACAGCTATCAGTGCCTCAGACCCTCTGTTCTGCAAGCCGTGAGAGCTCTTTTCTTTCTGCCCCTGGGACCAACAGGGGAGTGATGTTGGAAGCATTCCTGACCCAGGGACCCCTTGCTGAAGTGAAACTTAGTGCCACGAGGGTTGTGCTGGGTGCAGGGACTCCCCTCAGCAGTGCTGAGCTGTCCTGTTCAGCTTGGTGCTCCTCAGGGTCTGTCTGTGCAGTTTGGGAAGACCCCAGGGAAGGGGAGGGAAGCTGAGGCAGGGGTCACATCCCTGGACCCCCCATGCCAGGAGCTGCTGGGCACTTTGTAAAACCAGGGGGAACCCCCAGATGCCTTGTTTTATGGGAGTGATGAGGGATTTTCCAGACACCTGGTCCCCAAAAGGATTTTTGGTTCCCATGTTCTTGGGCTGTGGCTCAAGAAAGGAGTGCAGGAGGTTGGTGGCATGGCAGATGCTTTTCCCTCTGGCTCTGCACTGAGGGTCCCCATGCTCTCCCAACTCTGCTCAAACATCAGAGCTGGGCTCTGCCTCCAGTTCATCCCCCACCTCTAAAAAACCAAGGATAAAAGTTGTCTGGGGTGCAAAGGGCACACAAATAACTTTCCCAAAGTGAATGCATTGGTTGAGATAAGGGGAAGCTGGACCCTTTCCCAACAAGCACCACTCTCAGCTCACTCTGAAGATGGCAGGCTGAGGACTGGTGCCCCAAATTCCACCCTTATGCCAACAGAAACAACTCCCCCAGCTAAACATGGAGCTGTGGAGCCAGCAGAGAAGGAGGAAGGTGATGTGCAGTAGTTGAATTGTGATTAATCAATAAATCGGGCTTTTTTAGTTTTGAGCTAATACCTCTAAATCCTAAAAATACCTCCAGCAGTCCAGGGGGCTCTCTGATAGGTGATTAAACCCTTGGAGCTTCATTTCCAGGATTAATGGCTTAGAGCAGCAGAGCCCTGCCCTACAAAGGCAGCTGCAGTTCTGATACTGCCCATGAAGGCAAGGCAAAATACGTTAATCTTTCTGTGCAGCATGAAATCTGTTTTAATTAATGGCTCAGGATTAAAGTTTCTCCAAACAGAAAGGTAATCATGGCCATAGCGTGGATCTCCACCTCCCTGTGTCTGCCCAGTGCTTTCCCAGCCCCAGGAGTGAGGGGGAGGAGGAGGAGGATGCCCTTGGTGTGAAGGTCTGGGCACCTTTACCCAGCCCAGTGCAACGTGCCTGCATCAGCACTGGAATGTGCAGCGACAGGAGGGGAAGTGCACTTCTGAAGAAAAGAGGGAAAAAGGGGGGAAAAAAGAAAAAAAAAAAAAAAAAGCTGTTGTTTTGCTAAACAGGTCCTTACACACAGAACTTTTATAAACAGCAGGGAACTACTGCCTTCCACAAGGCAGAGGAAAATCCCAAGCAAACAGCTCCACAGGGCACGGGTTTGAATCAGCATCTGCCTGCTGGGAGTGAGCAGGATGTGGGAGGCAACCCCTGGGGGCAGGCAGGGAACAGGGGCTTTGGATCAGGCTTTGCCTCTGCAGGCAGGCAGGTGTTCTGGTGCTGAGCTACGGCCTCTAAATGCTGCCATTTCCCCAGTCAGGAGCTGGGAGTCTCACTCCCTGCAGAGACACTTTTGGTTCCTAGGGGATGGGGTGGGTGGTGAGTGAGCAGGAGATGTGGTTTCCAGCTGGGCAGCCCAGATCTGGTCCTCAGCTCTTGAAGCCAGGAAGAAAAGTGCTCAGGAAACCCTGTTCTGCACTTGCTGCAGAGATCAAATGAGGTGGGGACCTGTCTTGTAGCTGTTTCCATCTTGGATGTGCTGCTCCTTTTCCAAGGTAAAATCGAGGCTGCTCTGCTGCTAATTCATCTACCCAGCCTTGGTACTCCTGGCACCAAGGGGCTCGTTCATTCTTGTTCATCAGCAGAGCAGTGGTGTGAGGTCTGCAGGCCAGATCACGCCTTCCAAGCACAGTGGGTGATATCAGCCAAACAGCTTGGCACCACAAAAACTGCTCCTGAGCCCTCATAAGCCCAGACAGGGCTGCTCCAGCTCTTGCTCCAGGCCATTCCAATGGGATCAGTAATCCTGGAGCCTGTGACAGTGCCAGGTGCCAGTGCAGGGCTGGGACTGCATGCAAGGCCTGGGAGGAGGATGCTTTTTCCCTTCTGAGCTTCCTGCTCAGCCACAACATTTGCATATCAGCTTCCTCTTCTCTCCCTGCATTCCTGAGAGCATCTGCAGAGGATGGAGCTGCCTGATGAGAGGCCAGGTTAGAGTTAATGACATCTGTGTCCCTTTACATGTTAAACAGATGGAAGAAGTCATCTCGGTTTCCCGGAGGCTGTTGGCCTGGTGCTCCCATCATAAGAAAGGGTTTTCAGCAGGGATGGGCTAGAAAATTACACTTTGGTAGTCAAATTATTATTTTGGGGTTTTCTGCTGGGGAGCAGTCAGTGTGTTGGAACAACAGCAGCCCTCCCAAGCCAGCTGGTGCTGGGGGCTTTGCTACAAAACCCACAGACAAGCTGTCCCTTCTTCCATTATGAAATTTCAAGAGAACTAGCAACCCAGGGCCAGGAGTGGGGTCCAACTCCTGGGTCTGCTGGGGAGAAGCTGTGAGGGGACAGGAGAGCCCCCACAGCCACCCTGCACGAGGGAAAGCCCTTGCACATGTCACAAGGACCAAAGAATTAAAACTGTAAAGTGGCACTGCCAAAAGCATTTGAGATGGGAGCAGGTGCTGCAGGGGATGAGGTTTGACATTGCCACCTAACCTGCACCAGGCAGTGCAGAGCCTGTTTTCATGGAATCACAGACTGGTTTGAGTTGGGAGAGACCTTAAAAATCATATAGTCCCACCCCCTGCCATGGGCAGGGGCACCTTCCACCATCCCAGGTTGCTCCAAGCCCTGTCCAGCCTGGCCTTGGACACTTCCAGGGATGGGGCAGCCACAGCTTCTCTGTGCCAGGGCCTGCCCACCCTCACAGGGAAGAATTCCTTCCCAATATCCCATCTAACCCTGCCCTCTGGCAGTGGGAGCCATTCCCCCTTGTCCTGTACCTCCAGACCTTTGACCAAAGTCCCTTTCCAACTCCCCTGGAGCTTCTTTGGGCACTGGAGGGGGCTCTAAGGTCTCCTTGGAACCTCCCATTCTCCAGGCTGAACTCCCAGCCCATCTCCAGTGCAGAGGGGCTACAGCCATGGAAGTATCTTTGTGGCATCTTCTGGAACCTCTCCAGCAGCTCCATGTCCTTATGTTGGGGCCCCAGAGCTAGACACAGCTCTGCAGGTGCCCCCAACACAGGCAAGGTTTTGAACGTCCAAAACTGAAGAGGCAAAAAGCAGAGAAGTAATTTCACTGCAAATGAAGCCGAGCTCTTTCCCATTTTAAAAATAACTGGATTTGTGGGAGAAGCGGTGAGCAGTTCCCAAGTGAGGTCAGGCACAGGCACAGAAATCCCTGTGAAGTCTCAGTTACTCCAGTTAATCCCAGCCAAGTCCCTTGCTGCAGCTCAGAGTGCAACAGACACTGAAATGGTTGGCTCTCCTTCATCCCGCTCTTGCTGCCTCGAAGAAAGTTGTAGGAGCTGGAGTTTGCCATGATTCCCAGGTGTGGAAGAGGCACTGAGAGCTTCACATGGTTCCCTGAGGTTCCTCTCCTCCCTCCATGCCAAGCTGTGCTGGTACAGGGCCAGGGAAGATGCTGCTTTCTCCAAAGCTGGCACTGAATGCTGGTTGAGTGCAACAGGTTTTGTTCTAATTAAAGAGGAATCAATTAGGCTGCAAGATATTCAGCCACCTGGTGCTTCTGACTATTTTTTCCTCCTCCTTCTCTTTTTTTCCTTAACATGCTGCTGCTGCTGCCTCCAGGGAAGCCATGAATGAAGCAAGACATGTTCCAGTTTCTTGCATTCTTTTAGATTAAAAAATGCTGTTTGGGAGGAAATCTGTGCAAGGCAGCCAATTACAGTGCTGTACATGTCCCTGTGATCTGCAGCTGGCATCTCCTCTGCCATCCATTACTCCCTCCAGTCAAGCCTCCTGTGTCTCCATCAGCACATGGCACTGACTCTGTCAGCAGTCAGTTTGTGCTGCAGGGAAAAAAATTATCTGCAGCAATTAAAGAAAAAGCAGTAGAAGAGGTGTAGTGGGATCTCACAGAGGCATGGAGTCCTGCATGCAAGAAAGTCCTTTGGAGATCCAGCTGTGCCAGGCTTTTTCCTGTGAGATGCTCCTTTAGAATGTCTCTGTGCTCAACAGCACATAAATCAAGAGGAGAGGAGAGCAGCAGCTGCTGCCTTGGGCAGCTTTGGAGTTTGCTTAGCACTGAGCTTCAAGAAAAAAGGGAGGGTCAGCAAGTACCTCAAGCAACACAGGTAAAAATCAGACACTGGAGTGATGGTAAGTGGCAAGGGAGTAGTGGTGGAGAGCTCTGTCCAGGGTGCATGTGATGCTTTTACCCTCAGGTCAGTGCTTCTCTCCTCAGGGCAATGCTTTTCCCACCCACGGCTCTGCCTCAGGGATGGACTGTGAAATCCCTCTGATTTGTCTGAGCACATGATAAAGCCCCCTTGCAGATAAACCAGATTTAATATTAAATATGAAAGGGCAAAAAGGGGAGCCTGGGCTTGGATGGTGATGTAAAGGTCATAGAAGGGAGTATTAATGCCATGTCAACTGACATCTGTACTAGGAAGATCTTTGGATTCTGGCTTTAGGAAGGATTCATTAATTCAGCTGATTGACTCACTGGAAACCACTGCATCAGATGTGCTCAGAGCAGTGAAAGGAAGCCCCTTCCCCTCACTATTCCCCCTCCAAGAACAAGCTGGGAGGTCCGTGGTCTGTCTAGGATCCCATGTAACCTCCTGCAGCAATGCTTTGGCCATGACCTGAGTCAACACCTTTGTAAGGGGCAGGCTGACCAGCCTGGAGCCATGCCAAGGGGACACTGACATCTGAGGCATCATTTGAGCAGCCAGTGTTCCCACAGCTCCTTTCCAAGCTGAAGGAGCCCCTGGCCTCAAGGCACTGGGGAGGAGTAGCCCAAGAAGCCCACTCCAGAGGAGATTTGGGCCCACATGCTGTGATGGCTCTAAAACCACATGAAAAGAGCCCCTGAGCATCCAAGAACTCAAAGTGAAGGCCGTGCTCACACAGCACGCCCTGCCAGCCAGGTGGCTGAGCCACAGTCTGCCTCCTGCCTTTTTTGTACCAGACAGAATAAAACCGTGCTGCTTCCCAGCGCTGCAGCTGCCGTGGGAGGCAGAGTGCTGCCTCCTTCTGCTGCAGATGTGCCAGGCCCACCTGCCATCCCTGGGGCACACGGGTGCCTCAGGTGGATGAGCATCACACAGACAGAGGTGTCAGGAGAGCCCCTTGCCCTCTGATCCTCACTGGGAGCTCTCAGGGTGAGTAATCCCCCCCTTGGTGATTTGAAAGCACAGACGTGGCAGCTGCTGGGGCTGTACCAAAGCTCAGGGTCACTCCTTGGCTGAGCAGCAAGGCAAGAGCTTGTGCAATTCCCTGGACAGCTCTGCTGCTTCCCCAGCTGGGAACCTGTATGCTGGGAGCAATAGAGAGCAAAGCAGGGGGAAAAGGCCTTTCTGGGGAGCAGCTCCTTGCTCCGGTGCCCACACCAAGGCCACAGGCTCAGGATGGGGCAGCACCTCCCATGCATTACCTGCTCCATGTTTATAGCTACCATAAAAATCCATTGGAAGAAAACAAAGCATTTTTTCCCTTCTAGGGGAACTGATGGATTTTCCATGTCAGTTCCCAGCTGAACATGTGCAGACAGACTGGAGAAAGTGCAACACTTAGAAGGACGTGGGAACCAGCTCAGCCCAGTTCCTCCCTTCTCATATGAGGAGCCTGGAGTGTTTGATGGGTGCTTCTGCAAGGAGGCCAAACCCTAATTGCACCTCTTGCCAGTAGTGTGAGAGCACAGCCTGGCCCTGGGGCAGAGGGGATCAAACAGCAGCACAGCAGGTGATAAACCACCACTCCCAGGGCTGCCGTCCCTTAGAAACCACCATCAGCTGATTAAGAAGTACAAATCTCTCATGCAGGAACAGGCTGTTTGCTAGAGCAAGGAAGTGATATTTTAGAGTGTCTAATAAAGGAGCTTAAAATGAAACTCTGCAGAACAATAGCCTGAGCTGATAACTGGCATCCGAGCAGAAAGTCAGGCGGGGGAGCTGTGCCACAATTTATTTCCTCTCTTTTCATTTCATAAGAGGGAAGCAAATCAAAGCAGACACCTGAGGCATCTCCAGCTGATGCTGGAGCTTTAGGGAATGCTGCCATCCTGCGGGGAAGCCTCTGCTCAGCCTGGGGAACGTGGGAGGTTTGGGGCAGCCCCCAAAGAAGCAGGGGAGCAGGATGAGACCCAGCATCCAAGAGCAAGCAATGGAACTTTCTCCACCCTCCACCAAATGCAGCCAGGCAGCCTCAGGTAAGCTGGTTATCAGCTCCTTATCTCCACCACAAACTGACTGGTTTTGCCATGACTGCAATCTCCAGGGGCTGCAGGAGCTTTTGTCAGGGCCAGGCAGATGCCATGGCTGTGTTAATGCTGGGACTTCAGCAGCTGGAGGTCTCCTGGTCTCCCAGCCCGTTCCTATGGAAACAGGCTGGGAGCCTGCCAATTTTCCCTAAAGAATGAGAAAGGAGAACGAGCTTGTGTGGATGGAGTGCCTGTTTGTCAGGTTTAGGCTGTTGCAATTCTAAAGGATACGTGGCCCAACAATGCCAGCAGCACAGGATTTCATGAGCAGCCCATGGCACAGCAAGGCTGTCACACAGCAGCGCTGGAACCTTCCCATTCCATCTCCACAGCAGCCAAGATGAATCACATCCCTCCAGCCTGGAGCAAAGCTTGGGAGTGATTAAAGGAGAGTGAAAAAAAGAAAAAGAACAGATTGAGGAGTCGGTAGCTGCGTGCTCTGTGTGCTGTTCAGCAGAGGGGATGGGAGCCTTTGTGCTCCCAGACCCTCCTAGGAACAGAGATGTGACAACTCCAGTGAGTGTGCAAAGTTCTTCTTTAGGCAAGGAGTCCTTCCATTATAGAAAAAAAAAAAAAAAAAAAAACACCAAAACCACACTATGACACACAAGCCACAAAATCTCTAAATCCAGAAATAATAAAAAAAAAAAAGAAAAAAACCAACCAACCAAAAAAAAAAAAAAAAAAAAAAAAAAAAAAAAAAAAACACCAACAAAAAAAAAAAAAAAACCAAAAAAAAAAACCAAAACCCTGAACAATCCACAACCTTCACTGAACACGAGCAGCAGCTGAGCCTGGCAATTCTGGGCTCTGACTCACCATTTCTGCAGCCAGGTTCATTGAAATGCCTTTGGAAAGCTGCAGGGAAGAGCCCACGGTGGGTATGTGGTCCCCACCTAAAGGCACACACAGGTTCCCCTCCACTGGGACACACAGAGCTGCTGGGAGGACCAGGCTGCTCTGAGGAGCTTGTCTCTGCATGTTTTGCCTGTTCATGGACAAATGTAGGCAGATGGGCCCTTAAAATTAAACCTAAACCTGCCTTGTGCAACCTGAGGCCACTTCCTCTTGTCCTGCACGTGTTGCCTGCAACAAGAACTCAACCCCCACTGTTGGCCTTCTTCCATGCTTTACTTCCTCGGTTATTTATTAGAATTGTCTTTATAACTGTCAGTTTCCACACATATCACAATCACAGATACACAGGTTACCTGACACGAAATACAGCTTTGTATTTCACGTCTGCCCGGGCAAGGGAAGATCCACCGGCGGCAGGGGCCGTGCCCGGTTTGGGATTACGGAGAAAGAACCTCGGACAGGGTGGGATGTGACCTGCCGCACCTCCAGCATTAAAATAACGGATTCAAATGGGGGGGTGAGGGGAGCCCCATAGGAAACCTGCGGTAAAAGACGAGCCCCGCTGGGGAGGCCTCGGTGAGGGGCACGGGGGATAAGGAAGCTCCGAGGGAGACGGGAGCCCATAGGAAACGGGAGTCCCACGGGCCCCGGGGGCGCACGGAGGACGGGAGAAGCCCTCAGCCCTCAGGGCACGGCGGCGCTCAGGGCGCACGCGCGGGCCGGGCCGAGGGGAACGCTGTGGGAGCAGCGCCAGTGCGCGCCGCCGCTCCCCGGCAACACGGCGGCAGCGGCGCTGCCTTCCAGCCGGGGGACTGGGCGGTTGTGCTGTGTCTCCCGCAGCGAAGCGCCCGGGTCGGGCCGAGCCCCGCAGGACCAGGGACACCGGCACAGCCGAGCGCTGCCCGCGCCAAACATGGCGGCGCTCGGGCCCGGGGAAAGATGGCTGCCGCGCGGCTGCTCGCTGCGCGCAGGCGCGTGGGGCTGGCGCGCCTCATCAGCGCGCGCCGGCAGCGGCGGCAGCGGCAAGGTACAGGGGCGGGAGGAGGGGGGGCCGGGCCCGGCCCTCACGGGCCTGTGCGGGACCCTCCGGGCCCGGTATCCATCAGCGGCCTCGGGCCGGGCCCTCACGGGTCTCTGTGGGTCCCTCCGGGCCCGGTACCCATCAGCGGCCGCGCCCTCACGGGTCTGTGTGGGTCCCTCTGGGCCGGGCCCTCACGGGTCTGTGTGGGTCCCTCCGGGCCGGGTATCCATCAGCGGCTGTGGGCCGGGCCCTCACGGGTCCGTGCGGGTCCCCCCGGGCCCTCACGGCTCCGTGCGGGTCCCCCCGGGCCCGCGTGTCCCGCAGCGGCCGCCGAACGCGGTGTGACCGTGTCCTGCCTCCCCGAGGTCCCTGTCGTGTTCCACACGGCGGAACGCGTAGAATAAAAGCCCCGAGTCCCGGCTTTCGGTGCTCGCCGCCCTCCCGTGCAGCGCCCTCCGGGCTCGGGGGCCTCATGCTCGCGGTGTCCTGGTTTGACATGGGTGCCGGCGGCGGTGCCCGCTGTGCCCTGGGGTGTGGCTGACGGTGGCAGGTGTTCCCCAGTCCCTCCCCAAGCCGGGACAGCGGCCGCTCCGGTGCGGAGCCCCGTCCCGCCGGCAGCTCCCGAGTGACGGGGCCGCGGGGAGCGGGGCAAGGAGCTGCCCTCCCGGGCTCGCTGCTGAGAGCCTGATGGTTGCTCCCGAAGCCCAGAGCCCGAAAGCCGGCCAGCCCCCGCTGCGAGCTCCCGGGGCGGGGCGGAGCGGCTGCTGCGGGAAACGAAACCGAAACGGAACTCGCAGCCATCTTGGCCGTGCCCCGGTGCCTCCCGGCCGGGACGCGTTCTGCGGCTCGGCGTTTCTTTTTTCCCTGTGTTTTCTCATAAAATAGTTTGGCGTGCGGATGAGACTGAGGTAAGAGCGTAGGTTTGTTTGGGTTTGTTTTGTTTTTTGGTTTTTTTTTTCCCCAAGGCCTTCATCGTGTTTTTGCGCTGCCCTTGGCTCAGGGATTTTTTTTTTTTTTTTTCAAGGCCTTCATCGTGTTTTTGGGCTGCCCTTGGCTCAGGGAGCACTTGTAAAACGGGGTTACTGAGCAGGGGGGCAGCAGTGGGACTGCTCCGGAGCTGGGGAGGTGGGGACCTGCCGCTCTGCATTTAGCCTCCCCACGTTTGTTTTAAAAATACGTCCTGGTGAACGCAACCGAGTGCAGTTGTTTGATGGAAGTGATATTTAAGTTGACCTTGAGGCATTTGGTGAAGATGGGGAGCTTTATAAAGATGAGACTTGGATCAGAAAAACTGTCTTTGTGATGGAGGGCACGGAGGAGCAGGCGGGACGGGACCCGGCAGTGTGTATCATGTTGCATGTCTTTATCCTCTCAGTTCTTTAGCAAGCATTATCAGAAAATTAAAATATACTGGGCTGGATGCCTTATTTTTAAAAAGCATATTAATAGTTTAGTCTTACCCCTGTACCCCAGCACAGCTTTGTGTGATGGAGTGAAATTTGGGCTAATAATGGAAAAAAACTTGTTGTACCGTTGCCAGCTGCACACCTATCCAATTTCTCTGCATGTTATCACTTTCATTCCCCTCTCGTGTGATGTTTTACCTCTACAGGTCACATAGTGTCCAGGGAGGAAAAGACACTTGGCGTTTCAGACTGTTTTGGCCATGAATCTGAAAATAATTGCAAGCCTGTTGCAGCTCTGTTCTGTGTGACCGTGCAAGTTGCTCCAGCTCACCTCCTTGTAGTCCTTTACCTCCTCATGCCCCCGTTTCTCAGGTTGCAAAGTAGGTCTGAGATTCTTCTCTCCCTTGTGGCAGTGGAGCTTGCTGTGTTTCAGGAGTGCATCCTGAGCAGGCCACCCTGCCCCGTGCTGGAATCAAGCCTAACAGGAGCAGTGTCAAAGCTGCTTCTTGGGATTGACTTCACCTGCAGTTTGGGGCTGCTGGTTCTCTGCTGGGCAGCCAGAGTTTGTGTTTTTAGACTAATTTAGGCTCCTAGAGAAGTAGAAAAACAATTGACGAGTGAGAAGATGCTCAAAGCGCTTCAGTAGCTGGGAAGCTGTTTAAACTGCATTTCTGGAATGCTGTCGTTGTGAAAAGATGTCCTGAGCTCCTGTGTTTTTTCTCCTCAGGGCGGGAGAGTGTGGAGTGAGTGGCAGCTCCTGTCCTGGCTCAGCAGCAGCCTGGCTCCCCTGCGTGTCCCAGGAGTGCGCTATGCTCAGAGGCACTGGGCGAGGCAGAGGCTCCTATCTCACCCGGCCAAGGCATAACTGCCCCAGCACTAACCGAGGTCCTTTTAACCACCCTCGTACCCCACAAGAAACTAATGGGGAAACCTTTTTACACCAGCAGCTGGTGACAGAGCGGGACGCTGAGGTCTCTGTGTTGCAGGGACAGGGATCGCACAAGGAGTGGCGCACCAGAGGCGGGCGAGCTGCGGCACCGGCTCCTGCAGGCAGAGGTCAGCCCAGGGCTGCAGCCCGTAGCTTCTCCAGCCAGTATCCCACTCTGCCTCGGTACTGCCCTCCGCAGCACCATCGGCAGGAGAACTCCAGGAGGGATTCTGACGCTGTGAGGTTGAATTTCCAAAGACTGTCTCTTGCTGGGCAAGACTATGAACAAGAAATTCTGAGTGTTTTCAGGCAGCTTGGGGAGGGGAGGACTTGCACGGCTCATGAGCTGGCACGTAAACTTAAAACTCAAAAGAAAGAGGTCAACCGTGTTTTGTATAAACTCCTCAGAGAAGGCAAGTTGCACAAAGAGGGGGAGACACCACCACTGTGGAGAATTGCCAGCCCTAGTTCAGGGAGAGAAAGAAGCCCTACTGACCACAGTGCCAGTTGCACAGATCCAGCAAATTTTGAGAGCAGAGGAGGAGAGCGGAGTGCATTTGGCTTGGGAGACACAGAGATGGCTGAGACAAAGGAGAAAATCTGCAACTACTTGTTCAGTGTGGTGGAAACAACAGCTCTCAATCTTGCCAAGAACATTGGGTTTTCGAGAGCCAAGGATGTTAATGCATTTCTTAGTGCTCTGGAAAAGCTGGGGGATGTCCACAAGCAGAATGCAACTCCACCACGGTGGTCCCTGACAAACAGGAAACGTGAGAGGATGCAGATGAGGCTGAAGGCCAGCACAATAATGCAGATGGCAGATGCCACACCTCCTGAGTCAGGTCTTCCCTCTTCCATTGTCCCTCCATGTCCCCCAGAGGTCACTGCAGCGGAGCCAGCAACGGTGAAAGAAGAAGAAGAAGAAAGTGCAGAAAATGGGCAGCAGCCTTTGGGGCAGGCTGGTCAGGGCAGTGGCAGTGACACAGAAGCAGATGCACCTGAGGACACTAAGCCTGACTTCTCCAGTTTGAGTAGTTATGATAACTCAGAAAACAGCAAGTGGACCACAGATGAAATCCCAGATAATCTAAATGCTATCAACAAGCAGCCTGATAATTCAGAAAGCATCATGAATCCTCAGTCTTCCCCCAGTTGTGCTGCCCAGTTTGAAACTGCTTTCCCATGTACACCTGTAGAGAAACTGATAGCTTGTCAGGAGAAGAACCCAGTGAGTGGCCTTACTGAATATTCCCAGTACACATACCAACACTGTGATTTCATCATGCTGGAGCAGAATGGACCCTCTCATGAGCCACGGTGAGAAAATGTCCAGCCTTTTCTGAGCTCTTTTTCCATAAAATGATTTGACTTAAACTAAGTTCACCCACTCAACTGTACTGAAGGGGCCTGCTGTTAATGTTTCTTTCATTTCAGAAGGATTAGCCTGGTTGATTCCTTGCATCAGCTTAAAAAATAAAGCAAGGCTAAAGCTGAACCCTAGGCAGCCCAGTTTTGGCATTCCTCATTCTGAGCAGCAAAGATGGGATTAATTTCTTCACTATGTCCCATCTCAATTACTTGCCTTCAAATTTGACCATATGGAGGGAAGCTGGTATTTCTAAGCTGCCTCTCAAGATGGTCTTGGCCTGGAAATGGTGTAAAGGGAGCCCAGAACAAAGTGTTTGGGTGCAGGTGTCTTAAGTTAAACAAGGTGGCCCCAGTGTGTACATTTCTGTGTTGTAGCAGGTCAGAGCCAATTCTCTGAGCTGAGCATGTGGCATGACACAGCAGTTGGCTAAGTCAGTCTCTGGAGTCCCTTGCAGAGTCATGGCTGTTACTGAGCATAAGCAAGACTGAGAAAATCTCCATATGTGCCACACTGGAATATGTCAATAGATCTGCTAGACAGGAAAATTGGCCTAATTTCTAAAGATGGAGTCCCAGGGTTTTGTTATTTTGGGTTTTTGGGGTTTTTTTTAAGAAAGGAGCTGAATGGATTCAGTGCCATGGTCCCTCTCCTGGTTTGACCACTCTCCTCGGAAGCAGATTTCCAGGGCTGGAGGGTGGAAGATCAGCTTGTTTGTTAGAGGTCACAGGAATGGGGGAGGCAGAAACATCAAAGGCAGGAGGTTTATGTGAGGCAGCACCTTTCTAAGATACACTGGATAACCATGGAGAATGCCAGAGGGAGGAGTGACCCCCAAATGACCAGGTGCAAATGAAACAGTGCAGGCTGCTTTTGAGCTTTCTTATTCCTGGCCAGGAGCCACCACAGAGCTGCTGCCTGCATACACCCATTACCTGTTTCTGGCACCTGTGGTGGAACAAGGCAATTCATCCTGTTCCTTCAGAGCAAAACGTGGTTTTGCTGCTTCTCTGTTGTGAACAGCTCTGGAAATGTAATGATGCAGTGCTGCTCAGGTACCCTTGGTATTTTTGTCTTCTGCTCATGGCATCCTGGATTTACTCTCCCAGCTGGAGAGAGTTTCTTTTCCTTTGAATTTCAAGAGCAGCCTTGCTTGCTCTGAGGAGACCACACATCTGCTTCTCAGTATGCCCCTTTGGTTTTCTCTTTCAAAGGTTTAAGTTCCAGGCAGTGATCAATGGGCGCCCATTCCCACCAGCAGAAGCAGGGAGCAAAAAATTGGCTAAGCAGGAAGCAGCAGCTAATGCCATGAAGGTCCTGATGAGTGAAGTGGAGAATGGAAGGCAAGGTGGAATTAAATGTGAGGAGCCATTTCCCTCCAACAGCTCGGAACCAGAACTGGTGAGTCCTGTTTTCTTCACTTTGTGAGGCTGCTCAAACAGTATTGAGTCTGACACTGATTTCCTCCATCTTCTTGCTATAGCCTTTGCAGATGGAGCCAGAGGTGTCATCTGCAGCAGCTCACCTCAGCCTGCTTCCTGGGAAGCACCCTATCAGCATATTAATGGAGTATGGTCAAAAATCAGGGAACATAATTGAATTCCAGCTGCTCTCTCAGGAAGGCCCACCTCATGATCCCAGGTATGGCATATTCTTGTCACCTTTGAGGGAGGATGGAAATAATTCTTCAATGTCCTTCCCCTTTGGCATGCTGCCCACATTCCTGGACTTGTCACTGACCTAGCTGAGTGCTCCTCCTAGCCAAGGATTCTGGGCATGGCTTATCCAAGATATCTAGTTCCAGAAGGAGGCCCAAAGTGGTGCTCCTTCTCAGAGAAAGGATGTTGTTTTCCTTCTACCAGAGCAGGAGGGGGTTCCAGTCCTGTACCCTTCCTGGAGGTGCTCTACTGGAAGTGTTTAGGGCCATCACAGTAGAGTTCAATTGAAGATAAATTGGAGATAACCCAGAAGGATTTACCTGGGAGTGGGACACGGGGATAGTAACCAGATTGAGACACTTATGGTTAACACTTTTCATGTACTATAATATCCTGTCAGGTTCAGCTACTGTGTGAAAATGGGTGACCAAATTTTCCCTGCTGTGGTAGGAAACAGCAAGAAGGGAGCAAAGCAAATGGCAGCAGAAGTTGCTGTGAAGATCCTTTCTGGAGAGTCTGTACCCCATGTCTTGCCTGAACAGGTATAAAGAGCTTTTTTATAAGACCCAAGTGTTTGGAATTGGGTGCTCCCCCCTCTTTTATTTCCTATTCTGCTGGATTTCACCCCACAAGGTCATGTGGGGCAGAGGTTTGCTGCTGCTCTTGGCCTGCACTGAATGCAGCTGCTCAGTGTTTAACAGTCTTCTCCTGTCTAACTCTGCTCTAGCCTGTTGTGAAGCCCCTCAGTGACCAGTCCATGCACAATATTGCCACTCCAGATGAATCCAAAGTGGTGAAAACGAAGGGTGTTGGGGAGCTCATCAAATACCTGAACGTCAATCCTGTCAGTGGCCTGCTGGAATATGCCCGTTCCAATGGGTTTGCTGCAGAGTTCAAACTCATTGACCAGTCAGGACCTCCCCATGACCCCAAGTAAGTAGCAGCATCTGGCTGAAGGAAGTTTTGTGCTGCTGCTGTTGTCCTAGGAAAAGGGCAGAAAGCTCAAAATTGCTGATGCCTTTTGAGATGGCAGCAGGGCTAGCTGCTGCCTCCGCCATAGCTTGTCCCTCTGATTCCCTCCTCTCTCCACTTTGTGAGTGTAAAAACCAAACTGAAATCCACAGGTTCCTTGGTTTCCTTGTAGGTTTGTCTATCAGGCGAAGGTTGGAGGCCGCTGGTTCCCAGCTGTAACTGCACACAACAAAAAGCAGGGCAAGCAGGAGGCAGCTGATGCAGCACTCCGAGTCCTGATTGGGGAATCGGAGAAAACCGAGCGCATGGAAGGGATGAGCATCGCCGAGGTAAATCTTCTGCCAGAGCTGGGGCTGTGTCATAGTCCTGCCTATCCCCCTCCTCTCAGTCCAGCCAAAAAATGCTTTCAAAATCAACCGTGATCCCTTTGTTCTCTGCAGCTGTTGATAACCTGATATGGTTTTCCTGAAGTGGGTTAGGTGTTTCCTCAGGGCACAGGCGTACCCTTCTGTCCTACAGGCCTCTGCTTCAGGGCTAAATTATTATCAGATTCTTCCATAAGCTGCTAAAATGTCTTCCTGTGGTAGAGTAGGAACATGGTTTTTTTAATTATATGACTTTTTTATTATTTCTTCCACATTTCTTTGTGCTGCATTAAAAATTGTGTATCAGCTCAAAAAATTCATGCATCAGTTAAACGCAAAGCCCTGGTTATGTCAGGATGGCTTTCCCAAACTTGGGCTGATATAAATCACACTTAGAGTGTTGTGAGCTCTGAAAAGCCTCATTCCAGGCAGCACAACTGGGCACAGCAGCTGGGACTCTAAATAGCAAAGCCATCAGGGAGGATTTGTCAGTCAGCAGTGCTGGAGGAGATGGGTTGGTCTGCACTGGAATGACTGTGCACGCTCCTCACAGGCAGCCAGAGGAAGAATTCCTCCAAAGCCAGGAACAGATTTCCTTGGCTGAGTCTCTGCAAATAGGCAGGTTGGTTTTGTTCCTTCTTGCTCAGGGTTTTTCCTGCCATTCTCAGGAAGCCATTCCTCAGCCAGTGTCGCTTGCTGCTGTCTCTGATGTGGCTAAAGCAGAGCTCAAAGCCTTGTGTGAGGTTTTCCCAGAAATACCTAAAAGAGCTTCGCCCACTCTTGACACAGCACTTCCCAGAGCTCAGAGTTTTCTGTGCACTGCCTTCTGCTTGGAAAGCTGCTGCAGGTTAGCTCACTCTTGAGCTGTGTCGTGTGACCCGGCCGTGTCCTGTGCTGTTGTCCCTGTCCCAGCTCCCTGTGAGTGGCAGCACCCTGCACGATCAGCTGGCCATGCTGAGCCACCAGCGCTTCAACTCCCTCACGGCTCGCCTCCAGCACAGCCTGCTGGGCCGCAAGATCCTGGCTGCCATCATCATGAGGAGAGGAGATAAGGGCCTGGGAGTGGTGGTCAGCATCGGAACAGGTATGGACAGCTTCCTCCAGCACACTCTGAGCTCTCTTCCGTGCTAGGTTTCCCTGTCAGCTGGAATGGCTGTGCTGTAGGCTTCCTCAGAGGGTACAGAACGTTCCCAGGGCTCACATGGTGTCATGAGTGATCTGGTTAGAGAGAGAGAGAGGACAAAGCAAATGTGCCTGCAGCTATATTGCTCTTAATCTTTGCTTGCATTGCTGGGTCCTACTCTGTGCATCAGAGCGTGGGTTCCTTATGTGTCAGAGCACACGATCCCTCAGTTTCTCCCAGCTGCACGTACCTTATCTCCCTCCCTGCTTTGCTGCCAGGCTTCTACCAGGAGAGATGGGCTAAAAAGCCCTTGGGAAGGTACAGTCCCCCAAAACATATGGCAGTTTAAGTCTGTCTGTCCCTAAAGTGGTGTCCCTTTATTTTCTTAACTGCTTGTTACAGTGATTTAATAGGCAGAATGCTCGTGCTGGTGCTGCTGCTCAAGAGTCCAAAGAAATAAGACTTCTTCCCTCTGTCTCTGAAACCATCTTGGCTTTGATATCTGTCCTATTATTTAATTCTTTGTTTGTTTGTTTCAGGTAATCGCTGTGTGAAAGGAGAAGAGCTGAGCTTGAAGGGGGAGACAGTAAATGACTGCCATGCAGAAATCATTTCTCGAAGAGGCTTTGTGAGGTGAGAAAAGGGGAAACTCAAAAGGAAAAGGAGAGAGGCCTGCCAGGAGCTGCTCTCCCATTCTGGAGGGATGTGGCTGAAACACACACCTAGATTTTTGCTGTGCTGTGAGATGCTGTGGTCCTCAGACACTGTTCACTCATGTTGTTGAATGAGTTCATTCATACAGAGGGATGTTATTTTTGGTCAGAAGGGGCCATACCTGAATGATGCCCAAATAAGCACTGAATGGAGACTTGCCAGGAGCCCAAGGGCTGCATCTGTTGTCCTTAATATTAAGCCTCCTGCTGAAGCTGCTGGGCTGATGTACAGGGTGCTCTCCAGCCTGAGCACAGCTCCTGCCACATCAAGCCACTGCAAGCTTGGTCTCCTGGCCTTTCTAGGTCTGGGTGTAGAAGGATTCAGGAAAACATACTGCATATACTTTGCTAACTAACATGTTTTTCAGAGGCTGGAAAGGGTTTTCCCAGCTAAACTACACAATTCTTTTCTTCCTCTCCTCTTCCCCTCCCACATTCACTGTGGCACTTTTTACTTTTTGAAACCTAAAGTGAGATGAAGCTGGGCTGCTTGGTTAACATTTGTCCTTCAGTTATGAACAAAAAAAATCAGCTGCTTCCTTCAAGCCTTTGTGCTGCCACTGTGCTCTGCATTCCTCAGCAAGGGAAAGTGTTGAGGGCAGTCCCTGGGAAGTGATGAATCAGGATTGCATCTTGCTTACTGTCTGTTTCAGCTGTTAATCTTGACAGCAGTGGCTGCTCTGGCACAGCAGAGTGAACGCTGCCTCTCCTTGCAAAATCAGGCTCTGCTCAAGGACTGTCTGGGAGGCTGCAGTTCTTCTTTAGTCCTTGACACCATGTTGGAGACCTCAGGGTTTTCCCTGGCCAGAAGCAGCCATAAAAGACCCATCAGTGTAAACAGATCATGGGCTCGTTCTGATACCCCTTCAGTTCAGCTGCCTGCAGGGTTGTTCACTTTTAATGCCAACTTGCTGCTGACTAAAGGTGCTGGTTAACAACCTTGAAGTCTTCTTCACACTGGGATCAGATGCATGAGAGCAGGCAGTACCCAGCCAGGCTCCTTCTTTTCTCCTGCCAGAGCTTCCCTCAGCTTTCTGGACAGGCTTTTCTACTGCTTGTCCTCTGCATGGCAGAAAATCTGCTGGATTTTTTGCCCTTTTTGTGCATCAAGCATTGTTTGTTGGCTTGCCAGGCATCCTCAGGCACAGCTCCTGGTCTCTGCCCTTCCTTGTGGCAGGAATGGGTGATGTGGGGCCCTGCTGTCAGTTGAAGCACTTCTTGTCTGAGAAGCAGAGCAGCCTTTTGACAGGATGGTGTTTTTTTCAGGTTTCTTTACAGTGAACTGATGAAGTATGACCCATCCAATCCTTCCTCTGCAGAAGAGAGCATTTTTGAGCAAGCAGGAGGAAAGAAACTCAAAATAAAGAGCAGTGTTACCTTCCACCTCTACGTCAGGTTGGTGGGGGGGTTTGAATGACTGGCACTGTCATGCCCCTGGCCCTGGCAGTTTCCTTGACAGTCACTGCTAACCAGGGAGAGTTTGTTTTCTAGCACAGCACCGTGTGGGGACGGAGCACTCTTTGATAAATCCTGCAGTGATCAGGCAAACGAGATGGGACAAGCCCAACATCAGCCTCTCTTTGAGAACCCCAAGCAAGGCAAGCTGCGGACCAAGGTGGAGAATGGTGAGTGCAATCACTCCCTGCACCATGGGGTGGCTTCAGTCCTCTCCTGGGAGCCTTTCTGGTGCTCCAGAGCTTCCTTACCCCACTCTGTTGTGGGATATGAAGCATTCAGGAACCAGAAGAGGTAGATGGAATGCTTTAGAGAGAGTCCCTTTCCCCTTCCCAGCTCTGCCTGTTGCACTGCCATCCTTGTGAAGTTTGCAGCTGAAGTTTGATGCAAAGCTCACATCTAGGTCTGTGTCCTGCCTTTCAAGCAAAGTTCTATTCTGCTTCAGCCATGTTGAAAATTACTCATCAGTAGCCAATACTGAATGCCAGGTTGCTCCCTGAACCTGGTGTCAGGCTCCTGAGTTCACTCTGGGTATCCAGAAGTTTCGTGTGCAGTTGTTGATGGGGTTTTGATTTACTGAATATCTGAGACTCTACAGAAAAGCTTTCTCCTTCTCTTGTGCAGGGGAAGGTACCATTCCTGTGGAGTCAAGTGACATTGTGCCCACGTGGGACGGGATCCAGCACGGGGAGCGGTTACGAACCATGTCCTGCAGTGACAAAATCTTACGCTGGAATATTCTTGGCTTGCAAGGAGCATTGCTGTCCCACTTCCTGGAGCCAGTTTATCTCCACTCTGTCACACTCGGTGCGAAACCCTCTGTCCTCTCGGGGTAAAACTAGGCTGCAGTGACAGCTCCTCTCACTCCCCGGTGTGATGGCAAAGTTTGTGGAGGGTGTAGGAGTAACAGACTGAAATGTCTTTCTTGGCAGAGCTGTTTGAAAATGCAGAGGGAGGTAGAGGATTTTAGGCTGTGGGTAGAGTCGGTGTCTCTGCAAAGTTCTGGATTTTTAGGAGGCACGTGTGATCTAGCAGAGTGAGACAAAAACTGCATGTTTGTGTCTTCAGTGAGGAATGTTGCAGTCTGTAGACCATTGTCTTGCACACCCAGGATACACATAGCTATGCTGATCCACATGCTGTGAGCAGTGCTGCAGTTTTTGGAGTTAGGCCAATCCATCGATGTTGGGATGTTGGGGGGCACAAGACAGATGATGGACTTTCACATCACCTGTGCCATCCTGTTCCCTCACACCTTCACCTCTGTCTCCACAGGTTACTTGTACAGTCAGGGTCACTTGACCCGTGCCATCTGCTGCCGCATGGAGAGGGATGGGAGCACACTGAAGGAAAAGCTCCAGGCTCCATATCACATTAACCACCCTGAGGTACTGCAGCTGTAGCACTTCTTCATCTGTGTCCCTTATTCCTTTCCCTGTGGGTTTAGGGGGTCCCTGAGGTGCTCTACAGGTGTTGTTGTGCAGCAGCCCTTCAGCCAGGGACAAGAATTAGTGACCAGAAGCACAAAATCATACAATCAAGGGATATCCTGAGTTGAAAGGGACCCACAGTGTCTCATCAGGTCTAGCTCCTGGCCCTACACAGGACAGCCCCAAGAACCTGCCCTCTTAGTGTCACCCCACAGTTTGGGGGTTACTGGAATGTGTCAATCTGGCAAAAAGGACACTAAAGTTGTCTCTCTAGCCTTCATCTCAGTAAGAACGTTTTCCTTGTGACTCTGGAAAGTTTGGGATGAGCTAAAACTGTGAGGGATGAAAGGGGCAAGAGACTCAGGCAGCAGGACCAGGCTAAGCTTCCTTCCTGTGCAGGTTGGGCGAGTCAGCGTGTATGACTCTGCAAGGCAGACGGGCAAGACCAAGGAGTCATCAGTGAACTGGTGTCTTGCTGATGAAAGCGAAGTTGAAATCTTGGATGGCACCAAAGGGAAAGTAGATGGGTAAGAGGAGCCTTTCCTGACACTGCCTTTTCCTGACGCTGTCTGAGGGAAGGGGGGCAGCTCTGAGGTGGGGAGTACACCCTGCACTGTTACAGCACCCTACACATGGGGAGGGTTGGATAGAGGAATTTTAAACAGACAGAAGCAAGCACTCCTGAAGGAAAACAAAATGTTGCCTGCCTGGACCCTACCACTGAGCCCTGCCAAGCCCAGAGCTCCTCCAGAATGGGATTTTCCCTGCTTCTCTTGGCTCTTCTCAGTGTCCTGTCCCTCATTGCTGTCATTGTCTTCCTTCCCAGTGTGAAGCTGGATGTGTCTCGTGTGTCCAAGAGGAAAATGTTCACCCTGTTCCAGCAGCTCTGTGCAAAGAACAACCGCAGAGACCTGCAGGGCTTCTCTGTGTACTCGGATGCCAAGAAGGCAGCCACAGCTTACCAGGCAGCCAAGCAGAGCTTCTTCAGCACGCTGCAAGAGCTGGGCTACGGCAGCTGGATCCGCAAACCCCAGGAGGAAGAAAATTTCTGTGTCCTTGATGTGTGAGGAAGCACTCTGCAAGGACTGGGGGGTGCACAGGCTGTGCATGGCTGTGCTCGTCCCTCTTTCACCACGTTTTTGGAAGTGGGATCAGGACTGTGCAGTGGTTTCTTCATAGGCCTGGCTGCCTTGTCACTGTCACCCAGACCCTGTGTTTTTAAAATGTGCATGTAAATGATTCTCCTGTTTTTTAAAGCAAGGGCAGGCTCAGTCCCTATTTGCTTTTTTATAGTTTTGTCCCCCCTCCTTTATTGTTTTTTAAGGAAGGTACAAGAAACCGGAGGAATTTTCAAGACTGTGAGCTTGAAACCTTTGGACCATGTACTGCAAATCCCTCTGGCAGGTTTTGAGGCAAATTTTCTCCTTTGAGATTAAAAAAAAAAAAAAAATCAGGCTGTTTGACTGGTTTTCTGTGTGTCTCTCTTGGAAGATGACTGGCAGCCCAGCCAAGCTGGGACATGGGCCTCAATGTGCAGCCATAGGACCAGCATAACATTAAGAAGAAAATTTCAGCATTGTTGGCCATGGGTGTGTTGATTCCCACTGAGGTGAAGATGGGGCCGTGGTGGGGTTTGGAGAGGGACAGAGATGAGTTAGTGTTGGCTGAATGATGAAGGGAGCCAGGTGGAGTTTGGAGTTGAGCCTCTTACCTCAAGCCCAGGGCTCATTGGGCAGAGCTGAGCCTGTGAGGGCTGGGCTCTGAAATGCTGGGGCAGGGCCATCCCTGCTCCTTCCCTCACTGCCAGCTCTAGGACAGGATGGGGTGAGGATGGGGTGTCCTGTCTCCAGCCTGGACCCCAGTGGTGGCTGCAGGCCCTGTCCTGTGTCTGTCTGAGCTGAGCCCTGTGCCAGAGCTGCTGGTGGAAGGTGAGAAGTAGCAATGCTGAGCCATCCAACAGCAAGTTTATTGGGTGCTGTTGAGGCAGCCCTTTTCCCTGTACAAGGCAAATGCTGGCTTTGCTTGGGATGAGAGCTGTCTGTCCTGTCTCAGGAGACAGAGACAAGACCTGTTAGCATGGAAGTACAGCCCAGTGAGGAGCCTGAGGCTGGGAGCAGGACCCAGCTCTGGCTGTGGATCTCCTCAGGACAGCCGGGCTGGGGCCAAACAGGGTCAGCACTTGCTGGAAGCCCAGCTGTCACATGTTGCCCCTGCCTGCAGCTGCCCGTGGGCATCCACTGCCACACAGAGCTGTGGGGGGAAGGAACTGCCTTGGCACCCAGCCCAGAGCAGGGCTGGGGGCTCCTCTCTCTGCAGCTGCTCAGTTCTGAGGCTGTGGGGGCTCCTGCTGTGCTCCCCACACCTTCCCAGTACTGACAGCTCCCCACTCCCCCCTGGGGCACAGCAGGACCTCCCCATCCTGCACTCCCTGAGGCTGGACCAGCAGCAGAGGAGGCACAGAGGTGGGATAAACTGGGACCAGCCCCTGAAATGGGGCTGCTTTAGGAGTAAATCCCTTACCATTTAGGTATTGGGGGGCACCCCTGAGCTCCGGGAGCAGCAGCTGCAGCAGCTGGGATTTCTCTGGCTGGGTGAAGTGCTGGGATTTAAATTAATTTCTAGCGTGCAGCTTCCCCTGGCCCTGTGTGTTGCCAGGCCCCGCCACCACCACTCCCCCCAGCCCCGGGGATTAGTGGTATTTATAGCAAACACTCCATCTCAGTTTTCCCCAACGAGGCCAATTCCTGCTGGCCAAGGGAGTGCAGGCAGTGCTGCTGGCCATGGTGTCAGCCCAGTGACCCACGGTGGGGCCAGCAGCTCCCAGCTTGGGTTGATTAATTGTGTTTTCCTTTTCCTTGTGCCTGCTCTTGGCTCCAGCACGCAGAGCCCGGAGTGGAACAGAAGATGGAGCTGGAGCAGCCCCTGGCACTTGCTGCCCTTGCCCTGCCTGCAGGTAGAACATAAAAATAGCCTCATCCTGCTTGGTCCATGTGTTCACTGGGAGCCAGAGCTGAGCAGCTCTGCCTCTGCTCCTGTTCTGTCATCTCCTGGGAGCCCCAGAGCTGGCACAGGGCTTGGCAGCACCAGCTGGAGCCAGGGGCTGCCCACTGAGCCTGGGGCTCTGGCCCCACATGGCGTGAGAGGAGATGCAGGGAGGGACTGGTGCTCCCAGGAGCAGAGGAGAGAGCTGAGCATGCCCCCATGGATCAGGTTTCACGCTCCTTTGCTCTCTCCCTCGGCAGCTGGGATTTTCCTCTCACAGAGATGATGCCTCCCTAGCCTCTTACCTTGGTCACAGGCAGCCAGAGTCACCCCAGCCCGGCTGCATCCTGCTCTCTCAGGCCTGCAGAGCACAGTGTGGGATGAAATGACACCAGATGGAACCAGCCCGCTCCTGTGGGAGTATTTATTGGTTTGCAGGGGCCGCCTGAGCCCAGTGCCCAGCTCTGTGGCCCTGGGACTGGCTGTTCCCCATGCTATTTGGAGGTGGGGGTGCCCTGGCCAAGCTGCAGCAGGGAGTTGGTGGTGTAGTTCTGGAAGAGGGGCTGCAGGAACATGCCAACGGTGCCAAAGACACAGACGAAGACGAAGATCCAGAGGAAGAGGCGGTCGATGACCATGGCCACGTACTTCCAGTCCTCACTCACCTGCACGGGGTTGGGAGAAATGCTGGGTCAGGCTGGGGCCTGGGTATTGCCTGACGCTGCCCCAGCTGGGGATTTGGCATATCTCAGAGCCTCCAATCTGCTCCCTCAGCACTGCAGCTCCTGGGGCTGCCTGCCAGCCTGCTGTGGGCCTCATGGGGCTCATCCCCCTGCTGTCACCCGCACTGCTGAGCCCAGGAAACATCTCCCCAGTGGGCAGGGCTGGGAGGGGACTCTGCAGAATCTGCAGCCTGACTGCCGTGCAGGGCCAGGCCTCCTGCGAGCCTCCAGAGCAGCTGCTTCAGCCTGGGACTGCAGTGGTGGGTCAGGGATCAGTGCTGGACCTCACTGGGCATGGGGCCAGGCAGGGATCCCCTTGGTGCTTGTGCACATCACTTTGTGTGGTGCAGCCGTGAGCCAGAACACACTCTGCACCCCCTAGCTCTGCCTGCAACCCCAGCTCTGGCCAGCCTGAGCACTGCTCCACTCCCAGATGCACACCACCCCCAGCTCTGGCCATCCTGAGCACTGTCCCACTCCCTCTGACCACCCTGAGCACTGCCCCCAGCTCTGGCCATCCTGAACGCTGCCCCACTCCCTCTGGCCACCCTGAGCACTGCCCACTCCCAGATGCACACTGCCCCCAGCTTTGGCCACCCTGAGCACTGCCCAAATCCCTGCCCACTCCCAGATGCACACTGCCCCCCTCTGGCCACCCTGAGCACTGCCCCCAGCTCTGGCCACCCTGAGCACTGCCCCCTCCCAGATGCACACAGCCCCCAGCTCTGACCACCCTGAGCACTGCCCCAGTCCCTCTGGCCACCCTGAGCACTGCCCCCAGCTCTGGCCACCCTGACCACTGCCCCCATCCCTCTGGCCACCCTGAGCACTGCCCATTCCCAAATGCACACAGCCCCCAGCTTTGGCCACCCTGAGCACTGCCCAAATCCCTCTGTTCATCCTGAGCACTGCCCACTCCCTCTGGCCACCCTGAGCACTGTCCCCAGCTCTGGCCACCCTGAGCACTGCCCCCTCCCAGATGCACACTGCCCACTCCCTCTGGCCACCCTGAGCACTGCCCCCAGCTCTGGCCACCCTGAGCACTGCCCCCTCCCAGCCTCCCACCTCGACTTACGCTCTGGTCGTCGTCCTCGCTGCGCATGTGGTCAGCGATGAAGCGCACGCCGTCCACCGCCTCCTCCAGCCCGCAGCTGCAGCCCGCCGCGGGGCCCGGCGCCTGGCCCTGCCGCTCCCGGTAGCCGTTGAGCCCCTCGGCCTTGGCAGCGCCCGGGTTGGCGTAGCAGGTGCAGCTGTGGGCACCGGCCTGCACGAAGAGGGCGGTGGCGGCGGCGCGCTCCTGCGTGTGCCGGCGCTGGCGCAGGCGCTGGCGGGCGCAGCTCTGGCGCGGCTGCTTCATGAAGAGCAGCGCCGGGAGCTTGTGGAGGAAGAGGGTGCGGACCCAGGGCGGCATGGTGTGCGTGGTGGGCGAGCGGTGGTGCACGTTGAGGACGCAGACGCTGGTGACGATGGAGAAGGTCACCAGCACCATGGTGAACATGAGGTACTTGCCCACCAGCGGCACGTCCAGTGAGGTGGGCGGCACGATCTTGGAGATGAGCAGGAGGAAGACGGTGAGGGCGAGCAGGACGGAGATGCAGAGCGTCATCTTCTCGCCGCAGTCGGACGGGAGGTAAAACACCAGGATGGCCAGGGAGGTAATGAGGATGCAGGGGATGATGAGGTTGATGGTGTAGAAGAGCGGCTTGCGCCGAATGATGAAGTCATACGTGATGTCCACGTAGGTGGAGTCGTCGGGGTTCTCGTTGCGCCGCCCCGGCAGCGCCACGATGTCCCACTCGCCGCTGGGCGTGAAGTCGTCCAGGCTGGCCACCTCGCTCTTCAGCACCAGGTCGATCTCGGTGCGGTCGTAGGTCCAGGAGCGGAACTTCATGGTGCAGTTCTGCTGGTCGAAGGGGAAGTGCTTCACCTCGATCTTGCAGGCGCTCTTGTAGATGGCAGGTGGCAGCCAGAAGATGCTGCCGTCGTAGGAGATCACCGCGTTGGAGTAAAAGGAGACCTCGTACATCCCATCGGCGCTGGGGCGAAGACATGCTGTCAGTCCTGCTGTTGCCAGCCCCAGCAGTGCAACAACACGGCCCCCTGCCCTGGGTGGGGTTGGGGAACACGTAGCCCCCCCCTAAAAATGACCTACTTGTTGTAGAGCACCACGTCAGGCAGCCAGATGTGCTTGGAGGGCAGGCGGACCTTCTTCATGTTGTCAAAGTCCTCGGGCTTCCACGTGAGGCGATAGTCCTCCCACTCCTGGGGACAGGTGGGATCAGCCCAGCCACAGGACAGGGGCAGGGGGTGGTTCAGGACAGGGGGGACACAGGGGTGCCACACAGGCTTGATGGGGGGCTATGACAGGGCAGGGTAGACATTGGGGTGCCACACAGGATGCATGGGATAGGGATGGGTCTCAAGGCAGGAGTCCTGAGGCAGGGTGGACACTGGGGTCTCAGGGCCACGTCAGAGCCCCTAGGGTGCCCACCTGGGTCAGCCAGACGTTCGTGGTCATGATCTGCTCCCGCTCGTGCTGCAGAGAGAGAAAGGCCAGTCACCCAGGGAGGGCGCCGGGAGGGTTTGGGGCTTGCCCGGGGGGGGCTGGGGAGCAGAGCCCCGTCCAACTCACCACGCTGATGAGCTGCGCCAGCGACACCATCAGCTGCACGGTGACCAGCTCCGAGCCGTTGGTGGCCGGCCGGATCAGCTTGTTGTAGCGAGCGGGGTCCAGCAGGTACTCGACCAGCCGCTCCTCCGTGTCAGTGCCCAGGCTCCCTGGGGCACGGCCGAGCCTCAGCGCCACGCTGCCAGGCAGGGCCCCCCTCCAGGCTCCGGGGACCCCCGGGACAGAGCCCGTAACGAGTGTGGGGCTCTGCCCGGCAGCCCCGGGGCGGGGATGGCGGGGTGCGTGCTGATGGGGGTGTCACAGCGGCGCCGTGAGCGGGGGGCGAGCGGCTGCACAGCGCCGGGGGTCCCTCCGCTCCCCGTTCCCTCCCCGTTCCTGCGGCTCCCTGCCCACCCCGGGCACGGCCGGCGGCACCGGCAGCGCGGTACCGGCGCCGCTCCGGACCCGAACCGTGCAACAGGCGCAGCCCCCGGGCCCGGCCCGCTGCCCTCCCCGCCCGTGCCGGTGCCATGCCCCGGAGCCGCGGCACTTACGTCGGAGGGCGGCGAGAAGGCAGAGGACGCGGAGCAGCGCCATGGGGGCGGCCCGGTACCGGCGCCCGGCGCTGTCCGCGGTGCTGGCCGGGCGCTGTCCGCGGTGCTGGAGCCGGCGGCGGCGGCCCGGGCGCCCCTCCGGGCAGGGGCGGGGCTCCCCGCCGGCCCCGCCCCCTCCCCCGGGGCTTACCGGGTGTCACTTCCCCCCATGTCGCGCGACGCTTCCGGCGGCGCCGCCCCGCCCGTTCCGCCGACGGCACTTCCGGGAGCGGGGCCGTGCCGCCGCCATCTTGGGCGGGCTCCGGGGCTGCGGCGGCGGCGGCGGCGGAGCGGGTCCCTCCATGGGAAGATGCAGCGGGCGGGGCCGGAGGAGGCGGCGAGGGCGCAGGCGGCGGCGGGGGGACCCGGGCGGAGCGGCGCCGAGGTGGCGGCGGCCCCCGCCGGGCGGCTCCTGAGGCGGGAGCTGCGGCTGCTCGAGTCCATCTTCCACCGCGGCCACGAGCGGTTCCGCATCGGCAGCGCCTGCCCGGACGAGATCAGCTGCGAGTTCGTGCCGGGGGCCGGGGCCCGCGCCGGCGCCTCTGCCTCCCGGGGGCCGCCGCCGGGGCCCGTCCGCATCCACTGCAACATCACGGTGAGCCCCGGGGGCGGCGGGGCCAGCGCCGTTGGGGCCCGGGGGGCGAGCCGGGCCTGCGCCCCAACGTCCCTGCCGGCGGCCGCCGCGCCGTTCCCCGCGGTGTCCGGAGCCCCCCAGCCCCGTCCCGCTGCCCGTGCCGCGGCCTGGAGCCCCTCGGAGCGCTCCCGTTCCCCCTGCTTGCCCCGGGTTTGTTTGGGAGGGTTTCCCCGGTCTCCCTTTGGCATCCTCCTCGCTGCCCTGGCTCACCCGCGCCGGTGCTGCGGGGCTCCCGGTGCTGCGGGGATCCCGGTGCTGTGGGGATCCCGGTGCTGCGGGGCTCCCGGTGCTGCGGGGCTCCCGGTGTTGTGGGGATCCCGGTGTTGTGGGGATTCCGGTGCTGCTGTGCTCATGCCCTCTTTGCTCACGAGTTCCCCCTGGTTTTTGTGTCTCCGGACCAGGAGGGCTGGCAGAGCTTGGTAGCCCCTTGGATGGGGCTGACAGCCAGGGTTTTTTGGAGGGGCACGTTGGGAGCTTTGTCCTGGATTGAAGGTGCCTGCCCGGCCTCTGCTCTGCCAGGTTCTTCTGTAACAAAGCTCTGAGGGTGGAGTAGCCCATGGGATGCCCTCGGTGTCCTGCCTCTGCTGCCTTCCACGGGCAGAGGGGTGGCCAAAACGCCTCTGTCCCCACTCTGTGTTCAGCCCTGGGCCAGGGGGACGCAGCCCAGCGTGGTCCCAGCTGGGGTTTGTGTTGCCCTCAGCCCAGGTTTATGCTGCAGGGTGGGTCAGTCACCTGTGGGCTGATCTCTGAGGGGTCTTCAGCAGCCTCCATGCCACCAACACCCCCTTCTCCCCCTGTGCAGGAGTCTTATCCAGCTGTTCCCCCCATCTGGTCTGTGGAGTCAGACGATCCCAACCTGGCAGCTATCCTGGAGAGGCTGGTGGAAGTCAGGAAAGGAAACACCTTGGTGAGATGTGCTCTGCAGCTGGCAGCTTTTGGGGGGGATAACTCCCTGCTGGCAGCTTTTGGGGGGGATAACTCCCTGCTGGCAGCTTTTGGGGGGGTCAACTCCCTGCTGGCAGCTTCTGGGGGGTTAACTCCCTGCTTACACGTCCCCAGCTGCCTGAAGTGGGGGTTGCCTCTGGTCTCATCAACGTTCCAGATGTTTGGGGTGAACTTGTCTGACATCATTTGGTGCCGGGGTGGGATTTTGCACCCTGCTTGTGTCAGGAGGGAGCAGTGGGGCCTTTGCTGGCAGGGCTGGGGCTCAGCAGGGCACGGAGCTCCCCACACTTGGCTGACCCTCTCTTCTCTGGACAGCTTTTGCAGCACCTGAAGCGAATAATCTCTGACCTGTGCAAACTCTACAACCTCCCCCAACATCCAGATGTTGAAATGTTGGACCAGCCTCTGCCGGCTGAACAGGTGAGTGGCTCAGGAGGAGGCTGCCAGAGCTCAGAAAACAAGTTACAAGTTCCCTGGTGTTTGCTCTGGAGGCTTCTGGGGGTTACCAGAAGAGGAACACAGTGGGTGAGAGTTTGGATTCCTGTCCTGGGTGATGCCAACGTGCTCTGCTGGGCCTTGGTGCTGTCTCCTGTGAAGGCTCTCAGCTGCCCTTTGCTTTTAATTTGGTTCTGCTTGTTCATCCCTGTTTGGCCTCACCTTGGAAGCATCTGGGAAGGCAGAAGAGCATTTTCCCAGGATGCTGACCACACCATCTCCATCCCTGTCCTCTCCACAGAGCACCCAGGAGGAGGTGTCCTCTGAAGAGGAAGATGAAGAGATGCCAGAGGTAAGTGCCACCTCAGTGTGTGAGGGTATGTGCCAGAGAGCTGGGCACAAGGAGAAAGGTGCAGAAAGGTGCAAGGATACAGGGGTAGAAGCCTGGGGGAAGCTTGTGGCCACCAGACAGGGAAGTTTGGACCAAAGGCTGGATAATTCTTGGCATTTTGATGCTGAGGATTCTGAGGCACAGCTGGGCTCCACATATTCACAAAGCCCAGGAGAGCACAGGGGCTGAGCGTGGCCATGTGGCCTCCAGAGGCATGAGGATGAGCTGTGAGCAGAGCTGCTTGGGCAGTACATGCTGTTCTTTCTCCAAAGCCTGAAATTCCTGCGGGAGGGATGGGTTTCTGGGTTGCTGTTGCTGGCAGGGAAATCTCTGCTGCACGGAACTCCCACAGAGAGGATGAGGTCAGGTGGCTGAGTGTGCAAGTGAGCTGATTGCCAGCAGTGGTGGAGGCAGCCACACTTCACTGCAAGCTGAGGGCACCTTGCTGCACAACCCACAGGCTCTGGTTGTTTGGTTTTGCAGTTTAGAGCTCTGTGGAAGTGGGTGGAATAATCTTGAATCTCCATGGTGACGTTTAGCAATGCCTCAGACACGAGAACAGCACGGGCACTGAGTCAGCAGTGCTGTGGAGCCTGGGGGCAGGTCACTGAGCAGCAGCACCCCAGCACTTGGGGGGTTTTGGCAAAGTTAATTGCTTGCTAAATTAAGGTTGGGCTTTGCTAGCGTCCACAGGGAAAAGGGGGAGGGTTAAACTGGGACCAGCATAACCTTGTGAATCTGCAAATCTGCAGCTTTATGGCAAATCAGTGTGTGCAAGGCCTCCACTCCTGTGGGCTGGAAAAATAAATCCCAAGGAGCTGAGCATTCCCCCTTGTGCTTTCTGCTAATGCCAGGCGTTGTGGAGGGAGAATGCTCGTGTAGAGCAAAGGTTTTCTGCTGAGCAGAGGGATTTGTTCAGCTGTGTGGAGGAGTGCAGCAGCAGAACTGTGTCCTGGCACACAGATTCATTGTGCAGGTTAATCTCCTCGAGGGATTTTCTAGGAGGATCTGTTTTCCCGTGTGAGTCTAAAAGTGTCCATGCCCTTCCAAAAACACTGCTCAGTAGCCACGACCAGCCCAGAGAGGCCAGAGTAAACACTTAGTAAACACTAAATCAGAGGATTTAGTGCCAGTGCTGGAGCTGTGCATGCCCACAGCCACTTCCAGGCAGCTGAACCCTGTGTGCACGGGGACAGATTCCTGCAGTGTGCCCAGGTGGCTGCAACTGTTTTTTTTTCCCATCTGGGACTTGCATTGCTATGTGTTATTTTGGGAAACAGTGAGGGCCAAAGGCTCTTCTGGGGTCAGGTATTACACTTGGGGTGTTCTGAGCAGATCTAACGAGGGACCTGCTGTGAAATCCCTGCTCTTGTTGAGGGAATAACATCCCCTGCAGCTGGATTTGGGTGCAGGGGTCTGTTCTTCCTGTGTCCCTGTTGGGGTTTGGCTAGCCCAGGTGGCCTGGCAGCACTGTGCCAGGGGGCTGTGCTTTGTTCTTTGTTCCAGCCACCCAGCAGCCTGGCACAAGCTGCTGGAGCCACAGGTGTGCCAGGATCCAGGGTCGTGGTTACGTGGGGCTTGCTGAGGAGTGAGATTAATGGGTCATTATAAACAGGAATGAGACGTGGCAGGGGAGAATCCAGCAAACAAAGAGCTCACATGAGCCCAGCTCAGTGCCCAGACCTTGTTCCTTCTGCTCTATTTTGCCTCACATCAGGAGCTGGGACTTCTGTGCTGAAAGAGTTGCACTAGGAATCCTTCCTGGGTCAGGGCAGCTCAGCACTCAGAGCAGGGAGGAGCAAAGGCACATCTCTTTGAGCTTTCCTCTTCCCTTCCCAGGACACTGAGGACTTGGACCACTATGAGATGAAAGAGGAAGAGCCGGCAGATGGGAGAAAGACGGAGGATGAAGGCATTGGGAAGGAAAACTTGGCCATTTTAGAGAAAATAAAAAAGAACCAGAGGCAAGATTACTTAAATGTACGTGTCGCCCAGTGGGCAGGTGGGCTGGGGAAGCAGAGGGACTCAAGGGCAAGAGTGATGGAGGCCCTTGCCAGCCCTCCAGCCCTAAATCAGAGGGGCTGTCCCCAGCCAAAGGTGCAGCAGTACCAGTTCTCCAGGGCTGATGGGGCTGAAGCAGAGGAGTCTGTGAGCTGCCTCTGCAGCTCAGGGAGGGCACTGGGTGACCCCAGGGGCACGGGTGCCTCAAGGGGCAGTCCTGCACCAAGATCTGGGGCTCCCTTCTGCCACAGGAGCTGTGCCCTCACAATCACCTGAGGCTGTGAAGGTGCATTGTGCTTTTGCACCCCTGGGCCAAGATTCTAAGACAGTAGAGAGGACACAGAGGTGTTTCTGCTGCAGCTTTGCTGCCTGAGGTGACATATTTGGGAAGAGGGACAGGCTGAGAGGTGACAGGGAGGATCCAGCCTGGTACAGAGGCTGGACCGAGTTGTAGCTCAGGTGTTGACCTCACAGAGCAGTAGGCATGGCTGGGTGCAGCATAACAATACAACTTTCCCCTCGCTGTTCCTTGCAGGGTGCAGTGTCTGGGTCTGTGCAGGCCACTGACCGGCTAATGAAGGAGCTCAGGGATATTTACCGATCACCAAGTTTCAAGGGCGGTGAGTGCTGCCAGGAGCTCTGGGCAGGAGGATTCCTTCTCCTCCCGTGGGGTACCCAGTGGGCCTTGGGGCTGTGCTGCTCAGCTGAGGGGGAAGATCTGCAGCGTTGGATGGCTGTGGCTCTGTCAAGAGTGAAAAAAACCACCTTACCCTCTCTCTTCCCTGCCACTGCTGGATGGAAGTGAGGAGCGTGCTGTGGGTCAGAGAATCATCTGACTTTGAGGGGAATAGTGTTCCTACTCCTTTCCTGAGCCCAGGGACTCAGAGAAAGAGCCTGCTGCCCTCACAGGCACTGCCTTTCATGGAGGGACAGTGCCCAAATGAAGTTGTGCTGCAGGGCCCAGGGAGTTTGAAGTCTGGGTGATGGCTCAACCCCCTCTCAGTGTCCCCCCACAGTGACCCCCCTGTGTTCTCCTTGCAGGATACTATGCAGTTGAACTAGTGAATGACAGCCTGTACGATTGGAACGTCAAACTCCTGAAGTAGGTGGCCCAGCTTGGGATCATGCTTTTTTTGGTGGGTTTTGGTGATGGGACCAGAAAATCCGTGTGAGCAGAGGGGATGTGAGCATGGCAAGGGAGCACCAAGCAGACCTTGAGTTAGCATCTCTCAGGCAGCTGGCTTGCTGTCTCCACGACAAAAAGGAGATGATATCTCCAGACAAGATGAGGTAATTGGAGGGCTCTGCAAGTCTCTGCTGTTCCTAGAGTCCAGAGAGAGGTGCAGCAGGCAAACCCTGAGCTTTCACACCCTCCAGACACCAGTGCTGCCTTTTCCTTGGGCCAGGCAGCTTTTATTTTTAAGCTGGCAGCATGGAAAAGGGGTGTGATGGTCTTCTCTGCAAACCAGAAGCAGAATGCTGGGTGCTGCCCACGTGGCTGCCCGGCTGTGCAGGTACGGCAGCTCCGGGGTGTGGTGGCAGCGAGCGTGGCTGGCCTGAGGTGCACAGCCTTGCCTTGACCCTCTGGGCTTTTCCTGTCACAGGGTTGACGAGGACAGCGCTTTGCACAACGATCTTCAAATCCTCAAAGAGAAAGAAGGAACAGATTTCATCCTCCTCAACTTCTCTTTTAAAGTAAGGCTCACCCTCTCCCTGAGAGACGCCTGAGCCGGCGAGGCATCAGAGAACTCAATGGCTCTGCTTCCCTTCTCTCATTGCAGGACAACTTTCCTTTTGATCCACCATTTGTAAGGGTTGTATCCCCGGTGCTGTCAGGGGGGTGAGTAACTGTCTGTCTCTGCAGTGTTGCTTCCTGCAGCAGTTTTCACTGGGGTTACCCAGAGCTGTGCAATCCTGTGACTTCCTTGACATGGATTTGCCATTGGGAAGCAGACAGCAGTGATGGAGTTTTTAGCATTCTTTTTTCCATCAGAAATCTAATCAGAGAAGATGTTTCACCTCTGGAGCAGCGGGTGGGTACCATCACATCTGTCTGTGTGTGGTAACTTTGTCTGATTCCTTCCCAGGTATGTTCTGGGTGGTGGTGCCATCTGCATGGAGCTGCTTACGAAGCAGGTGAGTGCTGGTCCCTGGGGGAGCTGTTCTGCCTACCACACTGAGTATTCCTGACAGCTCCTGCCCTACCACTGCCTGCCAGGGCTGGGGAAGGCTCTTTGGTGGCACAGGTGGCTGGGTGTGGCCTCACTGTGTGTTTCATCCCTAAGGGCTGGAGTAGTGCCTACTCCATCGAGTCGGTGATCATGCAGATCAGTGCAACGCTGGTGAAAGGGAAGGCACGAGTACAATTTGGAGCCAACAAGGTAAGGCCTGGCCAGTGTAGGAGAATGGGGGGTGGCAGATGGGGGCACAGCCAGGTCTGGCACACAGGGAAGGTGTGTGGGATGGCTTCCCCAAGGTTCCTGCTGGACTGACGCTCTCCTTGCCTTCTCTTGCAGAACCAGTACAGCCTGACAAGAGCACAGCAGTCCTACAAGTCCCTGGTTCAGATCCATGAGAAGAATGGTAAGGGCTGAGGGAGGGGGCCTGCATTTTCCCTTGCTTGTTTGAACTCTCCAGACAAGCCACTCGAGTTTTATCCTGCCTTAGGTGCAGAGGTGACAGCAGCAGTGGCAGCTGCTGTAACACAGTGTGGCTGCTGCCCTCTCTACTGCCACTGCTGGGCTCTGGTGGCTGTAACTAGAGGCAGCACCTCACTGATGGCTTGGACTTGATCTGAGAGGTCTTTCCAACCTGAATGATTCCGTGTTTTGCCTGTGTGGTGTTGGGAAGTCAGCCAGAGGAAAAGTCCCCCAGAAATCAGGAATATGTGGCCCTTTAGAAGTGGGACTTGGCTGCTTTTGACAGCTTCTCCAGGTGCAGTTTCCTGCCTCACAGATCTCTCCTCATTCCAGGCTGGTATACACCACCCAAGGAGGATGGCTAGTGTGGATGCTGCAGGACCAATCTGAATATCTTCTGGATGCTCTACTTGGATCTTAGTGATGCCTCTTGGCTTTCTCCCAGGATGTAATAGCTCTGCCTGTTGCAGGACAATACTGGCTGTTCAAAACTCTAAATAACTGTTTAAGGAGTTGGACTGACCCAGAACACTTGCTGGGCCCATGCTAGCAGGCATTCTTATTAAAACAAACTCTTGAGCCTCTTGTATTGCTGGAAACTTTTGACTCTACTCCAGTCTAGAGCATCCTCCTTACCTATGCTATGGATTTAATTTATTTTCTTATTTCATGTACACTGCTTTTTTTTGTTACGGTGTATGATGGATGTGTATGGAAAATGTATCTTTGGAGAAAAATTACAGTTTGTTAATTTGAGAATGCTGGTCTAACTAATTTTTTCCAAGCTCCTGCTGGGTGGGTTGTGCCCTGCAAACCCTGCTGCAGCCCTGGTCCCAGGGTGAGGCAGTCGGTGGAGCTGTGGTTGCCCAAGACTTGGTGCAACCACCTTGGGAGAAGAAAAGCCCTTTTGTGTTTTGAAGGGAGCAGGGTTTCTGCCCCATCTTCCCTGGGCAAACCCAGCTTTTCTGTATAAACTGCAGACTTACACCTCGAAGCACAGCAGGGGAGATCTGAGGCTGCCCTCTCCTGCAGTGGAGGAAGGGTCTGTGGGTGCATCCCACACTTCTCCCTGTCCTCTTGCTGAGCAGTAAGCTGAGCTGAGGCCTGAGCTTTGTCCTGTTTCTCCCCACCAGCCACGCATGGAGGCTGAGCCCTTTGTCCCCATCCCTGCTGTGGCTGCAAGCTTCTGCAGGGAGTGGAGCACGGGGCTCTGTCCTGCCACTGCCCCCTCCCTGGCCAGGACCTGTTCCAGCAGTGAACACCCCGTTCTATGGGGTTTTCTTTTACCCCCCTTAAGCTGTTCCTGCTCGCCTCTGTACCCCAGCCCCCCGTGGAGGGGGTTGCTGCAGTTGTGGCCTGTTTCCCTGAATCCCCACGGCCCTGTTTTGAGTCAGCTGGAAGGAGATTTGGGCTGTTGGAGCTCCTTAACTCGGGCCACGTCCTCGTCTGGAGGACAGAAGTGTCAAAGATGGAACCATGCGTATTAATTCACTGTGTTTGAATAAAAGTCATTAGAAAATCAAAGAGCCTCAGAACTCCATTATCTACTTCAGCAGCTGCTTCTGTCCTGCTCAGAGCCTTGGCATAAAAAGATGCTGTTAGGAGAGGGATTACTCACAGCTGCAGGAGTGGCTCTGGCCTCATCTTGGGGACTATTTTTGAGTGCTTTGCTGAAGGACCAGAGGATTTGTGAAGCTGAGCAGCCTCTGCCCTGTGTCCTCCAGCCCAGACCAGCATCTCTTGGGGTTCTGGGTCCTCTCCAACCCTGTTCCTGGTACCTGGGGCTGGGGGGGCAGAAGCAGCTGCACTCAGTTCCCACTTTGAGTTCAGGAACTTTCCAGGTAGCAGGTTAACTGAGTTTAATGAAGGTTTAAAACACTTGTGGGACTTTGGTGAAGTAGGGGCTGCTCTGCTGAGCCCAGTGATGGGCTTGGGTTGGGATTGGGGAAGTAGAGTTTTCCTTAGCCTCAAAAAGGCAAAGCTGAAGCCAGGTGAGTTTGGGCACCAGCCCAGTGTCATTGCACCCCTGCAAGGCACATCCCTGTGGGAGCTGGCAGAGAACAAGGACGGGGGAAATCTCCCCAGAGGAGAAATGTGGCACATTGGTGTGAACACCACTGCAGCACAAAGCCACCAGGACAGCGCTGGTCTGTCCTATTGAGGCCCCATAAAAATTGATTGGGAATTAATTAAGGAGGACTGAAGTCTGCCTTCTGAAGGAAAGAAAATGAACCAGCACCCGAGTTTGCTGGCGGGGAAGCAGAGTTTTCCTAGTTTTCCTGAAAAAGGCCAAGCTGAGATCGCAGCGGCAGTTCGGGCACCAGCCTGCCAGTGGCATCGCTGCCCTGCGAGGCACATCCTGCCCAGCAGCCAGGAAATCGCCATCACTTCCTACAGCCCTGCCAGCAGCCAGCACCTCCCTCTGTACAGGAGAGGAGCCCGTACTCTGCACAAACTCCCATCCTGGAGGTGTGGGAGCGATCCTGCCACAAATCCCTCTCCTCTTCCCGTGCAGCTGCAAAGAGGGGAGGTTGCTGTTGTAAGGGGCCCCCCAGCACTACAGGAGCCCAAACCACGGGGGTCTGCTCGCTCTTCCAGCAAGGTGACAGCTTGGCTGGAGTGGTGTGAGGCACAGAGTGACAGCGCTTGTGCCCCGCCGTGCTGGGCACGGGTGATGTGCACCAGGTCCCTGTGCAGGCGGCTGTGCACAGGGGGCTGTGCAGCCCCCACCCATGAGCAGAGCCTTGCCCAGGCTCAGTCCTCAGGGTCTCTGGAGGGTCTCGCTGCTCTGTGCTGTCCTGGAGTCTCTGTGCGGGGTCCACTCGTACGGTCCGTCCGGGGGGATCCGTGTGTACGGTGGTCCCATCAGCCAGGCAGGGTCCCGGGGGGTCGCAGCCCCAGCGGGACCGGACCCCCACCGGAGCTTCCCACGGCTCGCCGGGGCCGCCTGCCCGCGCCGCTCCCGGGGCCGCCCCTCCGGATCTGGGCGGGGAGCGCCGGCCCTGCCGCCCCCTCCGGCCCCTCCGGCCCCTCCGGCCCCGGCCCGGCCCCGGCCCATCCCGTCGCAGCCGCATGGGGCCCCCCGGGCCGGCCTGACCCCTCTCCGAAGCCCCGAAGCCCCCGGAGACGGGCCCTGCCGAGGAGCCGCGACGGGACCCCCCGGCTGCCCCTTCCCGGCCGGGACCTCCGGAGCTCGGAGAGACCCCCCCGGGCCCCGTCCGCAGGGGCAGCGCACCCCTGGAACCCCCCCGGGACTGCCCCGGCCGGACTCCTCCGACAGCCGGCGGGACCCCCCGACTCACCCCATTGCTGGAGCAGACACGCCGGCCCCCTCCGAGACCCTTCCCCGGGGCCAGAGACCTCCGAGGGCACGCGGTTTCCTCCCCGGCACCCCTGGGGACCCACCAGCTGTCCCCGCCGGGGCCGAGGACGCCTGGAGCCCCCCACCAAGGCCCCGGTCCCCCGGCCCGCATCCCCGCTCCCGGGCTGGCCCCAGTCCGCAGAGGATCCCGTTCCCGGGGCTGGGGGCAGCCGGGCTGCCCAGCGCCCCCCGGCTGAGTCGACTCCGACTCAGGGGGTGTCCTGGAGCCCCCGGGGGGCTGCGGGACCCGGCGTCTCCCCAGCTCCATGGCGGCCAAGTGGTTCAAGGAGTTCCCATCCAACCTGAAGACGGTGTCGGAGAAGGCTCGGCCGGGAAGCGGGAGCCTCGGGAAGAGCCGCAAGAACTCAACCGCTGAGCTGGGGGGCTGCCGGGCGGCCGGGGGTGGCAAGGAAGGGGGCAGCCGGCTGTCACGGGACAACCTGCAGGGTCTGCTCCAGGCCGCCACCGGGAAGATGAGGAAGAATTCGCGAGTGGAGGGAGGCACGCCGGAGGGACCCTCCAAAACCTACATCAACCGCCTCATCAAGGTGGAGGCTTCCGAGAAGAACGGGAAGGGGCACCCCGGAGCCGTGCCTGCCAGCCTGCCTGCCCCCGAGCAGGACAAGGGGAAGCCCCCCAAGACAGAGACGGTAAGGCAGGGACCGGGAGCCGGGGGCAGAGGGGGAGATGGGAGAGTGAAGCGCTGGCAGCTTCAACTGCTTTGGTCTCCGACTCATTAGCCTGGCTGACTTCATCCTTTTATCCTGCCCGGCTCCACCGCCTTTAAATTCCTTCAAAGCTGCCTTCATCCCAGCTGCCCTTCATCACCCATTCGAGGGTGGGGGGGATCGTTGGGCATCCTCATCCTAGCCAGCCTGACCCCGGAGCTCATCTGCTGGTTAAACAAAGGCTGATGCAAAGCTTTTCTGGGAAGCTGGTCTTTCACCCCTGCACAGCCTTGGGAGGACTGGGAGTCAGTCAGCAGGATTGCTGTCACTCACAAGGGTCCTCGAGCTCCCCCCAGGCTCCTCACCATCACTGAGGGGCGTAGGAATGGTCTGGACTGTCCCCACCCAAAGGTGCCACTGGGTGCATCTGGGGTTGTGGCACGGCTCCCAGATAAGCTGCCATCCTTCCCTGGGGGACCCCAGTGTGCCTATTCCTCGCCTGGCTCTCCTGCTGGGGTCCCCACGGCCCCCCGAAGCCAGAAATGCCTGTTCTCTGCCCAGGTCATCATCCTGGAGGATTACGCAGACCCTTACGACGCCAAAAGGACCAAGGGGCAGCGGGACGCCGAGCGCCTGGGGGAGAACGACGGGTACATGGAGCCCTACGACGCCCAGCAGATGATCACAGGTATGTGCCACGTCGAGCCGTGCCACGGCCGCGCAGCTGGCACCGCTCCCCGGTCGGGAGGCCGCGGCTGCCCTCGGAGCCACCCGGAGCAGGAGGCTCCGGGAACAGGAAAGCAGCTCGGCCGCTTCCTGCGGCTGCGCGGGGCCAGATAAGGAGCGGGAGCAAGGCCGGACACTGACCCGTGCTGGCCGCCGTGTCCGTGACCTGCTGCCATCACCGGCGGGCACATGTGGCCGCTGCAAAGCCCTCGATGCCCCCCCAGCCATCCCAGGGTACCACCCCCAAAGAGCTGCCAGTGGACGTGCCCCCCAGCCAGCGACACCCCTGGCTGGCGTGGCCACCGTCCAGCTGGCCACAACAACAGGAACTGACTGGGCCGGAAGCTGGAAATAAAAGATTTGCTGCTGATTTTTTTTTTTTTTTCCGTGCGGGGCAGCCCAGGCTGCTCGGCGAGGACTGGCGCCGTGGGGAGAAGCAGGGGGCTGGGAGGGGCGAGCCCCTGGGGTTGGCCGCCTGCGCTGCTGAGCTCCAGCTTGGGGTGTAGCATCCTGCTGCCGTGGAGCCCAGCTGGCCCCAGTGGCGTGGGGCTGTGGCGCCAGCAGCCCCAGGGCTGGACGGCAGAGCAGGCGCCATGAGGATGGGCCCCTTCCTGCTCCAGCTCCTCCCGAGCTGGCTCCCAGTGGGGCGTTGTCGGCGTGGAGTGCCCAGCACATCCCTCAGTGGTGGCTGGTGGTGGGACTGGGGGGGTCTCGGGGGACACGCAGCCCCATCCCTGACCCACCGTCCCTCTTCCCCACAGAAATCCGTCGCCGTGGCTCCAAGGATCCCCTGGTCAAAGCCATCCTGCTGCTGGACGGCCCTGGAGAGCCTGGGGAGGGGGGTGCCAAGTTGGATCTTGCCAAGAGGCTGGGGGGCAAGGAGGCAGCGGGGAAGGGGCCACAGCTCTATGACACCCCTTATGAGCCTGGGGAGGGGGTGGCCGGGGGGACCCCCGAGCGCAGGGTCAGGGCTGGTGATGGGCGCCTGCCCGAGAACGACGAGCGCCCGGCGGGGGAGTATGAGCAGCCCTGGGAGTGGAAGAAGGAGCAGATTGTCAAAGCGCTGTCAGGTAGGGGACAGGGACAGGATGGGAGTGAGGGTGGGAGGAAGGGACCGGCGTGGGGTGGGAATGGGGATGGCAACAGGGACAGGGTGATGTGATGTGAGGTGATGTGGCTTGTGGTTGGTGTTACACACCTTTCTAGCAGGGCTTGTCACAAGAGAACAAGGTGCAATGGGTTTTAACCATAAGGGACACTTTAGACACAAGGATTTTCTTGGGCTGAGGGTGGCACAGGCTGCCCAGAGAGGTGATGCCTGCCAGGCCAGGTTGGATGGGGCTCTGAACGACCTGATGTAACTGAAGACATCCCTTCTCATGGTGGGGTGTTGGACCAGATGGGGTCACACACATGGTTGGAGAATGGGTTAGAACTGGCAATGGGGACAGGGATGGAGCTAGGGATGGGGATCAAAAGCGGAGGTGGGGCTTTGGGGGCTCACACCTTGTCCCTCCCAGTCCAGTTTGAGGGCTCGGAGCGCCCCAAGGAGGAGACGCAGCGGCAGCACCTCCGCCAGAAGAGCTGGACCCCCAAGATGCTGAAGCCGGCGGGCACCGAGCACAGCGAGGGGGAGCGGGTGGACCCCGCCCTGGCCCTGGAGAAGCAGCCGTGAGTAGCGAGGCCGATCCAGGCGTGGGGAGCGGGGCGAGGAGGGGGCCCGGTGCTCAGCCTCCCCTCGCCGTGCCCCCTCCGCAGCTGGTTCCACGGGGCCATCACGCGGGCTGAGGCCGAGAGCCGGCTGCAGCCGTGCCGGGAGGCGGGGTACCTGGTGCGCACCAGCGAGACGGGCAGCGGCAAGTACTCCATCGCGCTCAAGTGAGTGTCGGGGTGCCCGCAGAACTGGGGGGGTCCCCACCCTGGGGTGACGGGGTGAATCCCCACTCTGGGGGGCTGCTTCGGCGGGAGCTCCCCTCCCCACCCTGGGTTGTTCACGCCAAAAATTCTGATGGGGAGGGAGCACCCAGATCCCGAGGGATGGCAGCCCCGGAATCAGGGGGGGACCCAGGCATCCTGGGGCGAAGCTGGGGCGGAGTGGGGGGGGGTACGGCGTGTCCCCCCCCCCTATCCCCGGCACATTGTCGGGAGCGCCAGCGGCGTTTCCTTCCTGAGGAAGCGCAGCCCCTGGAGCCGAAACAATCAGAGCGGGACGGGAACAAACAGGGGTGGATACGGCCGCGGGGCAGGCGGGCGCCGGGGGGCTGGCGGCAGCACTGATGCCTGCCGGCCGCCCAGGACCAGCCAGGGCTGCGTCCACATCATCGTGGCCCAGACCAAGGACAACAAGTACACGCTGAGCCAGGCCAGCGGCGTCTTCGCCAGCATCCCCGAAGTCGTGCACTACTACTCCACGGAGAAGCTGCCCTTCAAGGGGGCCGAGCACATGGCCCTGCTGCACCCCGTGCACTGCAAGCTGCATTAAGCGTCGGCCGGTGCCGCCCCCGAGTGGTCTGCGACCCCCTCCCCACCCCTGTGGCATGAGACAGCCATGGGCACGTACCACGGGAAGGGTCCAGTGAGAGAAGCCCTGCCGTGTCTCCAGTCCTGAAGGGACCCCGCTGCTGGGCTCCAGCAGGGCTGGATTTGTCCCTTTTGCTGGGATGAGTCCTGACCACCCTGTGCCAGACTTGTCATGGGGCTGCCCACGTGCCCGAGCTGGGGGCATGCAGCGAGGCTGGGATGTGTAATGATGTAGTAAAATAAACTTGTTGGCTGAGAGGGAGCAGTGGTCGTGGGGGTCTGGGATGGGCCTGGTGCTGGCAATCACCAGTTCTGGGGGCCAGGGGTACTGGGGCACCCCTAACAGCACATCTGCATCCTGCCAGGCTTTTTATAGCAGGGGGCCAGCAGAAGGGAAGAGGAACACTGTCCCCAGGGTGCCTGAGCACCCTCTTTCCTCGACCTGTGGTTTCCTGCCTGGGTGCAGCTGCAGCTCCCCGGGGTGTTGCACAAGGCAGACAGAGGAGGCACGGCTGGGGCTGCAGGGCAGGGGGGCTGTGGCTCAGCCTGGGAGGCACCAGTGAACCACGGAGCACAGCCTGGGGGGGCACAGTTGGAGTACAGCAAGGTGAATGAAGTGGGGGTACAACCCCACTGGAGCCAGTCCCAGGCGATGGGGGGGCTGCAGCGACCCCTCTGCCACTCCACTCCTCCCAGCAGCCACTCCAGTAGAAATCCAAAGCATTTATTTGAGCCACATTGTCCCGTTTCTCCAACATATGCTTTAAAAAGGAGCAGAGGTGTGGGGCTGATCCAGCCAGGCCCTCCCTCCCCGACCCCTGTGGCACTGTAGGGACCAGGCCCTTCCCTGCAGGACCCCAGACCCAGTCCTGGGCCAGCTTCCAAGCTCTGGTGCAGCCATGCTTCCAGTGCTGTCACTCCTGGCCATCCCAGCCCGGCCATGGTGCTGAAGGTGCCCCCAGGACCCAGTTTGAGTTTTTTCCCAGCTGCTTCCCCATGGGGGATGGCATTGATTCTCCTCCTCAGAGGCTTGTCCCAACCACAGAGCCACCAGGTAGTGAGGGGGGGAGAACTGCTCCCAGAGCTACATCGAAGCCCTGGGGGCCCCCATCCAACCCCCCAAACACCTGCCAGTGTATTCAGCCCCTGGCTACTGCCCTGAGGAGGAATAATCTGCCTGAGTTGTGTGGAGCACTCCAGGGGCTGAGGGGGCAGGCTGTGAGAGCAGAGGGGTGTCACTGAGTGTGGGTTGGGGTAAGCTTAGAGGGACCAGCATGTGCTGTCCCTCGCCCTCGGGCTTGGTTGTCTCCTGCCCACTTGTCAACCACATCTGCCTGTACCTGCAGGGGAGAAGAGCAGCTGCAGGTTAGGGAGGGGGCAGACACAGCCCCCTGGACCAGCCCCCCTGGCACTCACCTCACCACGATGCCAACAAACAGGGCGATGCCAAGGAGCAGACTGCCCCCGGTGACCAGGAAGGCATAGGGGGATGCCACAGGCTGGGTGCTGGATTCCATGACAGACCCTGACAGAGAATGGGCTCACTGTGAGGATAAGGGACCTGGGTGTCCCTGCCCCCCAGCCCCAGTCCAGGAATCCTTCCTCACCACGAGCACCATTAGTATCATCCTCCCTGAAGAGGTTGGGGGGCAGTGTCACCCCATAGGTGCCATCCTCCATGGGGACCTGCAAAAGGTGTGGGGGCACAATGGGACAGGTCAGCCCTCATTCCCTGGTGTCCCCGTGTCCCACAAGGAGACCCCTTGAGGAGCATGTGATGCTTCCCAGGGCTGAGTTACCTGTGAGCTGAAAGGCTCCATTTCAGAGGTGAGGTCCCAGGGCTCTGCAGAGCGAGGGGCGAGTATGAAACTGGGAGAGCCCACGCTGAGCCCCCAGTCCCAGGGCCCCATGTTCCCCTCCTACCTGTCCAGGGGGTACCCACGGCCTCCTGGCTCCACTCGCTCCACGTGCCGTGGCCGAACTCATCCTTCGCCCTCACCTGCACCACGTGCCTCGTCCCGCGCCACGCGTCGCGGATGTCCAGCCACGTCGTTGTCACCTGATCCACCTGGAGGGGACACGGGGCTGAGGACAGCCTGGCCAGGGACAGGCAGCACGCCAGCAGGCGGGGTCTCACCTCCATGAAGGTCGGGGCAGGCTCGGGGCGGTAGCGGACCTGGAAGCGGAGCCAGTAGAAACGGGGGTCCCAGGAGGGGGGGTAGGACCAGTTCACCTGCAGCCGCTGCGGCGCCTTCTCCACAGCCTCCACCGTGACGTTGACAGGGGGGTCTGGCTTCACTGCCGGGGAAGAGGGGGCTCAGGGCCTCGCACTGCACCCTCGGCCCCCCCAGCTCCCAGCAGCAACGGGCAGCACTCACGGACACCGCTGAGGGTGATGATTTTGTCTTTGCCGGCCGAGCCGCCAGCGCTGTTGCTGACGCACGTGGACACCACCAGGGGTTTGGTATCATCGGTGCCAGGTGGCACCTTCAGCCGGCAAACGAACTTCCGTGCCTTGGAGAAGTAGTGGCACCGCTGCTCTGTGGCATTCTCGGCCACAAACCTGCGGGGTCACAGCTCAGGGGGGGCTGCGGCTTGCTCTAGGCACAGGGCAGCCGTGGGGGACATGTCCTATGCTGTGGGGTCAGAAAAAGGGTCAATGGGGAAGGATACATTCTGTGCCATGGGGTCCCAGGCAGCACTGGGCAACGGGGCTATAAAGAAGGAACACATCCTGTGCTGTGGACTCCCAGCTACCCGCAGCTGCTAGGGAAAGGGTCTGCAGAGGGGCAGGCAGCCTGAGCCACGGGGTCCCAGAGGGCACCAGGGAAAGGGTCCATGGACAGGGACGTGTTCTGTCCTATTGGGGTCCCACGGTGGATGCAGTGACAGCACTCACCTCCGCTTCACCCAGAGCGTCGCCAGCGTCCCTGGGGATGGCTTCTTGTGCTGCGGCCACTCACACAGGACATCCTTGTCGTGGCTCCGCCGGTAGCAGACGACCTGGGGAGTTTCAGGGGGCTCTGCAAGGCAGGGAGGTGCTGGGGGACAGGGGCCACCACAGGCAATGCTGCCAGGGACATTCCCACCCCAGCGTGGACCCACCTGCCACCAGCAGCCGCAGGGAGCGCAGCAGCTGGCTCCCCACGGAGCAGCTGTAGTGCCCGGAGTCCTTGTAGCGCAGCCGCCGCAGGAGCAGCGTGTTTCCCTCTGCCAGCTGTCGTGCCCAGCTCCCCGCTGCCCCCTGCTCCTCCACCTGCCACAGCACCGTGCCATTTGCGGGCACCTCGTCCTGGCAGGTCAGAGTGATGTTGGCTCCCAGGTGGCCCAACACCGTGTCCTGCGGCAGTCCTGGAGGAACAAGAGGGGACCAGGTGATGAAGATGAGACCCCAGGCCGGGTGGGTGGCCCTGGAGATGGAAGGTACCCAGCCATCTGCTCCCCACGCCCGGTGAGGGCTGGGGGTCAGGGCACTGAGCTGGAGAGCAGCAGTGGCTCCTTACGTTGTGGTGGGGAGCACAGTCAGGGAAGGTGGCACACTGGGACCGGTGGTCCCGGGAGTCCCTGGGTAGGGGTCAGTCCAGTGCCAGAGGGGTTAAGCGACTGCGCTGGCCGGCAGCCCGGGTGAGGCCTGGGCAGCGCTCCCGGCTCCCTCCAAAGGTCAGTGGCCAGCGTGAACCTGCTGTTCCCTTCCTCCTGCTGCTGGGAACGCACGCAGCACCCACCAGCACCCGGGACACAGCACCAGGGACGGGACAGAGCACCGGGGATATGACACAGTACCGGGACACAGCACTGGGACACAGCACCCGGGACGGGACACAGCACCCGAGACACAGAACTAGGACACAGCACCGGGACACAGTACTCGGGACACAGCACCCGGGACAGGACACAGCACCGGGACACAGAACTAGGACACAGCCCCCAGCCCCCGAGGGTGCCGTACCACCACCCGCCCGCCTCCCCGGGCCCGGCTGAGCCCCGGCGGGGCAGGCACGGAGCCGCGTGTGTCCCCTCGCCGAGCCCGGACCCACGAGGCCCAGGCTCGGGCAGCGGCTCGGGGCCAGCCCCGCTCCCGCCCGGCCCGCGGCCGGTCGCACTCACCGGCGGGGCCGCAGGGCCGCCCGGCGGCGGCGAGCTGCAGGAGGAAGCGGAGAGGGAGGAGAAGGAGAAGCGGCCCCGGCGGCCGCGCCATGCGCCCGGTCCCGGGGAGGAAAACATCGGCGGCGGCCGCGGTTGTGAAACCGGGCAGGGGCGGGGCGGCACGTGCGCCCGGGGCCGGGCGAGCCAAGGCCGCCCCTCCGCCGAGCCCTCCCCCGGATACGGGACACGGCAGGATCGGGCAGAACATTATTTTATTTTTTTAATTTAAAAAAAAAAAAAAAAAAAAAAACCAAAAACAGAAAACAACCAAAACTGGTTTGGGTTGTTTTGGTTTGTTTTTTTTGGTTTTTTTTTGCGTGGGTTTTTGCTTTGTTTTTTTTTTTTTTTTGTTTTGTTTTGTTTTTTTGGGGTCTTTTTGGGTTTTTTTGGGTTTTTTTTTTTTGTTTTTTTTTTCTTTTTCTTCCTTTTTTTTTCTTTTTCTTTTTTTGTTTTCCTCAAATTTTCTTTTTTTTTTCTTTTTCTTTTTTGTTTTCCTCAAGAACCATAAAATGATACCATCCCGCCACACAGAAACCTGCCATAAATCACCCTACCTCGATCCGCGGCCCCTCCACCGAAACAATCCCAAAATCCCCCTCCAGCTCTCGCCAACACCGGTCTTAACAAGCTCCTCTTTGGTACCGCGTGCCTGGGACCCCAACAGCCCCAGAGGCTCCCCAGGGTCCCCCACTGCCCACCCACACTTCAGCAGCGCTCAGTCCCGCAGGAGATGGAGAGGAGGAGGAGCAGGGGGGAAGCACAGGCCGAGCGTTGCGCAAGACCATGGTGGGAGTGAATCACGGCAGCCGCCAAACCCCAGCCTCCCTGTGGCACACAACACTTCCCCTTTCCCCACCGCCCTGGGGAACTGAGGCAGGGGGACAAGGAGGGTGACCTTCCTCCCCGCTTCTCCCAGTACCCAGCCAAGAAATGAGTCACTCTGTAAACTCAGAGGGTTTTTCCCTTAACTTTTTTGTTTTGGTTGCTATTTTTTTTTAAGGGGGGGTATTTTTTTTCTTTTTTTTTTGTTTATATAAAAAAAAGACACGCGGGTGAAGGCCACGGAGAGGGCACAGTCCTCCCACAGCCCTGCACCTCTGGTACGATACATTCATG